GTATATACCCCATCGCTTTACACACTGTATATATAAAAATCGACTTTGTATGAATCAGTTTTACATTATTTCCAAGTTATAAGCAAAAATAGAAGGAAAATTCCAATTTTGGGTAAATTTTAACGTCTTTTTTACTTTTTTATCGCCACTTTGCTTAGATTATCCACACGCTGTCTAAACAATAAATAGTTATGACTATCTATTATCGATTCGGGTTTTCAGCTTTCCGCAGGGCTTGACTTTATAGCATATGGCCATGAACAAAGGAATGATTTTAGCGTCGAATGCCCTCGTCGAAATATTCCACCCCAAAAAAGAGTTAAAACGAAGGAAACTATTACACAATTTACAAGTTTCGCACGAAGATAGAGAAAGGAATCAAACAGCTCAAATGTTTGTTTCAGCTTGTGCTCCTTTTTGAAAATCCCAGCATTTTTTGTAATCACGAGCATCGTCAGGAGCGTAGGAAGCGACGGGGCTGCCCCTCTATATTTTATACTGGGGGAGCAAAGACTGTATTACTCAAAGTAAGTTTGAATTTGCCTTCTCAAGACAAAACTAATATTTTACAAATACATAATTTGTGCTGCTCAGACGGTTATTTACTGACAGTACCGAGGATATGCGAAAAAAAAGTATTTTGAATTAATTGTTGAAAATTATTGGTAGTGCTGCTTGAAATTGAATTGAATTGAATTTATTCGTGAATGTGTATTATTACTTTTTACCTCGAAGACGGTAGATTACTATTTTTAGCGCATTTTCCAAAAGGAAAATAGTCCGCACTTTGTCCGTCTGTCAGTCTGTTCGTCTGTATCACTACCAGTCCTCCAGTTAAAGCTTTTTCGTTTTGGTTTCTTTCTTATACGGTATAGCACAGTCCCGAGACCAGAACGACAAAGGATTTTTTCGATTAGTCACTTCCTTCCCGAGTTATCACTGATTCGGTGCGGGGACTTGATGACGGTCTACAATCGTATGGTTTAATATCAAAAATTTTGTTTCTATCTTCCATGGTATTCTAATTATAAAGGTCTCAACGAAATTAACTGTTTTCTAACTACAACCTCCCTTCTCTCTTCTCCTTTATCAAAATCGGAAGTTCTAAAAACTGTACGAAACGCGTATTCACTTCGAAAAGGAGTCACTGGCAGTGTTACAACAAACATTTTAAAAAAATAATCATCCAAATAGAAAGCTGTTCCCGAGGACTTCCAGAGAAAAACCTTCATTGAGGCGACTATAAGCAGGCCACTTCTTTACTTTGGGTCAAAATATAAACAAAAAAAGTTTAAGTTTTTGGCAATGTTCGGTTCTAATTAAAATTACAGTGTTTTACTTAACCACCCACATCTCTAATTGCAAGTTAACGACGAATATAATCCTTTACTTTTATTACCCAAGGTCTAAGCTACCCGAGTTGGATAGTCCGCGAACATTCTCACTTATTAACGGGCGACAAAAAGCGACTTTATGATTGTGGAGTTTCTGTCCGTTCGTCCGAATGTGAGAAATTGAAAAAAAACTTTTGACACAATGTCAGGAGTTAATTGCTAAGCTGGATCTGTTTCCTTTTAATTATTGAATTTCACTGGAGCATTTATTTTTGAGTAAAAGTATACTGTCATTACGGCATTGTATAAAATTATGCAAAATAGAAAACATGTTGTTCTTCAAAATAGATACAAATTTTTCAAAAATAGAGTACTCCCGACAAATTTAATGATTAATAGAAATATAATGCGCTTTCCCATTTTGTTTGTTAATTGTCGGGGCCATTATGTGTGCCAAAAGTTTGCCGTTTTTGAGGGTGCATAAGCTACATAATTTAAACTTTTTTTGTTGTACAAAGTGCTTTTAAAAAAGTGTCAAAGTCCTTGTGTGAGATTGAAGGGACTTCAGCGCATTTTGTGGCAGATCAGCATTAAGGTCCACTCAAACCGACGCGGGAATACGGGCAAAGGAGAGGTAGCGGTACGGGATGCAGGATATTTGTACAGCAGGATATGCAAGTATGATGGGGATGACCACAATCCCTTTGCCAGTACCCACTTCCGACGTCCCGTTCACCCGCAATTCGCATTTTGGTGGATTTCACTCGAAACTCCCCACAAAAATGATACTCAATTTCTGGCGCACTTCTCATAGCTCGAGACAGGAGAAAGAGGGACTGCGATTCGAACTTTAAGAAACGTTTGGGCGCCCTTGCAAAAGGTGGCTGTCTTCGTTCCTAGGGACAAAAACAAAATTCCGTCATGAACGCAGGAGTTGAAGATGTTTCCGACGACACCAATTTGAAAACAATCGGATCAAAACGGTAGAAGAAGATAGGAAAAATCACTACGTTAGTAAACACACGGGATGGCGCCCAGATGTTGCCTAACCCCGTCTCTAAGGTGTTAATTATACACAGCCCCGGTAGGTATACACTTCTCTTCTTTCTACAAGCGTTCTTCCACGGACTCTCATTTGCTGCCAGCCAGCCAGCCGGCCAAAGTAAAATTAAAAGCTACCTTTTTACAAATAAGTTTGCAAAAGTGCGCTAAAAACGGTACGATATTATAAACCTACATGATTACACTCTATACAGAATGTGCCGGATGGATTGCAATATCGAAGATAAACAATGTTTAACAGTTTAGCAGCTAATTAAAATACCGGTTAGAAAGCTCCGGTTTAATTAGAAGTTATTAAGAAACAATTAAACCGATTTCCAAAAATATGAAAGTTATGGCAAAAACTCGATATACAGCATAATTCCTTAGGTATATCAGTAAAATACTCAGAAGTCGTTTCTTTTTACATTTACATATTTGCAATCTGTTATAATGATAACAATAAGCAAATCAGATTTGAAGTAGTGCAGTGATAATTTACATGTAAATTAAACGACCATTGACGTTCCTCCTTATGAATTCTCTCACAATTATTTTTGAAAGCAGTGGAAGCAAACTTATTGGTCTGTAAGAAGTTGTTTCGTTATTGCTAATGTGCTTCTATACAATCAGTATCGTTCGAAGTTATTCAGCGGTCGATAACAAAGAAGCGGTCTATGGAAAATGCGTTTAGTCTTAGTTTTAACATCGATGTCGAAATGATAAATAATGAAAACCGCACTTGTGGTTATATTCTAAAAGTTGGGCAGACTTGGTTTTGAAAATAATTGTTAATTAGAAGTAATGAGGTGTCAATTTATAAAAACTATTGGCGAAAGCTAATTTTTAATTACTTTTTCATAATTTCTAATTATATTACTGAACGCACTATGTGCTAGTTTGGTTGCCTATACACGCCTGCTTACATTAAAAATCGCGCAAATACTTGTTTATGGAATTATGAACAAAATACGGGTATAAAACTGCAGACTTGCTGTTGCGCTAAAGGATGTAAACGCGTCAAGAATGCTCCGTAACCCCGTATCTTTGACAACGGTTTTGCCTCTTTGGCTAAGAAAATGCTAAACCAGAATCGATATAAAAAATATCCTTTCCTACAAATAATCTACCTTACCCTGTAAACAAAATGTAAATATTAAAAGGTTTATCACATGTAACCAGAGCTGGGCAGAATACTTTCAAAAAGTATTTGAATACTAAATAGTAAATACTTTACACAAATCAAAGGTATTTGAATACTAAATAGTTTTACGTCCAGCACAAGCGAATACTAGATACAGATACATTGAAAAGTATCAAATACTTAAAAAAATTGGTATTCAAATACTTTAGAATGTATTCGAATACTTTCAAAAGTATTCGGTATTCGAATACAGTACAAAGTATTCAGATACTTCTCACTCAAATATATTAAAAATTTAAAAATAAAATTTCTCAGAATGTGGCCTGTAGAATCCATAATTTCAAACAGTTCCAAGATTGGGCTAATAGTTCAAAAGTTACAGCCCTTTGAATTTGCTTTCGAAATTGGTTTCTAGTCTATAACTTTTGATTGAGAAGTCTGATCGAAAAAGTACGAATTGTTTAGGATTCTACGCACCAAAATTAATAAGAAAAAGTGTTTTCCCGAGAAATTTTGGTGCAGTCGATTTTTGGTAAAAAAGGAAGATTATACACTGCTTTTTTTTGAGGGCCGAAAAAAAATTGTCTCAGATCGACCCGGAAAAAAATTTTCTTATAGAATGTGGCCTGTAGAATCCATAATTTCAAGCAGTTCCAAGATTGGACTACTAGTTCAAAAGTTACAGCCCTTTGAATTTGCTTTCGAAATTGGTTTCTAGTCCACAACTTTTGATTGAGAAGTCTAATCGAAAAAGTACGAATTGTTTTGGATTATACGCACCAAAATTAATAAGAAAAAATGTTTTCCCGAGAAATTTTGGTGTAGTCGATTTTTGGTAAAAAAGGAAGATTATACACTGCTTTTTTTTGAGGGCCGAAAAAAAATTGTCTCAGATCGACCCGGAAACAAAATTTTCTTATAGAATGTGGCCTGTAGAATCCATAATTTCAAACAGTTCCAAGATTGGGCTACTAATAGTTCAAAAGTGTTTTCCCGAGAAATTTCGGAGTAGTCGATTTTGGTAAAAAGGAAGGTTAAGTATTCAAATACGATGCCAAGTATTCGAATACTTCTCAAAGTATTCAAATATCTTGCGAAGTATTCGAATACCAAATACTTTGCGAAGTATTCGAATACTAAATATTTGTGAAAGTATTTGAGTTACAAATTCAAATACTGCTTCCATAAAAGTATTTAATTACAAAGTATTTGAATACTTTAAAGGATTTGAATACTAAAAAGTATTTACAAAATCGAATACTGCCCACTGCCCAGCTCTGCATGTAACAATAAGGCCGTAAAATATGACGTAAATTGTTCTTATGGCTTCATTTGCTGGCTTACGGATTACTTCGCGCCTGTCGTTAGGCTACCATTCAATCGTAGACGTATTGAAGTTAGTTGACAATCTGCCTGATATGATGTAGGATGTAGGTCACCAGGCAAATCATTTTTCTTTGAAACTCATCACAAACCATTTACTGGTTTAATGGTTTGTGATAAATAGCCGGTTTGTTTTCCAGACTTGCAGAAACTCACCGAAAAGGATAACTGAAACAAGTATGGTATCGGGACGCCACTGGCAGGAAGGGTTTTTCACTTTTCTGTCAACTTTTTTTTGTGTGCTTTTAAAGACCCGAAAGTTTAAGCACCTGGGCTACGTGTGATTAATTAGACTAGTGCAATACAAACTAAAACACCATTTATAAAGTGTTATTCTGCATAATTTATACACCAACTCATTGAAATTCCCCTTAATAGACCAGCTACACCATGAGTGATTTGCTTGTGGACTCGCAAATTCGTGGCTGGGTATTTTTGCCAATAGTTGTGATAACATTCCTAGTCGGAATTGTAAGGCATTACATCTCAATTTTACTTGCGTCCCAGAAAAAGATCGAGCTTCAGCAGCTGCAAGACAGGTAGGAACACACCTAACCTTAAAAATTGTATCACTTTCGTACGCTTTTAGTCAAGTGATCCTGCGATCAAGGCTGCTACGCGAAAATTCGAGATTTATACCAAGATCGTCATTTTTGATGAGACGGCACTTCTTTAACAATGAGGAGAATGGTTACCTAACACAGAAAAGACCGCCGGTTACTCAGAACATGATGACCGATCCGACGATGATGACTGACATGCTGAAAGGAAACGTTACAAACGTCTTGCCAATGATAATAATCGGTGGATGGATTAATTGGATGTTTTCTGGCTTTATTACGAGTGGGTTTCTATCTTTTCAAACTTATCGATATAAAAATTGTGTTTATAGCGAGAGTTCCTTTTCCTTTAACACTTCGGTTCAAGCCGATGTTACAGAGAGGTATTGAACTGATGCATTTGGATGCCTCATGGGTATCGTCGGCTTCGTGGTATTTTCTAAATGTTTTCGGATTGAGAAGCATATACGCTTTGGTCTTAGGAGAAAATAATGGTAACTTTTGTATTGCGTGTTCCTTGAAGTGACATTGTATTCTGCAGGAGCCGACCAAGCACGTCAGATGCAGGATCAAATGTCAGGAGCAGCGATGGCGATGCCTCCAGATCCAAAGGTTGCATTTAAAGCTGAATGGGAAGCGTTAGAAATCATCGATCATCAATGGGGTTTACAAGAGGTCGAAAATCAGATTGTTTACCCATTAAATTCTTGTTGACTTGTCCATAGTGGTACTCTGTCTGTAGAGACGGTCTACGTATCTTGTTTTAAGTGATTTGAGACCACACCATTTTGTACCATATATATCTAGTTATCTATGTTTTTATGGATTAAGTTATGTTAGTTAAATGTATTTGTATGTTGAAATTTAAAGTATTTTCATTTTTTCATTAAAATGTAGAAACATTTAGTATGAGTTTCATGCATAAAACCATTGTATTTATTAAATACAATGATAAAACATTTACCTAATGTTATACAGGGTCGCTGAGAAGTCAAAATGGACGATTATCAGGGAAAATATACAAGATATCGAAAAAAGTGTTAGGGTTCTTCAATACCTACCAGACCAAGCGTAATAATTTTAATTATACAGTGTGGGTCATAAAAGCATGGCTCACCAAAATTAAATTTTTTTAGTAGAACAGCCTGTTACCTATATTATTCTATATTTCTCTTCTCTCAATTTTAAGCAAACTGTGTAATAAGCATAATGTAGTATTGAATCGTTTACAGGTTATCGAGTTTTTAAAATAAACACTGATAAGTTTGAAAATGGTCAATTATCGGGTAATATATAGAAGCATAGAGCAAATATTTACTCTATGATAGAAGTCTATGCAATAGCTTAAGGGTCTTCAATGTCACCTAGGCAGTAATAATTTTAATTATACAGGGTTAGTCAATTGCTTTTTTTTAATGAAACACCCTGTACATTATTTGATATTTCAATTCTTCTAATTTTAAGCAAAACATCAAATACCCAAATCCAATCGCTTTCGAGTTTTGAAGATAAACGCTATTATTTATGATTGAATGAAGAGCAAATAATGATTCCAGACAATCATAACAAACATCACAATCGGTGATTGTTTTCAAAAGAAACTAATTAACAATATATTTATAACAGTTTTGAAATGAATTGATTTTGTCGCTCACATATGTACAATTTATAACAGCGCGAACTATTTATTACTTCGGCGTCAAAATGTGGAACGGACCTGAAACGTAATTCGATTTGCTTACATAGCAAATTGGTGTTCTCCCGAATGTTACAAAATACGTCATATTTCCCGGAAAGATTACATTACATTTTTTTTCTGGAATATTCGCTACACTGCCCCCCTCTCAAAACTGTTGCGTCTCGTACATGGGCAACGGTTGTAGCGGAAACACAATCCACAACTCTTATTTTACTGTTTACATCGCGAACTTGGTGGCAGCACTTCCACGACGACCCCCTTGTGCAGCAACCGTCACTTCTGCCAAATTGGACGCAGTCCTCCACCCCCGTTCCTAATCCTGCGCTAATTTTTCATTTCTACATAAATGCGCTTGCCTACATCCCTAACTATTTTTGGTCGATGTATTTAAGCCTCTGGCGTTCTACCTCTCTCATGCCGGCTGACCTAGCTTCTATTAGCTAGTTCTACTAATCGTCCATGTCTGATTACGTGCCTTATTATTCTATCTCGCTTTCTCTTTGCAATTTTCCACATATCTCTATCTCCCTTGGCATGGCAAAAATAAAATATTTTATTCAGACTTGTTCACTAATTTCTACCAAATCAAGCCTAATATTAAACAAATATAAAATATTTTAGAGTGACTAATACTGATAATGAATAAAAAACAGCACCTAAGAAGGTTGAAGAGTGTAGATATGAGGCTAGAAATAGTTGGAACTACTACTGAAGAAAAGGACAGACAGTTAACAGAGGCGAACGAACGCGGAAGCTACAATAAATAACTTTAAATTAAACCTAAAAAATATGTTTATGCAAAAGAATAATGTATTTTAATGTTGTGTATTATTTATTTCCTACAATTAATAATAAATTATATTTTTTAATAATAATTTTTTTAATTTATGTTGGAACCCTTAAAACCGGAACCGGACCGAAAGTAACAGAAGTCACAGAACCGATACCGGAACACTTACAAATAATTCTACCTAAAATAGTGCGGAACCGGAATGTATATTTCATATGGGTTCCAACCCCTGCTCCTAAGAAAAACAATTTAAAAATAAAAATTCGGCTACAAATACGAAAGTTTTTTAATTTGATTTTATAAGAAGCATCTAAGGCGACGTTCATACTAAGGCGATATCATATATTATTTAAGTATTTAAAGAATTGTGATATGTTGTAGGCGAGAGGTTGGACACATACAGCGGGCGATATCGCGCGGCTGCGAACCTTCAAGAATATATCGCTTATCGTATATCGCCTCAGTATGTACCCCGCCTTAACACTGAATTTTCAGGCGAATTACTTCACAAAGCAATGTAGGTCTGCGCATGCGCAATAATTCGCCAACCTATTTACAACCCATTTTTTTATTCTTTCTCTTCTAAAGAAAATCCGCGGAAGTTCAGTCTGCGCATGCGCAATTTATTTTTTTGTCCATCTGTACATATTAAAAAATAATAATTGGATTTCTCTATTCCAATGATCGCTAAAACTGCGCAAGCTTTATGTTGAGTTTTGACTGATCAAAAAACAAACCAACAATCGCATAAGATTTGTAAACACAATAAACAATAGAAGTGTAAAATTGTGATAAGTGAAAGCAGATTTTTTACTATAACTTTTTTAATAAGTGGCATAGAAAATATTCCTCATATCAATCCTCATAACGAACACGAACATCACTAACCAAAAAGCGAAAAAAGGCGGCCCGTGTGGCACCGTTCAGTTGAAGCTGGACTGCGGACCCTAGTCCCTGGTTCGAATCTGGGTTTGGGCATGGATATTTGTATAAATGGATAGTGGGTTAAGTTGGTAGAGTAGCCTTGGCAGAAACTCCGCCCACTCAAAAATAATGGCAAACATAAAAAAATAACTAAAAAAGGACAATAGCTCTTAAGATAAAGATCTGATAGTGACACAGTTGTAGCATATATACGTAAATCTGTGGTTGTATAGGGAAGGACAGACGAACGAACAAGGTGGCCACAATGGCGCATTTTGTAGCGTAACACAGCGAAGTTGAGGTAACGCTTATGTGCTCGATTTTCGGTCACCTATCTGTCTGTCTGCCTGTCTGTCTGTCTGCAGTGCATTTTCTACTAAATTGCTAAGCGAGGGATGCCACTTTTCAACCCCCAGCTGCCGCTTTTATCACAATTATATAATGGTTTGAACGGTTACAGTGATCCAATTTCTAAAATTTATTCAACTAAATCATGAGGTTTTTCGGATACTATATTAGAACATTACGCGTAGATATGTGATTTTGTAAACGGTTCAAAAATTGGAACCATAATTAGACTTCCAAAGTCAAAATACAATTGCCAAGTTGGCACACAACACTCATACTATAAAATAGTTGACACCGTTTTGATGAATTCACAAGTTATCGTCATAAAAATAATGGAACGACTTACCTTTGACACCACTTATTCGACATCGCTCGTACTTGAAAGTGCTCCATTTGGTACTTTTTTAAAATAATAACAATTAGCAATCACTGTACGTGGTAAAATGTTAGGTACACAAACGAGCGTCAACATTCAAACTTCAACGAGAATGACTAATGGTCTACATTTTGATAAAATTGTGCCTGAATGGCTATGCTATACTTATATTACTTATCGCGCCAATTTCAACAAAATAGGTACGTATCACCGACGCATTAATCGAGTATCATTTTTTACCTACGGATTTTGCAGATATTATTCATTGTAATATGCAAAACACCTGAGTTTACCTACTATATACTATAGCAACACGTGACGTATAATATCTTTGGAAAATAAAAATTGAAATCTTAAATTTATGAGCCTTTTCTCCTGTGTTTAAAAGTGTTTTTCAGAAATACTGTACTCGTGTATCTAACGCCCGTTTTGTACAAATGTACAACTACAACTAGATATACATATATCACTTATCCATGTGACGTCAGTTATTGAACTATTCTTCCCATCTCTTCAAGTGTCTCGTTTTTTATTATGGATCCTGAGGTCAGTTTTATTAGTAGGTAACAATCCCCCAACAATTTGAGACGATTTTTGAAATTATTAAGTCGACGACATATATAAAATGCATCCGCAGTTTCATCAACCCCATATTCATACGTTAGCAATAATGATTATTTATTGGTAAAACAACCTTTTTGTTATAACATTTCAAAAAACAAAATTTACCAAACAATCGACAATCGCTTGAAATGAAGTCGTTAAAACACATAAATTGCATTGCTTTCTTAGAAAATATCATTATATCATTTGAACAATTAATTTAAGGGTACTTATTCATCCGTTAATAAAAGAACGAAATCGAGCAAGCCGCCAGACGGGCGTCGCAAGTAGACAATTTCGTAATTACCTATTCAACATCAGCGAATTAAGTATCCATACTCTGGGAGGTCTAACATTTTTCAGTATTGTGATTGAAATTGTCAAAAATATGAAGGGAAATATGGCAATTTACCCCATGTAGTGCTCTAAAGAAAGAAGCTAAATCAGAAAAAAATACATTTGTGGAATATGAAATTTTATATCGGCCGAAACGTAATTGCGTGTAAGATTACTAAAAGTGACTTCTGAACCATCAAGCAAATTCTTATTATATTCAGTTGTGCTTTGATGTATTTTAAATGCTGATGAAACGCTCAATCCGTCCAAAGGATTTCTTATACAGCTCTCCTATTAATTTATATTATATATATTTTATTGTTTAAGTTGCTATATCAACCCGCACCTCTGCAATATCAATATGTACTTCTTCTATGCTCGAACCAGATCCTAGTGGTCGCGTAGTCGCCCCTTGAACCCATTATAGGCCAAGCTGGTTTAATTGGACATCTGATGCGTATCTCAATCCTCCCGTCTTGGTCTCAAAGATTTTTTATTTGCTTTCATTTATTTCCGATTTTTATTTTTTTAACAGCAATTTTATTTAAGTCGGCTTTACTCTACCTGTCACTATCCGTACAGCGTGTATTCCGTATAACTTGTCCCTATTCCCTAACTTGATTCATCCTAAAGAATTAAATTTCGCGCGTTATTGTACGTATTTACCATAATAGTTTTTAAGTAGCAAATTATCCCTTATAAATGAGGACCGCCAAAACTTTAATTCGCGCGTTTAAACTTCCACTATTGGTCGTATTTCCAGTAATAGTTTTTAATTCGCAAGTTACTCCTTGAAATTGAAGGTCTCCAAAACCTTAATTTGCGCGTTTGTTTAACATCTTCGCAACCGCAGTAGCACAAAATTTCTCCGAATGTAGTACCCATATGCTTAATTATGTAACGGTAGCTCCTAATTTGGATTTGTTTCTCGAATTTTTTATCAAGTTTTATTTTTAGGAATGCGCATTGTTGTAGCAGAGCGTTAGCAGAGTAGGTTGAAATCATACGTTTGTTCTGCGTATTTCGGACCCAGGTCACCAGATCAAGCATCTGTGTGTACGCCACTGTATGTAAAAATGAGTGAAAATTGCCAAAACTACTTTGTTTGACTATTAATTTTACGGCATAAAGGGTGGCTAGAACGTTCTAGTTTTTGGTAAATGATTTGAAAATGATGGAAATGCTATTGAAAAAACATTTCGTGCCGAAGAGTACCTGATAATGGACATTTTTCGAATTTTTATAGGGATTTATGCGAAATTAGTGTTGGCTGCACTAATTTTGACAGCCTGAATTGTTTACGTTTCGGTTATTATAACAGTTGTGCTTGTTTCGGTTATTTTTTAGTAGCTGCCGCTTACGAGACCTAATTTTATGAACGAAGTACTTTATTTTTTGTATTGAATTTATTTCTTTTCATTTCTACTAATTTGTCATTTCGGGCGAGTGTTTGGCGCCGTTGTGGCTGTGGAGTGGGGGCGTCCAAAGGTTCGGTGCGACGATCAGCTATTTTCGCGAAGCGGTCATTCAGTCACAGTTTGGGATCAGACGCGTGACGTGTGTCGTGAATAGTCGCATCGGCATCGGTTGACGTGAGTTGACGCGTTTACTACTACGAGAAACACGCGTAGTTAATTTATTACGATGAAAGTGTAAAAATACAATACTTTCCTTTTGTAATTATAGTTTATTATCGTTAGGTGTTTACAATTGTAGCAAGGTGGTGTGAATTTCATTAATTATTAAATATTGTTCGGTGTAATTTCAAATGTTACAGAAACAACCAGTCATTCCACCGGAAAATATGGCCGATAAACCGCAAGGATCCCCAGTTGACGAAAATAAGAAGGAAGAAGTAGACGAGGAGAAGAAAATAACCGTGACTGTTAAAACACCCAAAGACAAGGAAGCGATTAGGGTTGCTGAAGATGCTACCATTAAAGAGGTGTGTAGTTTTATCAGTTACTAACCTATAATTCTTCGGTACTGTCATTTGCCTTTTTTCTCTCCAGTAATTAATAATTCCCGGTTAGATTCCATTGCTTAACGTTTGTACTGTGAATTCAGATCGTTTTTTGTTATCATGCTCGAAATTGTAATGGGGCCACTCTCACCTGACGGCTACCGACTCATTCCTTATCAGTTTGTTGTGGGTGTTTTATGAAGACTTATAATTGAAGCATTGCATTATGTATAAGGCTCGGTATAAGGAAAATTTCCTTGTTTATATGCAGTATCATTAGATTACATTTATTTCAATCAATTCTTTGCCGTCACTAAATTTGTTATTTTAATTTTGGTTGCGAAATCCTGCATGAATTTGAAATGTAAATGATGTCTTCTTAGTTTAAAGAACTGGTCGCTGCGAAATTCAAAGCTGATGTTGATCAGTTGTGCCTAATCTTTGCTGGCAAGATTATGAAAGACCAAGATACTTTGCAAACACACAACATTAAAGATGGGTTAACTGTACATCTTGTAATTAAGACTGCACCACGTCCTTCGGACTCGGGACCTTCGCGGCCTCCCGGTAAGTTACTTATTTATCTCTGGCCGAGATTGAATTTGGAATTTCAGCCGACATAAGCGCCACACCTTTCAATCTTGGAAGCTTGGGAGGCCTGGCCGGATTAGAATCGTTAGGTATGGGATCAGTAAATTTTATGGAGCTACAAAATAGAATGCAATCGGAACTGTTGGGTAATCCGGAACTATTGAGGCAAGTCTTAGACAATCCGCTAGTGCAACGTTTAATGAACGATCCCGATCACATGCGTACGCTTATAACGAGCAATCCGCAAATGCAAGAACTGATCGATCGCAATCCCGAAATAAATCACATGCTCAGCAATCCGGAGCTGCTGCGCCAAACTATGGAGTTGGCGCGCAACCCGTCTATGTTGCAGGAGCTTATGCGTAGTCACGATCGTGCAATTAGTAACTTAGAGAGTATACCCGGTGGATACAATGCATTGCAACGAATGTATCGAGATATACAGGTAATGGGGAATTAACCGAGGGGCGAATATCCTTGAAAATAATTGCGCACTTCCACTACTGTGTGGCAGACGTATTTTGGAGTTCCACAATACATTTAGTCTTCTGTTTCAGGAAAATGATATTTTGCAGTTTTTATGAAGTTTCGCTGTGACGATGTACAGGGTGAGTCATTGATTGTGTGGAGTGCTAGTATGGTTCTAAGGAAGCATTTGTTGACAATGTGCTTTTCTATGATGATGTGGTGCCTATCCCTCTGTATGTTTTTGCACAGGAGTAAAATCATCTCATCTGTTACTCTCGGGGATTGTATATTTAGTTCGTGTATTAAAAAAGAAAAAAAAAGTGACGTATCAAACTTAGGTTTTTTTTAAATGGAGCACCCCATATTTTATTAAAGAATTGGAAAGTACTTCAAGATGCAAGCTTTATAGGGGAGTTGATGGTGTCCGTGAACATGATAACTGCCAAACGCTTGGGCCACTTCGGTTCAAACTTTGCACAGTTCTATGTGCCACATGTAACAAGTAAAATCGGTAACATGTTAACCATTTTCCTTTAAAATTTGACAGTTTTTCGAATTTAGAAATTAAATTGCGTCCGAGGTTAAGTTTAAATTGAGGCACAGGTCTCTTTCACTTTCACTTAATTTCCTTGGGCCCAAATAATTTTTTTGATTGACCTTTGTCATATTTTTTGTTTAAATCTTACCTCATGGCACTCTCTAAACAAATTATATCTAAGAGTGCCTAAAAAATTATGTGAAAGTGAGAGAGGTCTTAGCCTGTGGTGCCTCAAAACTTAACCGCCGTCGCAATTTAGTTTTTCTGAAAAAAAATTTTCGGAAGGTCAAGGTATATGTACAAACATACAAAAAATTGAGTATTCTTCAAGTATGTACAGGGTGGTTCGAATTGGACACTTTCCTATGGGAACACATTTTATTTTAAGAGATAGAAAAAATTGACCTGGGTGTTTCTCGAATTTAGTCGATTTATTGAATCCTCCATAACTTTGTTATTAAGAATAATTGATTTTGGCAAAATCTTTCTTAGAGCACTTTTTTATGTAAAATCCATTTCGATACACTGTTTAGTTTTTTATACAACCATAAACTACATTTTTTCATACGGACCACCCTATATACCAATCCAAAAAATTGTCATGGAAACCTAGTGCCTGCGATAAAAATATTTGAACCTATAAAATGCTATATGGCAGATAATATTTAATATAAATAGAGATAAAGGAATTATGATACTAGGGATCTTATTAATGTTTTGAAGGTAAGACTTTTTTAATTGAACCCCAATAGGGGCAATTTTTAAGGATTGAAATATTCTGAAATAATGCTACAAAGCATCATTTACTTAAGGGATCTGAACCAAACTACTCACCGTATACGTATAGGTTTTGACAAAAAGGGGTACTTTTTACTCCCAAAAAATGAAGAGCGCCCATCGGCATAATATAGATTTTGAAGTTTTGTGTAAATCGATTCATTTTAAGAAGTTTGCTTTGTTCTGTATACATTGTCGGAAAAATTTAGGCATATGGTTATGTTTTAATGTTCAAAACAAAACTTATTGAAGCCTTGCACCATTCTATTACAGAATGATTGTGATGAATGAGAATTAGAATTTGGAACCAAATACAGTCATCGCACCCCGTATAATTCAAAATATTTTTTAAATATAATAATAATAAAGTTTATTGTAAGCAAGATCTTACAAATGGACAAGGGTTCGCCTGGTTAGGCGATCTACCACCCTTCCAAATATAAGCATAATTAAAAGGTGTAACATAAATCTCTTACCAAGCTAATAAAATTAACATTAATCATTGAGTTTATACCTACAGTATTGACAAAAATATATGAGTTAAATAATATTTCTATAAACTAAGTATGAAAATAAATTACTTATTAAAAAAAAAAATAAATAAATAAATAAAGTAACCCTAAGATTGAGGGAGTTTTACAATTTCCAAAAGGCATGTTTTGAATTGGTTTGGGTTACAGTTCAGTATATCAATTATTTGATTCAATAATGACACAGCGCTATAAGCAAAACTTCCCTGAAACTCGCTGGTTTTGTGCCGCGGAATTGTGAACGTGTTATAACGCAGCTGCAAGGTATGAGCTTCTGTCCTTTTTTTAAGTTCTTCGAATAGATAACATGGCTTCTGGGAGTTGATTAGTTTGTACAAAAATATAGCATAAGCTTACTTCATTTTTTGTTCAACATTAAATAATTTATACTAATGTAAGTATGGTGTAATATGTTTTTTGAACGGTACTACTGCTACGAAACGAACACAAGAATTTTGCAATTTTTGTAGTTCGTTTTTACATTTCTGCGTCAATGTAGTATATACACAGCTACAGTATTCAATGTGTGGATACACTAGTGATTGAATTAAGTTTAGCTTAGTTCTTGCAGATAGTACAGATCTTAAATAATACATGGATTTCAGTTTCATTATAGCTAAGCTGTATGACTTATTTACATGTTTTTCAAAAGTTGGTGCATTATCAAACGTTATGCCTAAATTTTGTACATTATTTTCCCATTTAATAATACAATTACGGATATTTAAAGAATACTTTGTAGTGTCCAACCTGCTTCTATATGCTACATTACAGATACACATTGCTACTGACTTATCTGGGTTAATGCGTAAGCCATTTCTGCGACACCATTGATTAATGTTACACAGGTCTGTATTGATATGACTGACTGCTGCTTCTATATAACTAATATCAAATGACATATAGCTGTAAGTCATCAGCATACATATGGTATTGACAGTACTTTATTTCATCTATCAGATCACTTACATATATGGAAAATAAAATTGGACCCAATACACTTCCCTGTGGGACACCATTAATTGTAAAGCAAGATCTAGATACATTGTTATTGACTGATACCAATTGTGACCTATATCTTATGTAACTATCGAACCATTCTAAGGTCTTTTCAGTGACTCCTAGAAACCTCAACTTTGCAAAAGTAATGTAAAATTCACTAGGTCAAAGGCTTTGCTTTGATCGAGTAATACTAAAATAGTAATTAATGAACAATCCATTGCTACATGAATATAATTTGCTACTGACAATAGTGCTATTTGGGTACTATGGTATTTCCTATAACCTGACTGGTACTTTGGTAAAAGCTCCTTATCTTCTAAATATTCTTTTAATTGATTAGCTACATGTTTTTCAAGAACCTTGGATAATACAGGAAGAATGCTAAGAGGACGTAATTGCGAAAATTGAGACGGATTTGGAACTTTCGGAATAGGTACAATAATCGATGATTTCCACATCTGCGGAAATGTGATATGCAGAATATTCTACCATATCATACAAAAGCGCAATCTCGACAACTCCTTATGGCAGTAATAGCACTCCGCGCAATCGTTGACTCACCCTGTATATTCATCACATTTATAATGTTGTTCCGTTTCTTATTCCATAATGAACATTTTTTTCTTCATGTCTTAGAAGTGTTGGCTTAATCGAAATTTTAAAAAAAGTAAGAAAATTGGAACACACAAATTTGGAAGTGAGCAGTGTACCGAACACTTCATTAATATTTGCCCCTCGAATTTAGCAGTGTTTTCAAAAGATAGCATTTCAGGAACCCATGTTGAACGCGGCTTCCGAACAATTTTCGCGTAACCCATTTGCCGGCCTTGTTGAGTCAAATACAACTGGAAATCCACAGCAAGGTACGGAGAATAGGGATCCACTGCCTAATCCGTGGTCCGACCAGCGGGGAGCTGACCCAAACACCACGACCAGGCCACGATCGACGCTGTCGAATCCTAACATGGCGAGCTTGCTGCAACAGTTATCAGAAAATCCGCAACTTGTTCAAAACATGTTGTCGGCGCCTTACACGCAGAATATGCTGCAAGCGATGTCTGCGGATCCCTCAATAGCGAACTCGATTATGCAACAGAATCCTCTATTATCTGGCAATCCTGGACTGCAACAGCAGGTGCGCACGATGTTACCACAGTTCCTTCAGCAACTGCAAAATCCCGAAGTTCAGAATCTTATGACGAATCCCCAGGTGAGCCCCTTTGTGTACTTGACCTTGTTCCGTTCTATTGTGTTGACATCTTTCTGTGTAATTGACCTTTATTTTTTATGATAACGCTTTGAGTTTACATTTTTTTTACTGTAGGCACTTAATGCTCTTTTACAAATTCAACAAGGAATGGAAACTTTAAGACAGACTGTGCCTACTGTTATGAATTCTTTAGGAAGTACTAATCTACCTTCGTTTACCCCAACCACAACTACAAACACTACTACTCCTACACAAGAAAGTGCACCTACTACAACAACTCCCCCGGGAGGAGTCGCAACAAGTACGACCCCTACCGTACCGCCAATTCAAAATGCAGATAGCTTCTCGGAGGTGAGTGACCAAAGCACCGACAGCTTTGTATTAACGCAGATTCCTTTTAGTTTATGGCTCGAATGGTCGCCGGATTAGCCGTACAGCAAGATAATAGTTTACCGCCAGAGCAAAGATACCAAACCCAGCTGGAACAGCTAGCGGCGATGGGCTTTGTAAATCGTGACGCCAACCTGCAAGCGCTTATAGCCACCTTTGGGGATATCAATGCAGCTATTGAAAGGCTACTAGGACAGGAGATGTCGACAAGTTAACCTACTTCAAGATGAGACCTTACATACATGCCCACCTTTGCTGTTGTATTATCTACATTGTGGTAAAGTTTATGTTATGTCCATATTCCAATACGTATTGTTCTTTGTTCATTGGTTTTATCTACGTTTGACCCCGATAAGACCAGGTTTATTTTTTCTCATTACTTTTATTATATCCCACGCGTAGTATAGTACATAACCTATATAGATAATGTATAAAGTGAGAGCTCTAGTGCAGACTGTATACTTGTATTACTTAAGTGCGGTTATTTAGTTTTTAACTTCACAAAAGTAGTCATAATTTGCTTAAATGCTACAACTATGATTTTTGTAAGTTTATAGGAATTGAAAGTGTAATTCACCTGATTGTCCTGGTCAGGAAGGGGTTTGTAACATTACAAATAATAAAATTTTCTTATTTATTCTCTTTTTAATCTTTAACTGGCACTTTTACCATTTGCAAATCATTGAGCCTATTTACAAAGGAGGAGAAACAACTCTAATTAGCCGAATGGGTGATTGTAAAGTAAGATTGACACTAATTTTATTCTGATTCTGAATAGACACGTGGATTTGTTGCATAAAAGCGTAAAAACTAGACAGTATCAAATTGGGTTGGTTAATATATTGCACTTTAAATTTAGATACCTTTCATTAACAAAACTTCAATTTATTATAAACAATTAGTATATGTATAATTCATAGCTACGATATGCAACTAACACTTATATATGTAGTGTCCACTACCCTGAGTACTTGTGTCGATAGAGTTTCCTTTATCACCTTTAACAAGTCATGGTCGAGTTCCATTTCTTGAGACTCTACTCCTGTATTGGCAAATGGCTATCAACCTTTTACCAAAAAAGCTTGAAATCAGAGTTGGCAAAATGTCGTTTGCCATACGCTTCAGTAGTGAACGTAGTTGAAATTTGTGTCACTCATGTCAATAGAGTTTCCTATATTACGTTCAGAGCTGGGCAGAATACTTTCAAAAAGTATTTGAATACTAAATAGTAGATACTTTACACAAATCAAAGGTATTTGAATACTAAATACTTTTACGTCCAGCACAAGCGAATACTAGATACAGATACATTGAAAAGTATTCAAATACTTTAAAAAATAAGTATTCAAATACTATAGAATGTATTCGAATACTTTGAAAAGTATGCGAATACAGTAAAAAGTATTCAAATACAATACATTAAAAATTTAAAATAGTATACTAGATAAAAGGCTTAATCTATATATAATCGGGACACCGTTCTACCGTTAGGTGTACGGTGAAATACATTACATTACTATTTTAAAAGGCTTAATACTACTTAAAAAATCAAGTTATATTTTGTATGGGGTTAGCTTTTTTTATATTTCTATTGTTATATACAAATTTAAGGGGAGTAAAAGGACCTTTCTTATACCAGTTATATCCTTAAGAAATACTGAAATACGCGTAGTTTTTAAAGCGTCGTGCACATGATACGTAGGTACGCCTTTCTGAAATTAATCCTAGCGATTTTGGAACAGATCCATTTTTGACCATCCGTTTGTCCGTATACATGATAGTTGGTTTAAAAATCTGCGATCGTTTTGCAAATTGGTACACATGGTTTTAAAGATATAAGAAAGGTCCCTATCGTTTTTAAGTTACGTAGACTATCGAGTCAAAAAGTTTCACTCCAGGATCGTTCGGTATTAAGTTGTATCGGATTTTTATATTTGATTTTGTGACAATGGAAACTTTCCCTAAACATTTCTAAATTGTTCTTAAATATTTGAATAACTTAAAGGTACTTCCTTTTTCTGAGGCCAGAAAAAAAAATTATCTGAGATCGACCGGGGAAAAAAACATTTTCTTATAGAATTTGGCCCGTAGAATCCATAATTTCAAACAGTTCCAAGATTGGGCTACTAGTTCAAAAGTTACAGCCCTTTGAATTTTCTTTCGAAATTGATTTCTAGTCTATAACTTTTGATTGAGAAGTCTGATCGAAAAAGTACGTATTGTTTTGGATTCTACGCCCCAAAATTAATAAGAAAAAGTGTTTTCCCGAGAAATTTTGGTGCAGTCGATTTTTGGCCAAAAAGGAAGGTTATATGTACACTGCCTTTTTTTGAGGCCCCAAAAAAAAATTGTCTCAGATCGACCCGGAAAAAAATGTTCTTATAGAATGTGGCCCGTAGAATCCATAATATCAAACAGTTCCAAGATTGGGCTGCTAGTTCAAAAGTTACAGCCCTTTGAATTTTTTTCGAAATTGGTTTCTAGTCTATAACTTTTGATTGAGATGTCTGATCGAAAAAGTACGAATTGTTTTGGATTCTACACACCAAAATTAATAATAAAAAGTGGTTTTCGAGAAATTTTGGTGCAGTCGATTTTTGGTAAAAAAGGAAGGTTATACACTGCCTTTATTGAGGCCCGAAAAAAAAATTGTCTCAGATCGACCCGGAAAACAATTTTTCTTATAGAATGTGGCCTGTAGAATCCATAATTTGAAACAGTTCCAAGATTGGGCAACTAGATCAAAAGTTACAGCCCTTTGAATTTTCTTTCGAAATGGTTTCTAGTCCATAACTTTTGATTGAGAAGTCTAATCGAAAGAGTACGAATTGTTTTGGATTCTACGCACCCAAATTAATAAGAAAAAGTGTTTTCCCGAGACATTTTGGTTTAGTCGATTTTTGGTAAAAGAGGAAGGTGCCTTTTTTTGAGGCCCGAAAAAAAAAATTTCTCAGATCGACCCGGAAAAAAAATTTTCTTATAGAATGCGGCCTGTAGAATCCATAATTTCAAACAGTTACAAGATTGGGCTACTAGTTCAAAAGTTACAGCCCTTTGAATTTTCTTTCAAAATTGGTTTCTAGTCTATATAACTTTTGATTGAGAAGTCTGATCGAAAAAGTACGAATTTTTTTGGATTCTACGCACTAAAATTAATAAGAAAAAGTGTTTTCCCGAGAAATTTTGGTAAAAAAGGAAGGTTATACACTGCCTTTTTTTGAGGCCCGAAAAAAAAATTGTCTCAGATCGACCCGGAAAAAAATGTTCTTATAGAACGTGGCCTGTAGAATCCATAATTTCAAACAGTTCCAAGATTGGGCTACTAGTTCAAAAGTTACCGCCTTTGAATTTTTTTTCGAAATTGGTGTCTAGTCCTATAAACTTTTGATTTGAGAACTCTGATCGAAAAAGTACGATTGTTTTGGATTCTACGCACCAAAATTAATAAGAAAAAATGTTTTCCCGAGAAATTTTGGTGCAGTCGATTTTTTTGAAGCCCGAAGAAGAAATTGTCTCAGATCGACCCGGAAAAAAATTTTTCTTATAGAATGTGGCCTGTAGAATCCATAATTTCAAACAGTTCCAAGATTGGGCTACTAAATCAAAAGTGTTTTCCCAAGAAATTTTGGAGTAGTCGATTTTGGTAAAAAAAGAAAGGTTAAGTATTCAAATACTATGCGAAGTATTCGAATACTTCTCAAAGTTTTCAAATACCTTGCGAAGTATTCGAATACTAAATATTTGTGAAAGTATTTGAGTTACAAATCCAAATACTGCTTCCATAAAAGTTTAATTACAAAGTATTTGAATCCTTTAAAGGATTTCAATACTAAAAAGTATTTACAAAATCGAATACTGCCCAGCTCTGTTACGTTTAATGAGTAATTGTCGAGAACTCTTTCTTTACACACTGAAGCATTTGAATGATACTGCATCCTTTGAACCAGATTTACTCGAATTGAGTAGCACATTTGCATTTAAAATGAAATATGTATATGTTGGGACTTTTTTATATTTGCATACGCTCCAGTATAGACGGCTTATTTGAAAGAGACTGAGGCAAGTATCGCCTACGAGTATTTTTTCCTGGTCCTAGCGTTAATATTATTAAGAGGAAAATATGCTTTTGTCTTTTATGTTTGCATATGACTTTTAACTTGTTTATATTTGTATACGTTCGACTATTATTTATTATTCCTCTCGTTGTCTGGGTCCTCAACAGGCTGCCGCCAATTACAGTGATCCAAATAATGCTTTTTAGGAACTTATATCAATAACAGGTTTTTTTAAACTAAACCACAAATTTTCCATAAAAGTATCCTAACTGTGAGTAATCAACACGTAACAATTAACAATATTTATACTTTTAATATAACTATTATTAGGAGGACCACCTTAGTATGGAGAAAACTGCCAAATATAATTCTAAAAGAACCCGACGTTCCCTGTAATGCCTTCAATCTCCCTACGCTCCCAAAGGAATACCTCATAGGATCATTGTAGGATGCAAGACACAAGATTTTACAATAAATGGTTTTATTTGGTTGTGTACAATAATTTAGTAAAAATGTATAAGAACAGGTTTGATTTAAAGTAACTAATAAAAAATAATTAATTTACAAAATAATATACACGTATAAAATGGACTCCAATGAGTGAATGCACACAAAGTGCTTTAGCTCAATATATTTTGCGAAGAATGTTTGAAATCTGAAAGCCGTTCGACTGCATCATTTACATTTATCGACGATATTACATTAATGTCGGTGAATTGTTTTAAGAAACATATAAGTGTACCTTTCAAATTTCTGCTAAACATCATCACTTAACCCATATGAGAATTGGTTACATTCAATTCACCTGCTTGCACAGTTCTTAATCTAGTTATCTTTCTTAAAACAGAAAAAACTTTGTACCAAGTCAAAATGTCCTACAAGAAGACAATTCATTGTGCATATTATAGAACTTCAATTTGTGATCAAATAACAGTCCACTTAAACAATACATTTTCTATTAAAAACGAAATTATTTGATAAGGTTGCCAAATTTATGTACAACTTTAAATAATGACATCATTATAAGATGTTGGTAACAACTTGAAAACGAAAATGGATGCCTTTGGCACGTTAACTTACGCATTGTAACCTATCAATTTACATTAATGAATAAGCTTGAGAAGGAGTAATTGTGTGAAGTAAACAACTAAATATTATTTACAATGGGCAGAAATAGAGAACAATATACAAAGAACTGAAAATTGTTTTCACAATGTAAAGTCAAAATAATACCATAATCCTGAGATTATATTCACACAAATCTGCGCACAATTATGTAGTGTTTCCATAATTGTACCTTGTGCATCATATTCGTAATGATAAATTATTACAAGGTGAAACTAAAAAATGAGTAAAGAATATTTAGTGCGATAATTAAAATATTTTTTAACAGAAAAATGGCACACTTTGCAGGAACCACACACGAACATGTACCAAAATCACTTTCCACTATTCAAACAAATACTCGGTGCACATTCACTATACTAACAGTTTACTAAAATTAATTAACACAGTAAATAGTTCTACTACCTCCTTTGTTAAAACAATATAAACCAAGTCCAGCTTTACAATTGATCTGGAGATCGGTTTATAAAATTACTAAAACTTATACTTTGCCCTGTATATGGAAGAAAACGCCATATAAAGATCAAAATACATCATTGATTTACTCATTATTACAATACGTATCTTCAAATGTTACTTAATTGACTTTGCGATACACCTCCGAAATAAATTTTGATAGATTCATCATCATTAAGTGAGTCGATGCGGCGACCTGTTGCTGGCAAAAAAATGAGTTTCACTTGAAAGACATTCTCGTTTTAGTGTACTACAAATTTGGGACTAAATTCTGTAAACTGAATTCCGGTACACAACCCTGTTTCAATTGTAAGTAACAGCGGCATCAGTATCTGTTATTACAATTTCCAAAATTCGGAATAACATTTTAAATTCCTTTATTCTACAATTAAAACAAATTAAATAAGAAATCTATATACAATCAAACAAAGGTTTAAAATTACATTAGTCATAACAAATTTCATTTGTAAAATTATCGTGTCCACAATTACAATCAGCATAAATAACATAATTGCATAGGTATAGCTCTAATTATTGTGTAAATTATAAAATTACTTTACAATATCACTATTAGTTCTGTACAATATGTATAGGTATTTGCAAATTGTACGATTTACACTCGCATTTTTAATTTAAAAAAAAAACATTTGCATTTGGTGGTTCATTACACTTTTTAGTTAAGTGTACAGATGTTCAAGAATAACAGACGCCCTCTGTGCTGGCTACTATTAATAAATGTAAAAAGAGATTCTAAATTTTGGCAGGTTTGCAATATTGACAAGGAAGGTGTAATAAGATTTTTTAAGTCAAAATCTTTGTATAAGTGATGTTCAATTTTGTAACGCATTGATACATATGGCCTCAACTTAACGTCTATGCAAAAAAAACCACTCTACCCCCTACTATACAATTTATAGTATCGTGATCACTCACAATTGAATAACTTCGAAGAGATGTGTATTCAAACGGTAAACCAAGTTCCTAACCCATTCTACAGCTAAAACAATTAAATTTAAAGGGCGTTATTCGTGAACATCGTTGTATAGCATTAGAACTTACGAGGCGAGGCCCTTAGAAAGAAAAATTTGATCCGGAGGGTTTTGTAATCGTATCAGTGCTTCAATTAACAATAATAATGTACAATATGGTACAGCGAATAATTTGAACTAGCAAATAATTAGAGCTCATTCTATCCAATAAAATTAAATAAAAAAATTCATTTCTAAAAATTAAAGTAGAATTTTATAACGAATGATAAAAATGCTTCTATGAAAAATAAAATCACATCTATGGTGACGCAAAGTCCACTAATAATTATTATTTATTGGTCACTTAATATAGTTTCTTCTGTCTTAACATCTGAAATACCTGTGATCGCCTTCGTAAGAACTGTAGCATCTTTTAGAGATAATACTTGAAGAACTTGTGGAGTATCGGAGCCTGAACTTTGTATCATCATGGAATGAGTCGTTAAGCCTCCGGGAGTAACCGTTAATGTTTCCATAGTGTCGCCCGAATTTGGTTCAACCTTTAAGCGGTACGATTAGAGCTAGTCTTATACTTGTGCGACTTTTTACCTTTGGTACTTGAACGACCGGCGTAACACAAACAGTGCCATCACTGTTTGTATGTAAATGTTGAATGTTTGCTACCATTGTTTGATACATGGAAGCCGATACCGGCACTGTGATAACACCGCTCACTGAAATGGGGTAACCTGAACATAATAGCATACTTGCTCAAACACATGCATTTAACACATTTCTGGTACATACATTTTTCACAAATATTTGTGCACAAATACTGACCATCTCAATATATATTTGTACTATAATACCTCAATTGTGCAATCATCCATTTATCAAAAAAATAAACATTTGTCTACAATGAACTGACCTGACTGATGAATTGTAAACTTCACAACTTGCAATTTTCGCAAAGATATTTTATTTTATTTTTAAGTGGGCGGGTTCTCAGCCAAGGCTGCTCTACCAACCCAACCCACTATACATTTAAAAATATCCATGCCCAAACCCTGATTTGAACCAGGGACTCTTAGTACCGCAATCGAGATTCCACACTTCTTTTTGCAATCATAGGTTATTGTTGAAGAGAGAATAAAAATCAATATCATAAGAAGAGTGTAAACATTCAATGTCACGACAAATTAGCAAAAAAAATCTCCGTCTTGAATTTAATTTTGAGTTTATCACATTGAATACTTCTATTATCTTTTCTAAAATGGCGTGTTAAATATTTTAATAGGAACACAAATTCTTCCCAAGTTATCAACGCAGTTCCACTTGATCTGGCACTCTTTACATTGAACATTTGAAACTAAAACCAAACTTCAGTATACACAATGTAGGTGAAATAAGTATTTACAAATATTTTAAATTTTATATGTCATGCATATAGAAAGATCCAACAAGTATATGTTATTTGGCACACTAATGTACGTAAACCATGGTCTATTTCCACGACGTGCATGTTATGTACATACACAGTATGTGTATCCCATTTTGGTCGAGACTGCAGTGCATCTCAGCTGTTTTTACTGTTTTACTTGCGGTTTTCGCGACCCTGTACCACTTTTTTGTGAAACTTAATACCACAAACTAAAATCAATCTAGCCACGTTTGTTTCGGAGATACTGAGTAAAAACAAAAAGCTTGACTTTATTGGATGTGACCATACTAACTTTATTTTAGGTAGAATCCAGCCGTATAGTAAACAATTTTTGTGCCCACCACTTCTAAGATTTGACAAAGTTGGTATTTATTATATACAACACTGCAGGTATATCTTGAGGTTTTGAAATTTTGAAAAATATGATATACTATATAATTATGTATATTAAAAAAATATAGGTTGCGATACATGAATGTAATCAGGCAAACGAATGCAAAAAATTGAGATATATAGGGTGTTGCATTAAAAAAATTCTAACATTGGGCCAAATCTCAGATATGGGGGTCCAAAAAATTTTTTAAACTACGCCACTGGATTCTACGTAAAAATATCTAAAATAATTAATAAATATATTTCCCACGCAAAATAATTCGAAAGAAAATTTTTTAAAATTAGTGTGCCTGCAACTCGTTATTTTAAACGTAGGCATGTTTTAAAGTACGGTGTATAAGCTTTCACTGTATCACGTGTATATAATTATGTAGTACCTTATCTATGTTCGAACTAAAAATGAAATAAATTTTAGTTCGGCAAGGCCAGAGCTGGGCAGAATACTTAAAAAAAAGTATTTGAATACAAAATAGTAGATACATTAGACTAATCAGTATTAAATACTAAATACTTTTGCATCCAATACGAGCACATACTAAATACAGATTCAGTAGACTCTCAGTAGTTATGACTTATGCAAAACTTTGTCATTAACGCACTAATAAATTATTATTATTAATCCGGCACATATCAGACCGTGGTACTACCAGATTAGTGAATTTTATAAATAAAAACACTTAAAATATCCAAAGCAACAAAATAACTTAGTTCGGTTAATTGCCGTCCCACCCTATAATTTTTTTGTCATTTAATATGGAAATACAGTAGGGGCTTGGTAATCCGGCACCAAGATTTTTTCCCCTATGCCGGATTAGTGGATTTGTATGAGATATAACGCAATTTTTATCTCGTATATCGACTATGTGGAAAATCAATTCTATCATAGATTCCTACAGTAACACACTACTAAAGTAAGTACAAAAAGTGCGCCATCTTGTCTAAGCGAGCGACCCGTGCGGTCAGCTACTAAGCATTCTACGCACGCGGGCGCCAACGAAACAAAAAAAAAGCGGTTTCACTGTGAAGGTCAGGGCAGGATCGAACCCAAAAGCAAATTTTTTAAAATAGGCTCAACCGCTCTATAATCCGGCACTAGGGATTTATTATGAGAATTCTGATAACATATTCAGATTCTCCAAAAAAAGTGAAAACGAAATTTGACTTTTTTAGTTTTTCAGTGACATCTCAGTTATTTTCAAAGGTTTTAAAAGAATTTCAAATGTTTTTTTCTATTTCGGTGTCACAATGATGATTTTGTACAACTGTTTTCGGTTGTACAAAGACAGTGATTATAGTCGTTTTTTTTTGGTAACTCATCTCTTAAGTTGGCAGTTAATAGTTAGTACAAGTAGGTACTTCGTTGAGTACTTCCATAGTTCCATGTTTGAACTTCAAAATGTCAGTCTTACTACGCTGCCAACCTAAAACTTAACGGCATAAAAAGTGTTTCCAACATAAAACATGTTAGTTCTAATGTTCCCTATAGTTTCTGATAATGATTTTTTTAATTAAATTAAAGCACCGAAATAGAAAAAATAGTATGAAAAACGCGTGTTATAATGCTTTATTGTAATACTCCTATCTTGCGGACACTCGTGGCTAGGTCGCATTGTAACACTTGTCTTTCAATATACTATTTTAGTCACCAAAAGGAGCAACTTTGTCCCCATTTAACCTACACTGTATCTCTCACTGTTACATAGATTTAAATTGTAAATTAATATCGCCACTTAAAGTAGTCAATTCTCTCTTCTTTTGGTAAATTTTTTCAGAATAAGTAGTTACAACTTTTTATGAAGTTATCAAAAATGTGTTTGTTATAAAGGTTTTTTTGTAATTATTTTTGCATAATCTGCAGTGTTCAAAATAAGTATACGGGGTCAGCTAAAAAAGTTATTAGACCTAACTTAATTTTTTAAGAAATTTCAGAACTTCAAAAAAATGTGTGGAATGATTTTTGTATTTTTTTAAATTATTTGAACGTTTTTTAATCTTTAAAAACCTTTTTTGAATCGTTTGAATCTTTTTTAATATACTTCTAGTGTGCTATAGTTGTGAACAGTAAATTTGCCAGTTTGGTTGTCAACGTCAAGTTTATCTAAAAAAAAATAATACATCAAGACTGTGAAGACCATTGTTTCTATCTAGTATTGTGGTTCCTTCATGTTATTGTTTTATTTTTGTATCTTCAATACAGTGCTTCCAAGTAAATTAAAATTTGATAAAGAACATGCAGTTGGCAAATGATTCTTACTACAGTATGCGTGGTCCTATATCAAAATAATGGCTCCCAAAAATTCGGGCGACATCCCCATGAGATGGCATTTTGCTACAACAGATTTGCATTTACTATAATTTACCATGAATAGAGAAAAAACTTATATTATGGCTTGCGCAACTCGGCGACCTTGATATTTTTAAAAAAATTACCTGAAGGGCATGCAGAAATCATCTGTACGGCATTATGGTGAGAGAAAAAGTTTATCACATGGATTTTTTTATATAATCAAATCCAATTGGTAAATGATGCTATTTGGATATCAATCAAAAGTTCAGAAATATTGACGTGCCCTATACTAAACTACTTACATTTTCCAGTGTCAAAATAAAGATCCATATCTTTTGCGAAACATCAGTCACGCCATGCCATAATTTCTAATGATAAAAATTGTGAAGTTTACAATGCATCTAAAAACAGTTTTCTCATGTAAACAAATTAGAAGCCCCATTCCAAGCAGTATATCCTAAAATATTTACATAGCTGATAGTTTATTTTTCCGATAAATTTGTAAACACAACACACAACGGTTATATAGAGGTGACTTTTTTTGGTTAATCGTTCCATCTCGAATCGAGTTTTGTGTAATTTGAGTCGTCACAAAGCTAGCAAAGATGTAATCTAGACACATGTAAAATTTGGTGGTCAAAATGTTGCATACTCGTGATGACCATGATGACGCACCTAGAACTTATTTTTATTTTTAATCTCCACAATAGCCCTAGCACAATTAAGTGAAGGAGACTAACAATTTTTGGTGTGTCTGGCACAATCGTAAACTTGTTTTTTAACTTTAGACAAAAATGTACAGCAATTCACTTACAAAGCTAATGTCCCATATTTGAGCCTCAGTACACACGCACTTTTGGGAACATGTGGTGAATCTCAAAACAAGGGCGTACAATGTAATTAAAGTTAGCCTAATTTTGTGCAGATCGTGTATAAACTAGAAAGCCCTGTTAAATCAATTGCGACCTTGATTATTACAGCTAAGAGTTGTTTAAATTAGACCTAAATCACAATAGCATAATACATTCATTTTTACATTATATAAAGCGCTTGCAGACTCCTGCCCACAACGTTATCTAAAGGCTAATTATATATTAGTCAAATTAGTAAGATGATGGAGAAAACAGTGAATTATTTTAAGGCTAATACTGGTAGAAAAGAATGACAGGATACAGAATATACTTTATTTAACTTAGTTGTGCACCATACACCGCTACTATAAAATACGTGCTTTTTATAATATGTAAATAATTAGATAAGTACAAAATCAAAGCAAGGAAACCTGAAACCCTAGAATTGGTTCTGCAAGGAAAGGATTAGAAAGAAATGCACAAAATATATTTGAAAAAATAAAGTAAACATGAACTTCTTACATGAAATAATATCAAAACAAAATACATTTCACTGAACAAAAAAAAGCAAAGAATATTGAAAAAATATAATAAATACATAAATATAAATAAACTTGATTGAGCAAATTTTGGTCCATTAGTCGTCATGTTTTACTCTCTGAATAAGCACATTAACGAAACCTTCGAACTCATGATTCAGGTTGAAAGAGGGCACTATTAATGGATGAATTTGACCGCCACCGTTAACCCACAACATGTAGCAATATGTTGGGAGAAAAAAAAACAATTAGATAAACCTGTTAAATTCCGAGTGTTTTCACTTCGGGATCTTGAGAGAAGTCATGCATTACAACTACGCAGCGGATACTTTGCAGTAGAGATAGTAATTTCAACTTTCATTTAGAACAAACTCCCGTCATTGTGGGTTTATGCAACGCTATTTAATTTATGTTTTAGTAAACATAACCTCAATTTTAATATTGACTTATAAAACGTAGTAAAAAGCAACACCTTCATAACCAGAACAAATTACTAATGTGAAAGGAATACACAGAAAAGAAAATAAAAGAGTTTCTGTCCTCTACCTTGAACCTCATATATACTGGCAACGCCGAAAACCCGATGTCTCATCTGAGTAAAAGTTAAATTAAATAGTGTTGCCTAAAACCACAGTCACATGCACACTGTTGCCAATCAGAACCTTTTAGAGCAGGGGTCTCCAAACTACAGCCCGCAAGATCACCCGACCCGCCATACTTACACATCAATTGGCTTAATTAACGAGTTGAAAGAATACAAAAAAAAATCAGAAGTTTATATTGTAGATACAAACAAGAGATGGCACTAGCAATTATAATTTTGCATCATTTGACTGCTAACGAGATCTGCAGGTAATTTAAGACTACGACTGAAAATATGATAAGTCGATATGTTCTGGTCCTCAGGAAATTGAGGAGCAATTAATGTGGTTGAAAAGTTTGGAGACCTCTGCTTTAGAGCTTTATTGTAATATATAGAACTATCTACAAGCACATTCAAGGTGAGTTTTTGTATAGCAGTAAGAACCTCTTATAGTGTTTTCGATTGGCAAAACTCGTGCTGGCAATTTTTACGTTCTATTGGTAATTTTAGGGCAATTTTCTGTGTTCCACTGGCAAATGTGATGCAACAATTACGCACTCAGTGCCAATTTCGACGCACGAGGTCCGAGAGCTCGTGGAGCTGCTAGTTAACAAATTTTCAAAACAAACGTGCGGCAATTTGAATTTGTTTCTTGGAGAGTTTTTTGTCGTCATCTTGCGATAGCGAAGATGGTGAAATAGCCATAACTTCTATTTTACAAAAAGTTGCACTTACTCATTAAACTGAACGCCAAAAATTGGTCCTTTACATGAATTTCAAATTTATCTTCCTCTCGTTTATCATAAATAATACTGAAATCGTTTCAGTCATTTTTTAGAATAGAGATTTGTCGATTACCTAAATCTAAAATGAGGTTATGGACAAATGACAACAAATATTTACGAATATTTATGTTCCATTGAGAGCAATTTTCACATGGATTTTTTCAGTTTCTCGTGCAACACTCGTGCAGTACGAGTTTTGCCAATCGAAAACGCTATTAAATAAAAGCAAATAAAAATGAACGCAAATTCTAAAAAAAAGGTAATTTAAACAACACATTTTATTCAAAGTAAAATACAAAAAAAATCGACAAATAAGAAAAATAAAAAAACAAATGAATGTAACTGAACAAAATCAAATGAAATGTGTTTCGAGCGTCTCTACCCAATCCCCTTCAAAATCTATCTCAACACCAGGCACAAGATTCAAATTGTCAAACTTCAGCCATTCATTATTATAATTTTGGAATTGTTGGTCTTCAGTCCCGAAACCTCATATTAGGAAAAAATAAAAATGAATTAGATAATTGGCAAAACTTCACTCATTTGAACACTACGTGATCTTGAAGAACATATAAAAGAAGCAAGGTTTCTATTCTATCAGCGCATTAGAATGTTTGCAAAATCACATGTTCGGAAAAATTAAAGTGAACACCAAAATTTGGAAAATTATAAAAAATTGTGATGACAGTTACATGCTTTATTTAATGGCAAATAAGCTTCTTTACTGATCGTATAAACAATTACTTATTTAAATTACATTCCCAATGAGAACAATGGCGCATAAAAGTTTAAGAACAGACTCTCACCAAAGATAATACTACACTAGATAGACACCGTAATGGACAAGTTATTAACTGCTTATTTAGTTCTGTAAAGAAGATATAGGGGGCTTCTGCCATGAAGCCCATCATAGGAAGCCGTAATCGTACATATTCGACACACACTATTTCCCCCATGACTCAACATGCCTTTACATATTTACATAGATTAAATTACATTTAAAGATAAGGGCAAAAATCTGTGTAGGTGTGTTGAGAATTTACGTTACATTGCGAATATTAGGCACAATGGAATGTAATTATATAAAATTTAACAAATGCAATGCACGTTTTTTTTTCTTATAAGTTTTGAGTAAGCAAGTAGCCTTTGTATATACTTTATACAGGCGGGTGTATCGTGTAAACAGGAATAGGTAGATTGTCAGGCTGAAACTGAAAGTATCATTCTATGTAAAAAATATGGCAGTTTAAAAGATTTTTCTGTAACTGTTCTGGGATACATTTAAATTAGAGGAGCTTGACAAACACAATCTAAAGAGTCATTGCTCTAATATCGCGCCTGTAAATGTGAATAATCGATACTATTGTGGTAAAAACATTGACTCTGCAGGCTAAGCTGACTTTATACAAGCGGTGTCTATGTAGTGTAGTATTATCTTTGCTCTCACACTGCTTTTATCGTCACCAGGAGTGATTATCATTACGTCATTAACTAGCAGCTTATACTGCTCAATCATAAGAAACAGTATATCAAACAGAGATAGTGAATATTGGTAGAGCATTTGATGACATATCCTTTTGTTATTGAACAGGCTGCACTGTCGTCATCTCGGAGTATAATCTCTAATCAAAATGTAATCACTTCTGGCAAGGATATTAAAGAATTTATAAAATAATAGAAGGAGAAAGAAGAAGTACAATAAACACAAGCGGCAGACTTACAAAACGGTGAAGCATTTTTTTCTTGTTGCGAAAGTCAGTAGAATAGCTAAAAGAATAGTAAACACTTTAAAGATGCAACCCATGAGATCAAATTGTTTATCTAAAACCTGCAATATTACAAGTACAAAATTCAACACAGTGTATTTTATTCCCACATTAGCACACTGAGGCATATAGAAAATGGTTAGTAACAATGCACAAATCTGTGATACCCAATTAAAGGTTAATAATAAAGGGAACATTAAGTCCCAATACATACCATGACCATCCTCGCCAGTTAAAATAATTTGGCCCTCCGAGTTTAGTGTAGCTTCCGTGACCGAATTTAAGTCGACCACTTCCCCTTGAGCTCCGCCCTCCGTGATCGTTTGAATGGTTTCACCTGGCGTAGACTGGATCTGTAAAACATGGAAAAATTAAAATTAAATCGCATTGGGTGTTGCGTCGTTTAAGGGGCTGCGAATGTTTTAATGAAATTGATAATATATAAATAATTTAATACCTCTAACAGAAGATGATCGCCGTCTGGTCCATCATCGACATTCTTTTTAACCAGCTAAAATTACAAACACATTTAAGCAAAAAATAATACTTTATCCTACAAATAAAATTAATGTGTCAATAGCATTTTGTACTATTACAGTTCCACTTAAAACTTTACCAACACGTGCAAATAAAATCGACTTTAAACAAAGGAATACTACTGCACATTTAATACAAACCTGCGTACAGAGGGATATATTTGTTTTTCTGAAAAATACTCGTTCAACTCGCTAACGCAAACGAAAAACAAAGGTAAAAGTTGAACCGAATTTAAAAAGCAAGTAACTTTATAACTTTGTGATCAAATAATAAGTAATTTAATCGTGTTTAAGTAAAGTTCGACTTACTGTAGCCATGCCCTGGACATGTGCAGTCGTGCCATCAGGTAGCGTTATAATAGGATTGTTGGGGTCAACTTGTACAATACTAACGGTTCCATCCGGATTGGTAATTGTATGTAAAACGGCGGGCGCATACTGTGTCGTAATCTGAAAGTAATAATTGCGAATTTTGAAAATTAGCAATCAAGCGACGCGGGAATTTGTACTAAATTGTAAAGCTACTTTTCCAGCTTGTACTTCCAACCGTCCTCCGCAATGAGTACTAGCCACACATTAAGTTCGAACAAATAATTTTGAATTTTGGTGTCATATTCAAAATTCCTTTTAAACCTGCAATGGCTACATTAGCATAAGCTACCAAATTACCTATACAGGGTGTTGGGATGAAAAGACTGTGATGTTTCTTATTGAATACAATGACAATTTGGAGTATACGATTTCGTATTAAAATAGTGAAACTAAACAATAACAACTATACCTTTAAAAAATTTAATTTTGGTAAATTGTTACTTTCAAAACAGTCCTGCAACAGTACATCAGTCGTACTTAGCTCATGAAAAATATTTAAATAAACCTTTTTGTGCAAATGTTTCAATGTCATTTCTTAACCTCTAAATGGAAACCAATTCACTTTTTGGTTTTTTTGACAATGCTGCCATCTTTAATTTTTTTCCAAATAATTCCCCATGAGCAAGCCTCACGTCGATGAATCGTAGTTACCTTGATTTGAAATTAAGTGATACAATGTTGATCTGAATAAAGGGGCAACACCTTGATAATGAGAAAGTTGAATGTAGTGATACAGGGTGTTCACAAGGAAATCGTAAAATTTCCAATTTCCAAAGTGCCATAACTATTTTATTTCACTATTTGATAGTCTTAACAAGGTCGCTACAATTCATCAAAGTGAGACTTGCTTATGCATTCCAAGAAATGGATTTGATCTTTTATGGTATTCTAATTAAAGGTCTCAACAAAATCAACTACCAGCCCTCTTTCTTACCCTTTATCAAAATAAGTAATGAATGACACACTATACTTTCACATAAATTGGAAAATACGAAACCGTTCGGGAGTTACATTACAAATGATAAGATATCACAACCTGGAATCAGAAACCACTAATACATGATTTTCTGTAAAAAATGGATATATCCGGTTTTGCATGCCAACTCTTCAATTGTCCTAAAAGATGTGATTAAGGTTTTCAGGAAATAGAGATTTTGCACGGTTTCGTGTGAATTTAACAAATCTATTCTCAGGGGAGCCCGACCGGGCAGCACTTAGGCACATCAGAGGCCCATTGTGCCTTCAACAAATCATTAAATTTCAACACTTTTGTTAAATTTTAATTAATTAATCGCAAAAAAATAAAGTTCAGGTCACCGTATATGCCAGTGCAGTTAAACCGCAATAAATCAATCCCTAAAACTGATATCTTTCTTAGGCAAAAATGTTTTCTTGAAAAGTATCGCATATAGTACGCTATTTATTATAGTTCTGTTCCGAATTCTGTGTCATTGTTATACTCGGACAAAAACGAAATTTACCCTTTATTAAATCAATTAGTTCGCGATAGTCAATCATTCTTTTATGATACGTTCTCTTGGGGTAGCCCCACGTTGTACCACTAGAAAACTTCGTTAGTTAATTAAAAAAAGTGGGTTACTATTTGAAAAAAGAGCTGTATGACGTCACAGCGCTAAAAACTCATATTTAAAAAAGTTTCTGACAGATTCACATCCTTTATGCCTAATATACATTCGCAAAATTTTAGTTTTTTAATTTCAACTTTTTTTTTCTCTGTATTTTTGTAATAAAACCTGGCACAATTTTTGTAGGTTATAGAAGGGCAAGATCTTTCGAATAACTTGATAAAAATTGTGGGTTATTTGAAAAAGTTTGATGGTGTTGAGGCGGTCCAAATTTTTTTTCCAAAAATCCGGCCCATGATTTTTCGTTTCTGTATATCCAAAATTTGAACAAAATCCAAAGCCGTTAACTACAGATGGAAAAAATTGCATTTTTTTACCATGATAGAAGTACGCCATTGAGAACAAATTGAAAGTATGTACAATCGTAATTTTGGATACCATAAAGTTTCTTTAAAAAAGTGTCCCAGACAAAATTTCCACCCTGTATAAAAGCATTTAACGTCTGCAATGTTATTCGCACCTGTAAAATGATTTCTCTTTCTGCCGAGGTTACAGGTGTAAAAACATTCAATTCCCCAGCACCACCCTGTATAACGATTTGTTTAAATGAGATGTCTGAAATCTCTAAAACTACACCTTTGGATATTTATGAAATTATCTAAAAATGTAATTAGACTTTAATAGGCAAATCGACTTTCATCAAGTTATATTACCTGCGAAAACTTAGGTGTAGACTACAGTAGAAAATAAAGAGGTATATGAACTAGTTACTAAATTGTACAAGGTAATCGCACTTGATGCAATGTGAGAAAGAGATGGAAAGCCAAGTCTGTCTTTTTTTTTACAAAAATCACGATTGCGCACATTTATTTAAAAAATGCAGAACAAACTGAAATAGATAAGAAAAAATTTATATTTTCAATCCTCTAAGCGTTTAAAAGACAGGGTGCAACCACAATACCTTTAGATGTATATAATTCGTCAACGGTTTAAGAAAGACACATGCTTGCGAAAGTGGTTTTCGTCTGTGATTTTCGCAACAAAAAAACACCACTTCACTAGTGCAAGCGTTTCCCTGGATTCACTGTATGCTTATATGTTGGAGCTTTTGTAAAATATTTCAAAAATTGATATAATACTTTTGCCTTAATGAAATGGTATCAATTAAACTGTCTTTCCCCCCTACCTTACCGTTATGAAAAGAATAGTTACCAATGTTCGATAGTTTAAAGCATATTCGACAGTTACACTCTAGATTTTACAGAGGCGGGAATATTTGAATATGACCAAAATCACATGTTGCCAATTGGAAATTGTGGACTTCACATTTCCCGATTTCTTGTATTTATAGCGTCATTATTGAACATTGAAATTTGTCGTTACTATGCAAAGAATACAGATATTTTACTTACCACAAGGCTGAGAGTATTCCACCTATAATACAACTTTTACATTACCCAAAATTTCTCAACCTGTATACGAAAAAATCAATGTATCATTTTTAGCTTCAGAAATGCAATGAAATCCAGGAATAGATTATGTGAACTCCACAATTACGAGATAAGCAACCGACAAAAGCAACAGCCTAAATAGTGGCCATCATGATTACTGTTCCTAATCAATTCAAAGTGACGTAAACTGAAACTATTAATCACTTTACACGATCAGCAGCTTGAGCGACTACTGCGATATGTAATGACATACGATCATTAATAATTTCAGTTTACTGATACACACATAAATACTACAAAAATTGTTTCCCAAGCTCGCACGTGAACGCAATTTCCTATATGGGTGTAAACTAAATACGTTTAACATGCATAACATGCTAATAACACTGCACAACTAAAGAGTTACATTCGGATGAATTTCAGTTATTATAGACGAGGGAGTGGGTAGTGGGGATCAAGCTGCAGCTACAATGCTGTTCTGGAAGACCCTCATGTTTTATCAAAGAAACAATTCTGAAATGAAAATTAGAAGAGCAAGAAAAACAAAACGTGAGGCTTGTACCAGTAAAATCACTAATTTGAAGATACCAATTCTGAGGCTTCATTTTGACGTAAGAAAAGATCAAACTATGATCCAAAAAAAACTGATAACATCTGTAAAGGAAAACGTACCACAGAAGAGTATATTATAAAGTGACTGCTTCGCATATTAAATGGTCTCTTGAAGAATAAATAGCAATTGGAGGCGATGGTACCTTAGTTAATACAGGAGTGAAGAAAGATGAGATTAGAAAACCAATTAGGACGTCCTCTGCAGTGGATTTGTTTTTTAAAGCATGTACATGTACATTGCGGATGATTATTGTAAACTGGCACGTAAGAAGGCGAAAGATCACGCATCCCCACTATTCCTATTCTAATAATTACACCTACTAGTGCGCCATGGAGCCTGGTGGCTCCTCCTGCAGAAATTGATCATCTGCACATAGCCGCTCTCGCCTTCTTATGTGCCGGTACCAGTAAATGAATTTAATTTATGTACTCTGGTCCAAAAATCGTATTGCATTTAAGTTTTTTTTTTAATAACTTCATAAATATTATTGTTCAAACCATTGTTTTATTGTTAACTGAAGCTAAAAGGAAGAGTAGGCTTTAATATGCAAAAGAAGCATTTGAACGCACACTTCGAACCTCTTAAGGAACCTGATAACTTCGAAATTCAGCTTTCAATTTTTTCAGAATAAGACTATAGCACATACTTTTTTGAAACTATGCCATCAGTTTTACCCAAAAAATTTTAAAAAAATCTGAAAACAAATATTGATTATCAAATAGATTTTTGTCAAACTTTTAACCTCCTTGAAGAACCTGAAGACATTCTGTCCACATTATGCATAGTCTCTTTTGATAGTATTAAAGCACTTTTGAAAACTATGACATTTAAAAAAAAACAACAAAAAAGTAAAAACCCAGTTTTCGTTCCACCCACATGGGCATCACCAGAGAATAAAAATGGTAAAAATAGTTGCACTATTAGTATAGTACTTGTACCTTGCATCACATCTAATCTGTCTGTGTTACAAAACCAAGGTGTAACAGGTTTTTAGCTTATTTGCTTTTTCTTCCTTGACCACAATAATGTTAAATAGATTTCGCAAAAAAAAAATTACTGCTTGCATTACGACGTCGTCAAAATTAGGAAACAATTTTTGCGCAATACAAATTTTCTCTCTACCAATTGCATCATAGAGACATAATGCGGATTGCAAAAGAGTAAAACGTGGCATATTTGTTTGCAGAACACTAAGGGTTCGCACCACCTAAGAGGACAACACTGTTCGCATCATTACTTTAAAGACTGAAAAATTGCATTACACAACTAATCAATTAATTTGAATTAACGTTAAATATACATGGTGTTTCGAGTCTACTGAACATTCATCGATAATAGTGAAGATGGACATTACGAAATTTACGACTGTATACACTCAAGGTGTGTAGTTTACGCTACCACATTTTAACCATATTCAAATTTTGATTAGCAATGCATTGCAATTTAGTGTTTTGACAGTCCGACTAATTAAACAAGAGATCTTAGTTGATGAGAATCCTCGAGTATTCAAATTGAAATTTATTCTGTATAGGAAAATAGTACTCTTACAAAGAGGACAATAGTTTTTTATCCAGAAAAGCAATGCTAAATATGTGAGCATATGTTAAGTATATGGATCTTTTGACCTTTCATTTTCACCTAATAGATACCTGCGCCATGTTAGGTGTCCCTTTGACAATATGCCACATTCCGTCTCTAAAATTTAATGGTTTATTAACGAGGCCCGTTTTATGTATCCGTGATTGTACATTCCGCAAATAAGACTGCTATAACAAAAGAAAGCTAAAAAAAAATATATGAAACAGTAGTTAAGAACAAAACCAAGCTAACAATAAACTCAACTTCTAGATACTGGTCCAACATACGAAAAAAATATTGTAAAAATTGCCAATGAAAATTTCTACTCAGAAACAACGCAAAACTAATCAAATGTTTCCAGTGAGGTGCAAACTACAAAATTTATCAAATATGGTAACAACATCAATTTAAAAGTTAAACGGGTACGAACATCGACGTCTGAACTATATCCGGCCGGGTCGAGGCAAACCTGTGCCGACGAACCAGATATACCATCTGGTGAAGCAGCAATAATTTGAGGGGACCCGTTAGCTTGGATCTGTATCTTATGTGTAGGAACAGAGCCGGAAGAATGCATTTTTAGCACTCCCATAGATGTACCCACATTTGCATTAGCGGTTGCGGCCGCATTCGCTTTCTCGTCCTCTTCTGTAAATGCAGGCAATAAGTCCTCTCTCCCGTGAAATTTATAGCAGTTGATAACTATCTGTCGTAAAGCGTGGGTCCAGGAAATCTAAACACACAAATCTGATAAAAATGTCAACACTCAACTTTTGAATGCACCTTTTGCTTTTCGTCTTCACTCCGTGCGTCCATTCTAACATTTGCCCAAGGCAATTCCTTAGGCCACCACGGCGGTCTTGTAGATTCCCGTCCCCAGCCTGGCTTGCCACGTCCGGTCGAATATTTTAACATCAGAGGAATAAACGCCCGAAGTTGAGCTTGCGTCATTTTTTCAACGGGCGTCGGAATACCGTCGATTATTAGTGGGGGTAATTCGAAAAGTGAGGGGTCCTCTTGAACAGGCGGGGGAGCTTGGTGTGCAAGCGCGTTTTCCAACTCTTCCATTACCATTGAACGTAAGTTCTTAACTACATCTTCCAGTGGTTTTGCTCCAAAAACTTTGTAGCTCGTATTCGGCTTACCAGGTGTAGCAACTAAAACAACTGCCTGTTGTCCAACTCTTGTGGCAAATTCATCTATTGTTTGCTGGAAAAAATTTGACATGTAAAAAAACGATACAATTTGTACAACGCATACTCTTAGTTTTCGTAACAGCCGATTTTGCTGACGTTTGCGTATCGAGGGATTCGTTTCGAACGAATGTGGTCGTTTTCTCTTCTTCGCAGACACAATAGCAGCAGCTGCAGCGACTCCAACTGGACCTATCAATATAACGAGTACATAATATGAGATTTTACACATTTTTAAACATTGGCAGGACAGTCATTCGGTAGTTTTACCTGGAAAGTTTTGAATGGGTAATTTTATAAATTTTGATGTGCTCTTTCTGAATTTCAACTTTGCAGCTGGCGCCGCCATATTACAAAAATTAATAGTTTTGGCATACTTCACTATGCATTTTGCCTAAAAAACTTGGTAAGTTTTTTTTATCGTGGTATCCCCAGTAGGCCTAATGTATCAAAATATACTACTATTTTTTTCATTTGATAGATTTTCAAGAGTATTGACATACATATTCAAATGTAGATAACATACAGGCGGAAAACAAAGTGCTATTGCACCGGTCTAGCTTGTAGTACTCTACACCAGAATGCAAGACGGTAGTAAAAATCTCAGGGTTTGATCAAAGATCATAGTACACTACACACTTTTTTAATTCCAAACATTTTGCACACCGGTAATTTTCTGTATGACAAAAATTGAGATATAGGCACTACTTTGTTTAAGCCTAAGAGTTTTAAAGAGATTTCATGTAAATAGCCTTATATCTGTTGACGTTATTAAAATGATTCCATTTGAACAAAAATAGTTACGGCACTTTGAAATTTGAGAACTTTATCATTTCCTTGTGAACACCCTGTATCACTAAATCCAACTATCTCATTATCAAAGTGTAGCCTTTTATTCGAATTAAAATTATTGCTCAAAGATATTTAAAAAAACAAGGTCGCTACGATTTATCAAAATGAAGCTTGCTCACGGGGAATTATTCAGACAAAAATTAATAAGATGGCAACATTGACAAATCATCGAAAAGTGAATAGCGTTCAATGTAGAGCTTAACAAATGACATCAAAGCATGTAAAAAATACACGGTGTTCTATTTAAAACCCAACCATTGGACTATTGGAGAAGATATTGCCGAAAAAAACTGGGCGCCATTTTCCAACATGGCGGAAAGAGCACATCGAAATCCATAAAAACTTACCCATTTTCAAACTTCTAGAAAAGCTTTGCAGGTAATCTTTTTTTTAACCAAATAACTGTACTATAGAGGTACGCCACAATTGTGAGTAACAAATAATTTAACTCAAAGTAATTGAAAATTGGCAGTAGATATTAATCATTTGCACAAATTAAATAATGCAAAATCCATTTCAACATGATTACTATTATTATTGAAAAAACAACATTTTTAGTTATTACGCTACAATGACGTATTTAAAACTTGATCATTGAACAGTCTGACAGAAAAACCTTACCTGCTGCGGCTAACTGCGCCGTAACCTCATCTCCCATAGCAGCTGCCATAAGATCCGTAGTCTCTTCATATCCCGAACCTGGCGACGATGGGCAGTTATCGTCATCATCGTCCGACGCCCCAGAAAGGCCTCCCGGTGAACCCACAACCATGGCGATTTGATCTGATACCGAATTGCTTTGACTAGTATTAGAGCTGTTCATCATATTCCGTAGAATACACCAGGATTGTCGGCCACCTCACCTGAAGGAAAGGAAAATTTGCTTACAAACTTCCTAGTAAAAATAGGAACGGCACCATTTAGATACCATAAATAAAACCTTCACACTAGCAGGTGACTAAAGCGTATTTTTCAAAAGCAGTAAAAGAACCAACATGTGTTAACTGCCTTTTATCAGAATCACATTGCACCATAAATATGAAAGTTAGTTTGCACATGCGCAAATCCGTTTCATCCACTAGATCTTTAGGAGTTCAAGTTAAAATTTCGTTGATGACATCTCTTGCTAAATAATAAAGTTGGGATTCGCCTTTTGACATTTTTTGTTAATCCAAGCTATTAAATTAAAAAAAAAAAACGCTAATTTTCTACAAGTCTGTGCCGAGTTATATCTTCATGATAAATACATTTGGAGTCAACTGCCCGATACTAAATTGTTGATTAATTATCTTAAAAGAATAAAAGTTGGGTTACGCATGCGCAAAACTAATTTTTTGTACCGCCATTATTTACTTTCATTCAAAATTACTTTTTTTTATTCAGCATTAGATTTTAAGTTTCTATATATGTATAGCGTTTCATTTAATTATCTTGACAAATAAAACTTGGGTTGCGCATGGACACAGCAAAATTTCTGTGCCCGCCTTGATTTTAATTTTATTCGAGGTGCCTGTAACTAAATTTTATTGAAATATATTAAAAAAAAATTGGATTGCGCATGCGCAAATCAAATTTTTCGAATCGGTATTAGTATTACTTTCATTTCAGGTGTATGTACCATGTGTCCTATTTTGGCTGACATATGCCACTTTTTTGTGAAACTTTTAATGCCACAAACAGAATCAATCTAGCTACATATGTTTCTGAGATACAGCGTGAAAACGAAAAATTTCACTTTTGGGATGCAATATAGAAAAAAGGGAAAGACTGTCTATTTTAGATATTTTTAGGTAGAATGCAGTGGCGTAATTTTGGACTACCTTTTTTGAGATTTGAGCCAAAGTTGGTAAGTTGTGTATAGTCATTTTTTGCATTGTTTTTCCAGATTACATTGATGTATTTATTTTTTTAAATTTCAGCGTTGAACCAAAAATAAAAACCCTATTTTTTACGGTTCTTAACTAGGTAGTAGGCCATGGATTCATGGACATTTTGGGTCGTTTATTCTATACATTTTTGGGTGAAATGTGCTCGACTATGACTAAGGAAGTACCTGCTTTAAATCAAAGTTCGGAGATAGTGTAGTAAATCAAGTTGGTAGAGTGAACTCAGATTAACAAAAACAATACAGCCACCAAAGCGTCCAAATGTAATTGATTTTGGTTTGAAATAGGTAAAAACTTACCTACAGGGTCTTACGTAAAAAAAATTAAGTGATAAGAAGACCAAAAGAAGCATTTTTTCCATAGGTACAGTCATTCACAAAAGTAATGATCACCGAACAACAACCAACATTTGAATATATTGTGCAACTTCGAAATACAAACTAACCCCTTGAAGAAACGGACGGAGACCAATGTTATAGGCGATATTGCAAAGTTTACCTATTAGGCGATCATTATTTTTGTCAATGACCGTACATAGTTTGTGAGCTACTATAAAAGCAATTTTTTTGAAATAGTTGCTCAACAATCATAAAAGGTACAGAGTAGCACATTTTTGTTTAAGTTCTTGATAGGTTTAAAAAAAATGCTCATAATGGTCTCCTCTTGCTCCCCAAACTGAATTGATATTGACCAATGTTACATACATTAGTCCTAGATGTCCCAAATTTAGTGGACTTGCTTAGGTAACTTTATTTGTTGAAGATAGAAATGAGGTTAAATGAGCAAAGTTTTGCAGTTTTGTGTGCTCAATAAACTTGAGCTTCGAAAATGTCAAAAAACGGACTTGCTTAATATTAAAAAAAAAACAAATTGAAAACAAGTAAAAAGAAAAGGATTCTGAACTTGGCTGGGCTAATTTTTGCAGGAAATGTACTTTTTTTAACTTGCCATAAATCAACACTTTTCAGTTTATTTAAAAACAATTTAATCAAACCCAATTTTCTAAATGGAATTTTAGTGAGTACACAAAACTTTTCCCATTTTAACATTTGCTACCTTCAACTGAGTTACCCACTTAATCTGGGACACCCTGTATACATATATATCAGCCTAAGAAAACAAATAGTATATATTATTATTTGTATATTGCCTGCTTCTTCAAAAAATTAAAAAAACTACATTACTAAATAAAAAAACCAAATTTATATTTTCTCTTAAAAAAAACACATCTGAAACTGTTTAATCGACTGTATATTTATACCGATTCATGCAAAAGTCAATCAATTTGGCCGATATTGGACATCATGTTGGTCGATTTCTATCCATTATACCCTCTGTATGTAATTATGGCAAGGCATAATGTCGAATCAACTCTATACAACTGATAACCAGATTAGTTTAGCATAGACAAATCACATTTTGCATGCATACGAATCTCCATGAATTATTATAAAGATAGAAGAAGTGCTTCCCACTGAAAAATCCTAATCTCTGTTTAGGTCACTAGGTCAATTACTCCAAATTTACATCCATTATCCATTGATGCAATGCCAAGAGTTCTTCGTGCATTGTTTGCAAATGACCCGTCATTGAAAGAAAAGTTTACAGTTGGCAAATTTCCGACCTTCAATTGTTAATTGGGGAGCAATATCTGAAAAGTCATCTCCTGGTCTAATCGCAGTGTTAATGTAAATAAGCTAATGTTTATTTAATCTGAAGAATGTTTGTTACAATGATAAGATGTGGAATGTAAGAAGATTCCGTACAGTCTAAAGAATGTAGGTAACAAATTTGGTGGTGACCAGAAATTCCAGAACTGCATTTCCACGAAACGGATTCTGCACCAAATGTGACGATTTAGATAGAAATGTTCGTTTGCATGAAACACATTTAAAACCACGGTAGTTCAATATTTTGTACAGTCATCTACGAAAGCAGCCATCTCGACATAACGAAATGAATTCATTACTGCTGCCCGGTTCGAGTCACAACGAAAGTAGCAATCTAAAACACAACGTACAACCTACGAGTGCTCGTAGAGTACAACAAGTATCGGTTTAACCTCAAAATTAATAGAAATAACTATGTCAAAAGGAGCAAGTGAATGTTGACACTGAAAATACATTGAACCATATTAATAACAATCCAAAGGCATAGAAAACAAAATCAATATAGAGCCATACCCCTTTCCCCTGCATATTAATTCCAAGCAAACGTGCCTAATCGGACGTTTCCACACTTCACACATTATAAAAATTGGTAAACTGGTAAGGTTTAAAGAGATCGTTGGGATGCATGAAGAAAACGACGAATAAAGCACGTAATTGAGAAGGCGGTTTGGCGGCAGACGGTATCCATTGTAACATGGCTTCCTAAAATAGTGATATATGCAAGCCAAAGCTACATGCACTTTCATGCTGCACTATATTTATTGAATTAATAAACTAATGGCAAAATAACGCAATCATGTTAGTTTGAGCGAATCGCGCGTTCGCCAAGAGCGGAGCAGGCCCAGTTAAAATTATTAGTACGGCTGCGTACGCACCTGCGTGTGTGTATCACATTAAATAGAAAAACATGTCTCTTAGCGCCGTTTTAGAATATACAAAATCTTTGGTGCACTTTTCTAATTCACGAGACACCGATCCACATTTTTTCGCAGGTAGATAAACTGTTATCACTATGGGAGGTGCATTAACAACACATTCCCCATTATCGATCGCGGGCAGTCATAGTTGGTAATACCCGACATTATTTTAGTAACAGCCATATTATGGGAGTTTGCGCATTTACTACTTGTTCTAATAGAAATGTTGACATACCTTTCAGTTTCGTTGTCATTACTTTCGCTTTTTACGATAACATAACACACTATTCGTTCGAATTTTTGGTAGAAATAGAATTTGCTGAGAATGCAGGGCGTGTAGACGATAACGAAGAAGCTTTTCTTAAATAAATATATTTTAGGGTTGCGAGTGCTGCTATCTATCGGTGGCGTTTATAAATTTATTTGTTGTGATGTCAAGCGACATGTGAGCTGTCATATGTTCGCTCCCTTTTAGCACCACCCCTTCGTCGAGATTACTACAGCGTTGCCATGTGTATATTTCTTCCCTTAAAATACAATTCTCATGACAATATTTTCTACGCCACCTTGTAGGTATTTTAAAAACCAACAGCCTTCTACGCACCGACCCTTCCTGTCACATAAACCACCTCGGCTACCCTCCATTGGTAGTGTTGATTTATGTTAATAATCCAAAACAAACAACACTACTGGATTGGAGATTTGTAACGTAAAATTTATTTCAGTAATATATGATGTTGTCCATCAATAAAAGTTGTTTATAACACGAACCATGCCCGTAGCCAGGAAATGGCCCCACACCTAGAACGTGGTTTTGCTCCCTCTGAAAATTATAGTTCCATTATAAAAAACAAAATATAAATCACACAAATTGTTATTACACCCATTGAAGAAAGTGAAACAAAGATTACAGCAATAGATGAATTAAACTAGAAAATAAAGAAATAAATAATTAAATAGACTGATGGTTATGTAGCAAAGTTTAATAAAAAATTATCCTTTTTGAAACGGGGAGAAACGGTTATATTTTTATGTGAACTTACTTAAAGAGTGGGGAGGGGGACAAGATCAAAAAAACAAATATATTTGACGTACTACAAAAATTACAGCACTTGGAATAGATGCCTCCGTTATGTAAAAACACAGAAAACATATAGTACTATCTGGAGTAAAAGTAAGTTTTTTGTTAAATTTTAATTTTTGAAACAGGGAGAGGCTATACGTCTATATAAACTTAAAAGGGTAGTTTGTGGATCCTGTAAATAATTAAATTTAAAAACCCTTCCTCTTCCTGTAATAGCAGATACCTACGTTATACAGTACCTCAAAATCAGAATAAATTGTTAGATAAACATACACGTCAAATCTTGCTTCGTTTTCGAATTGAGGTCGCATGTGAGTGACGCCATCGTTGCTGAGCAATGTCTGGTAGCCATTAATGATCCTGATCAACGTGCGAAAACTGTCTTCGTGCGGAGTGGTTGACACTTTGAACAATTATAAATATTTAAACATTTTTAGTTTGCCTTTTACGTTAATTAACGGGTTAATGATTTTGGACAAGCAAATCGACAGCACATTAGTATAGCAATGGCATACTACGCGCAATGCAAATATTGAGCACTCAACATTGTTTCGTTGTCAGATTGCGTATGGCCGTCTACCGGACATAGGTTGCATACTGCATGGGAGACATATAAATCTACATTGCGAACATCCCCCCCCCCCCCCATAATGGTTTTTAATCCCGCCAGTAACAACTTGTACAACTCCAAATTTAAGAATTTTTTATTTCATTTTTTATTTTCATTAAACAAATAAAACAAACTATACATTCTTGCAATATAAGCATAAGTTGAAATTAACAAAGCACGCATTCGCTCTCTATTCGCGACAACCGGACTACTAACACCAAAATCGCAACGAAATGGTGTTGATTCAACAGGAATCACAGACTCGCAGACAGACAGGCGGCAGACGAGTAGAATTTCAGCACTCATTTCCTTTTGAAAGCAAGATCTCTACGAAAGTTTTTATTTGTGATTTTGTCGTATTTAAAAATTAAGGTGTTATTAGGTGCTTAAAGGAATCGTTTGACCTATTTGAAAAGTATTAAATTGAACTTCATTGTTCTGCCGGAGTTATACAGTAGTCGCGCCTGCCGGGGGCCGGAGAGCACGATGTAAAACCTGAGACTCCGGCTGAATGCCTAAACATCTGGCAACACTGTTTCGTTTTGAGCTTTTTACGAATATCATAGAGTTAGAGTAAATAATATAGTAAGACGTTGTATGTCTCAACCTATGTTTTTTGAAGCAACGAGATGTTTATACTCGTCAAGATTGATAAAACGCGGCCCCTGTTTCTTTACATACTCACCCTATATGCGTAAAATGCTCCTCTGAACGCTCTGTAAAAAGAAAGTGCTCTTGATGAATTTTTCCTGCAGAGGGTAGGAATTTTTTAAGGGCGAATTTTTCTGGTGGTTTCCTGCCTCTTTTGAAGACTGATGTATCATATTTATATATTTGAATGCAGATATATGTGCCACTCTGCACCCCCCCCCCCTCTTTTAGAGGTCCTGATGGATTTGAAAATCGTTCTCTTGCGCATTGGCGCCATCTAGTTGGCAAACGGCGACGATGTTTAAGATATTTACGGCTAGAGGGAGGGCTAGCGTGTCTCACATCCCATCAACCAACCAAATTATTACGTTCACAGACCGCATTGCGAACTCGTGTTTTTTGTGATATCCCGTAGTTGTAAAAAATGTTTCGTACATTAGCTTTTCGTGTCAATTCAGCTATACGAAATGGTATAAACGTAAATAAAGCGAGCCCTGTGGGTGTGGTAAATAGATGTATGTCTCACGGCAAAACGGAAACTGATGAGGAATTTGATAATAGGTGAATTATGTAACGTTGTGTTTTTAAGTAGTAGACACTTACGCTAGGAAATATTAGGGTTAACTGGTCTATGTTATAGGTATGAATCATATTTTAACAGAAAGGACATCGACGGCTGGGAAGTTCGCAAAGGGATGAACGATTTATGCGGAATGGATCTAATCCCCGAGCCTAGAATAATTATTGCCGCGATGAAAGCATGCAGACGTATAAACGATTACGCATTGTGCATAAGATTTTTAGAAGCACTTAAAGCCAAATGTGGCGGCAAGGTCAACGAGATTTATCCCTATATCATAAACGAAATCCGACCCACATTGACTGAATTAGGAATCGATACACCAGAGGAATTGGGATATGATAAACCGGAGTTAGCCTTAAAAACGGTATACGAATAGTAAAATAAGTTTTTCTTTTAAAAATTAGGATTATCATAGCTGTGAGATGTAAATCGTTATTTGTGTTAAATAAAATTGGTTAAGTTTCTTTATTGTTAAATGTGCAATGGTATAGTTTTTTGTCAAAAGGAAACTGCTTATCTCTTCTCACTGAAATTTATGACTCACTTATAATGTGACCTTTTCTATGATACATTGAAGCTCTGGATCTTTTGGCTTAAGCTGGGTAACTAGCTATGTGGCTGGCAATGACTTTGAACCCAGTGTAAAGTAACAGTTGATTGCCAGCTGCTTCAGGTTGTAGATTACTTCAGAATATCAAGTGTGGGCCATTAAGTCTGCATGTAAGTGTCTCAATCATTTTTTGCACCATCTTTAGGTTTTTAAGTGCAGAAAAAAATGGCTCCATTGTGGCTGTAGGATAGCTCTTGTGATACTCAAACAGTGGATATAAATATGTACTGCCTTCATGATTAGAGTTGACCACCCCCAACGTTACTTAAGCCACTCCGCGCTTGAGGTAATAAACTATGAAGACACATGCAAGGGAGTCCCTCAACATTTAGGCGACTACGGGATATTCACAAATAATGTGGTGTTTCGCCTAATCCCACGGCGGCACGCTGATATCAAGTCGCATCTGGTTTTGTGTTTTGCCTTGATATCTTCAGATACAGTGAACTAGTGACGCAACGGAAGCAGAAGGCAAAGTATTTTTGCGGAAGCGGAAGTGTAAATACTGTCCAATTTGATAATTAGCTGGCAGTCCCCGCCCGCGACACGTCACGCGGTCCCGTTCGGCCAATCAGAACGCACAGCGCAACTTGTCATATTTGAAAAATTCTGCTATACTTCCGCTATAAAATAGCGCAGGTGGAAGTCGAAAAATATACAGAAGCGGAAGCAGAGGTCACTAGAGTTCAAGACAGCTGCTCAGAGCTGGGCAGTATTCGATTTTGTAAATACCCTTTAGTTTTCAAATCCTTTAAAGTATTCAAATACTTTGTATTTAAATACTTTTATGGAAGCAGTATTTGTTTTTGTAACTCAAATACTTTCACAAATATTTAGTATTCGAATACTTCGCATAGTATTTGAATACTTAACCTTCCTCTTTTTTTACCAAAAATCGACTACTCCAAAATTTCTCGGGAAAACACTTTTTCTTATTAATTTTGGTGCGTAGAATCCAAAACAATACGTACTTTTTCGATCAGACTTCTCAATCAAAAGTTATAGACTAGAAACCAATTTCGAAAGAAAATTCAAAGGGCTGTAACTTTTGAACTAGTAGCCCAATCTTGGAATTGTTTGAAATTATGGATTCTACAGGCCACATTCTATAAGAAAATTTTTTTTCCGGGTCGATCTGAGAAAATTTTTTTTTCGGGCCTCCAAAAAGGCAGTGTATATAACCTTCCTTTTTTACCAAAAATCGACTACCCCAAAATTTCTCGGGAAAGCACTTTTTCTTATTAATTTTGGTGCGTAGACCAAAACAATTCGTACTTTTTCGATTAGATTTTTCAATCAAAAGTTATAGACTAGAAACCAATTTCGAAAGAAAATTCAAAGGGCTGTAACTTTTGAACTAGTAGCCCAATCTTGGAACTGTTTGAAATTATGAATTCTACAGGCCACATTCTATAAGAAAATGTTTTTTCCGGGTCGATCTGAGAAAATTTTTTTTCGGGCCTCAAAAAAAGGCTATACACTGCCTTTTTTACCAAAAATCGACTACACCAAAATTTCTCGGGAAAACACTTTTTCTTATTAATTTTGGTGCGTAGAATCCAAAACAATTCGTACTTTTTCGATCAGACTTCTCAATTAAAAGTTATAGACTGGGAAACCAATTTCGAAAGAAAATTCAAAGGGCTGTAACTTTTGAAATAGTAGCCCAATCTTGGAACTGTTTGAAATTATGGATTCTACATGCACATTCTATAAGAAAATTTTTTTCCGGGTCGATCTGAGACAATTTTTTTTGCGGGCCTCAAAAAAAGGCAGTGTATAACCTTCCTTTTTTACCAAACATCGACTACACCAAAATTTCTCGGGAAAACACTTTCTTATTAATTTTGGCGCGTAGAATCCAAAACAATTCGTACTTTTTCGATTAGATTTTTCAATCAAAAGTGATGGACTAGAAACCAATTTCGAAAGAAAATTCAAAGGGCTGTAACTTTTGAAATAGTAGTCCAATCTTGGAACTGTTTGAAATTATGGATTTTACATTCTACAATACAGTCGCGTTGGTAATCAATATGTCAAGGACCTTTTCCATTTGATAGGTCTGTACTCTTTAGGTCTGCTGAACGACCTTTGGGTATAAACACCACATTAACCTCTCGCCATGTGTTTGGTACTTATGCGAGGTACCTACAAAAAAGAGATAATGCCATCTCCATCAAGTGACTTGAAGGGCTCATTAAACTAATTCTTGGGTGAAGATTGTGGCGGCCTCACTTTTCACTCTAAGAGTGCAGGGGACTTCTAGTTTCAGCTGACGCCACAATTTGGCGAGAGCCTTGAAAGTGAGTGGTTAGTAACAGGCTCGATCTTTTCCATGGTTTCCACTGCTTGAGTGATCTTTGATAGATCCTTTCGTAGACATGAGGCTGCAGAGATAGTATGCCCTCACATTTGCACTATTATAGGACCATTTATTTCGGGATTATAACTAGCAAGTATAGGTACTGACTTTGAGATTTGTTAAATATTCTTCTGGCAACAGGGTATGTTCCTTGAAAGCATTTTGCTATGCAGGCTGTTTAAATGTCCTCTACTGTTTGGTGAATTTTATCACTCAGATCTGATATGATGCGCGCGATTCTGTAGGTGGGGAGACCACCACGTGTACTGTTAATGTTTAGAAATAGTCGCCCACAGGAGAGATAAGTGTTCCTCCTTAAGGACATCCTCCATTGGGGTGAGGGAGGGGTTCTATTGGGCGTCTGTAACTGATTTTTGTTGACTTGCAAATTATGTATTTATACTACATTTCCCATTTTCAAAAAGCTCAAAATCCTCGGTTTAAGAGTAGTTGTGTAATAATAAAACCAACACAATATTTAAATTTTATTGAGTGCAAACTGACATTGTAATAAAGTAAATTATAAAAAATAAATCAAAATTTGTATAACAAAATGTATTTGTAACTACATAGGCATAGAAATAAGGAAACTGTCCGTAAAAGCCATTAAATGAAAATATTTAGTCGGTGCTCCATGGGAATTGACCACTTAATTCTAGTACGATTTCAGCATACACACAGTCCCCTATACAACAACAAAATAACAGCTGCCTCAAATGATGACAATATTATAAAAAAATATGTTCATTGTTAGATTGAATGTGTAATAAGTTAAAAAATAAAATATATATTTGTAACAAAAATGTTATTCTAATAAAAGCAGCTATATAATAATAAATATATTCAAGTATCAAATACCTTACGTAATATCCAACAGTGCATCATTTTGTTAATAGTACATCTTTAAAAAATTCATGCTGAGCGACAAACTTTCATATATTTTACACATACAAAAGCACATACTACACTGATATAAAATATATTAATTTTTATCCGTAACTAATTTTTTGTTAATATTGTGAAGAGTTAATATGCCACAACTGAAAGGACAGACATTAAAAAGCGACCATAAGTAATGTAACAAGCAACAAGTATGTAAACGCATAATCATTATACTAGCACCACCCCAAACCTTTTAAAAATACCACAATTTAGTGACACATTTCATACAATGACCACATTCCAAATGATAAAAAAATATAATCTTCTAATCTGTTACTATTTATATACGACAGCGAATTTTTTTTATTTGCCCTAAAATAGTGTGGCGAGTGGAAACAATTTTTTTTTCAATGATCGGTACACATCATTCGGCCTATTCAAGCAAATTTACTCACAGTACTAATTTATTTCACAAGGTGCATAAAGTAGGAGAAAAAAAGATAGTAAATACAATATACTTATGAAATTAACTTGGTAGTTTAAATTTAGGTGGGAGGTCGTTTTTGCACAAATTTGCCAAATAACTAGCTTTGTTTGCCGAGCCGGATTACGAGAGCTTTTTACAAACCGGCAAACAAACAAGCTTCATTAAGCATAAAGATTAAATTATAATACATAAAAATAAGTTGTGCAAAAGCAATCTCGATTCCTATACTTACATATATATGTATACATACACAATAGTTAGTAAAAGTACAGAAATAAGTGATCAAATGGATTTTCTTAATTTGTGACCATAACCTGAATAAACGATGCCCTTGCCATTTAAATCTCATAATCTAATATCGCACGTTGTGAATATCGTTCGTAAAACTTAGATACAAAAGAAAATTAGTCTTATCTTTCACGAAAAAGTCAACCTTTAAATTCATTTTCAGTCTAACTAGATGTTGATATGTACTTTTTGGTACACCACTTGAGTATATACACAGCCATAGTTGAACATTTAGTCAGATCCAAAAATAAAAAAAATTCAAAAATGAGTTTGTATACATACACATGAACTGTATAATCAGGCAGTGTAACAGAAGTTTCCATTTTAAAACCTAATTAAGGAAACGTGAACTAATTATCGAAAACTTACATTATGTGAAATAATAAAATCTAATTCTCTAACTTATTAACGAAATATATAAACTATATGCTAATCTGACCCTCACCGTTACAATTTATAAGTGACACTCGCACCTTATAAATTACAACACGAAAGTCAAACAAGACTACACATTTAATATTATTATCGTAATTTATTTTGATTTTAGGTGTTAAAAACTACAATTTAAACCTAAAATGGACGAATCGATATCCAAAAAAATCCGTTAACTTAATAACATCATCTTATGGTAAGAATCTGTTTGTGATAACTGTAAACTAATCGAGGTGCGGAACTGTAAATTATACAAACCACACTTAAAGCTTTCTTACCATAAAGATATTCACTAAACGAGAATGCTTAAGCTAAATACCGAAGAATTACAGTAGTACGATGAAATATTTGGTTGCGTATGAGGTGTTAATAAGGCTAGACGTAGGTTGCCGTTGCATTAGTTCGAGAGCCACCGGTAGTAGGAGTCGAGCTTAATTGTTTCATATTACTAGGTACATATTGACCGATGAATGAGCCATCTTCAGTAAAGCGACCTAGTAAAAAATACAACCCTTAATTTACGTACGACAGATCATAATTAGCGGCGCAATTTGTTAATGGCGTTAGTGCTTAAAATAAAACCACAAGAAAATCCTTACACATTAAACTAGTGTCGCAAATCCCTGCGATGTAGTCTCACCGGGCTTCGTTTTACGGCCATATTGGCCAATAAATGAACCGTCTTCATTCATACCCTCTACACAAAATTAAAATAACAAAAATGCATTAATAACCAAAAATAAAATAATAAAAAATATACACAAAAAAATATTCTTCAAAAACCCTGTGAAGTGGTAGATAGCGAGTAAGATAATCACCCTCATGGTAGCAGAACAAACATTGACATTGTACGCTCAATGTATCAATTATTATTGCAACGTCCTGTTTTCATTTTTTTTTAATGCCAAAAATAAGGGTAGCTCTTCTGGGTTGGTAAAAAATGCGCTTAAGTAGCGTAATTTTCGGTTAAAGGAAACGGCAAGCGGGACACCTTGGATATAACATTATTCAAAGTTTGATTAGGAAATCTGGTGGAATAGGCTAATTGACGGATTTTATTTAATTTTAGTAGTAGTTTTACTTTTGCTGTAAACATTGTTCAATAATTAAATAATTGATACATAGAAGGTAAAAAACATGTGGGTAAAGAAATTATTGCGTCTTTTTGGGAATTATTTAGCAGAAGTCTCATATAGGGACTTTATCAAAGTAAAATTTAATTGATTTAGATAAACGATGGCACATGTTCAAAGTTGTAGATATGAAAGTTCGATGTAAGTAACTGTATTGTGTAGTGTGAAATTCACATACGCAACTTTCCAGTTAAGTTATCAGCCGGTGTTTCGAAGTGTTGTTTGTCAGTAAAATTAAGAAGAAGTGATACAGGAATAGTTTCTGATTGCTATCCAAAGTTAGTGTTTACGCAATTAGTTTCAAGTTATAGAAGAGGAGGTGATTTTTCAATTTGAAAGTTGTGTCTTTATTAAAATTAAAGTTTGCATCAGAGCTGCCACAACGACAATCGTCATGGAACCAGTGTTGGTGATTTAAAAAAGAAAGTTTGTGTAAATAAGAAAATTGCTATTGCAAACTCTGCGAATTTGATTTTCACTATATGCGCTGTTTGCTTTTATGAGACCCAGACATGATTAAAATTTCAAAAAAAGATCTCCATAAATAAAAAACATAACATTAGAACTCTCAGCAAAGGAGATCACATTTTTAGTGCTATTGTTCGCACTTTTGCCATCTGTAGCACTACTAGTCCTCTATTTGAAGCTTTTTTTATTGTGGTTTCTTTCTTATACGGTGTAGCACAACCCCGAGGCCCTGCACAATAAAAGATTTTTGGATTGGTCACTTCCTTCTCAAGTTATTGCTGATTCTGTGCGGGAAAAATGCGCTTTCGTTGGTCGGGAGTGACCACGTCTATATTGGTTTAAATATTACCTCTGGTACTGTCATGGTATCCTTTGCAAAAAGGTCATCAAATCTTCGTAATGCTGGGAAAAGCACAGCACTGGCAGATGTTGGAGGGCTTCCAAGCTCATGTTACAAGGCTTCTGAGAGGCATTCCAATCGAGGAGTTGCAGGGTGTCTTTCAGGTAATCGTTTTCGCGAGTTTATTCATGCAAAAGGAAATTATTTTGAAGAATTTTAACCATTTGTAGCAATCTGATCAATAAATCTATTTTTCTTTGAAGATACGCATTACTTTCATAGTGCACCCTGTATAGAAATATTTCAATTTATTAAGTAAATTTGGAGAATTATTTACGAAATAAGCACACAGTTAGTTCGTTTTGTTTGAATTTGTATCTGTGTTGTTTTCCTTTTAGAAATGTTGTTAATGCGTAATTATTGTTTAAATTTGTCGCTTTTGTAATTTCTTCAATTTAGGGTAGGTATATTAGAAAAAAAAAATGGGAGGAAAGTTTCGATTTTCTCCCATTCTATGCTTTTTGGATCAATCAAAATGCTCGAGCAGTTTATCCCGAGCGGAAAAAACGCTCGCGAGCAGTACCAAGCTCTGCTAAAGTACTAGGGTGAGTCAAATGAAACCCGTGCGTGACGAGATGAGATGTCTAGAAATTGACGCGCCTTTGTAAACGAGAATCATGGATCGAGTTTCATTTGACTGCGCCTATTAGTATAAATAGTATAAGCTTACACAAACCTTCTGTTCAATACAGACCCCTCCACCAACTGAAAAATATGGAGAGTAGATCCTATACATAACTATTTTCATAATAACTTTCCCTATATTTCATTATTGATGTAGTACCTAAGGTATACTGGGTCCGGGAACATGATTCACTTTGGAGTGGCTCTAGCGGTGGAAAGAAATTTTGTATAGAACAAGCTTGTCGAAAAAACATTTCCTTTTTGAGATAGCGGCCAAAAACTGAGGACAGTGCCAAAATTTGGACAAAAAGTGCAAAAAAAACAAAGTTCCGAGCCAGTACAGATTCGTGTTGAGTGACCCAAAACGCATAAAGGGTGAGAAAATAATTCTCTGAGAATCCCCTAGCCTAATTTAGATGGTGTTAGCAGTAAGACACATCTTGCCGTTTGTGATAAGGAGTTTTATCAGGCGAAAATTAAATAACGCACGTGTCGTGTTTTATCGTTCGTACTATGATCCATTTCTTCTTAGTCATCCCTAGCAGTAAAGACACTAATAATTATTATAAGACAATTACTTTAATATTCAGTCAAGATCAAATTGTTACCATGCTTCTTTTCGCTAGAAAAAATTAAGAATGGCTCGCTATCCATACTTCACACAATAGACACCACTAAAAACGAAAGACTTCCAAAAAATAAAATACTATCCCAACTGCACATAACCTCAAACTTCTCATTAACTTACCAGTATCTCCCTCTCCATATTCGGCCATAGAATCCGTGTCACTTTCCGGACCTACTTTAGGCTCACTACTCATCGAGGCCCTACCATGAGATTTGTTATCCAAACTGAAACGTATTATATAATGTTCAATCACTCAGTAAACGACACTTACGGTTGGGAATACTCGTGAAAACCGCCTTCGTCCGGATAATCTCTTCTGCCGTTCGCCTGCTCACGTTCGTGCACAGCGTACTTACCGCCACGATTTCTTTTAACAATGCAGACCAGTATGAGAACGAGAAGCAGGAACGCGATGGCGAGCATCATCCCAATGAACCAGCCGGCAGTCGCGACGTTCTCGTGATGCTGTATAATTGGTCCGGTACCGTAAGTGTCGATCTCTTGAGGTTGACTCGGTGTGTAATTAGTGCCATCTGCGGCTACGAGAATGAACTCGTACGTCTGATCTTGTTGCAGTCCCTGCACCATCAAGTAGTCATTGTTTTCTTCCGGACTGGTCGAGATGTAATCAGAATCTCCCTTCTTCTTATACTTGACAAAGAAGTAGGAGCCTGGTTTTCCTTTGAAGTTTGGCAACCATGTCACCTTGATACTTGCCGAATTGTCGTTTGTGGGAATTCGTTGACACGTAAAATCGGGCACTGACGGCCAAGTTGTACCGATCGGTTTGGTTTCACGTTCAATGAAGTACCTATAAAGAACCAAGGTAGTTAAATGTTAAAGAAGGTTAGAGCATACTTTGAGGATTCTCCTGCGTTGGTTAGAGCAGAAACGTATAAGCGATATTTAACACTGGGATGCAGGCCGCCTAATTTTGCACGAAGCTGATCTGGATCTGTAATTTGCTCATGGCGAGGGGTTAATTTTCCTACAGCTGTTTCTTCGACAGTTTCGTAATAAATATTGTAGCCTCTTAGAATGCCATTGGGCTGTTCTGGTTTTTTCCATTCCAAATAAAACGCTGAAGAACCTAACTGGTAGGCTTGTAATGACGATATGGGTCCAGGTACTGAAAACAATTGAAATCACCTAATGTTAAACAAAGAAAATGCAGTACCTCCTTCTGGCATGTCGAAACTTAACGTCTCACTCGGTGGGCCATTGTACTTATCGTTGTAAACATAGACTTGTGCGTAATTTTTACTGAAGGGTACAAAATTGTTCACTAGCGCTTTTGTTGCGTCTCCTTGCACTTGAATTTCACGATGACCAAATCTGTTTTCTGTCCAGGTTTTAATTTTGTATCCTCTGAAATGACCTCTAACGGAACTGAGCGGTACCGGATTCCAGCTGAGTAAAGCGGCAGTCGGTGATTGAACTTTAATTAAGCTAAACTTGTCCGGTGCCATTGTCGGTTGGTCTTCGCCGGAATATCCGATTACTTCCTTTGCAGCTACATTAGATGCACCCATTTCGTTCATCGCAAGTACTTTGACTCTGTACTGTGTAAATGGAGGGGTGTTTTCAATGACCGTATGATCTTGTTGCCAATCCATTATATCTCTGGTTTGGAATTCTTTCTCCCGAATGTCTTCCTTCCAATACACTTTGTAGTGGAATCGCGGCGCGTTGTGTTCAATTTGAGGCATCGGCTGTAAGTAATACTAAACACGGATGTTATCGGTATAAACACTTACAGTCCACGAAATAATCAAATTATCGGGCCGATCTCCTTTTCCCTCCACATTATCGGGATTCCTATGAGGAAGTTCGGCGGAAGTCGTACATACGCCCGAGTGGTCCGATGGTTTCGATTGTCCAATTTTGTTGACCGCAATAACTTGGAAAGTGTAATTAGCCCAGGGACTCATGGGAACCTATTGTGCGTTACATGGAGTCATTTTACGTTTTGAAAACAATTTTGCCTTACATTGTAACTCATGTCGCCCGGTGGGATTTTACTATTCATCTCGTCCCATTTGTTAGGCGTAAAACTTGTGTTGTACTTTATTATGTATCGCAAAATTGGGGCTCGATTGTCACCCATGGGCATCCAATTAATTGTCGCATCCTTTGCGTTGCATATAATTCCTTTCATTTGGGGTTGATTCGGTACTTCTAAAATGCAAAATTTTAGCTAAATTTAAGTGCATGAGTTTACACTTTACATATGGCGATTGCTAAATGAAAATGTACACTTCATGAAAATGGAGAAGCAATTTTGATTTTACTTCAAATACGATTAATACCTGAGATGTTCAATATTTGATAGAAAAATAGTCAAGTGCAAACGAAATTCTCTAAAAATTCATTTACTTCTAATACTGAATAATGTGAATGAAATTTAAAAATTGAATGTACCATGGGTCCTGCAGTGTATTTCAGCTGTTTTTATTTTAAAAACAGAGATTTGCGGTTTTCGTGAGCCTGTGTCACCTGAAACAGAACCAATCTAGCTACGTTTGTTTCCGAGATATACGGATATAGGGTTTCTGCAATGTTAACATACCATACTAACATGTAAGATAGAAAAGGTACTGCTTGTTTTAGATATTTTTACGTAGAATCCAGTGGCGTAATCAAAAAAATTTTTGGACCACCGTTTCAGAGGTTTGATCCACAGTTGGTATTTTTTAAATGCAACACCCTGTATATCTTAACGTCAATTTTTCTGAATTTTTTTCCTGATTACAGTGATGTATCACAATATATTATTTATTATTTTTTTTTTAATGGGATATTATATTATATTTATTAATTTAACAAAAGGTTACAACATTAACATATTGCAAATAAAATTGTTTAAAAACATTTAAAAAATAAATAAAAAAAATATTTAAATTTTAGCCACTACCCAAAAATAAAAACCTTATTTTTTAGCGTTTTTAAATAGTAGGCTATGGGTTCACGGAGATATTTTTTTGTTTATTCTACCCATGCTAACTAAAGCCAATCAATAAAAATTACGGTAGAAGCAAGTCATTTCAATTTCTGTCAAATCTCAGAAACGGCGGTCCAAAAACTACGCCACTGGATTCTAAGTAAAAATATCTAAAAAAAGGTACTTTTTACCTTTTTTCCATCTTACATGACAACGTTCCAAAAAGTCAAACTTTTCGTTTTCACCCTGTATCTCAGAAACAAATGTAGCTAGATTCATTCTGTTTGTGGTATTAAAAGTTTCACAAAAAACTGGCACAGGGTCCCGAAACACGCAATTTTGAATGTGTTAATTTTTTGTTTAGAGGTTCGTGATGGTGAAAAATATTGCTATTTTTCATTTCATTAGATTCTGCATGAAAGACAATTGGATTGACATCCTGTAACCACAACAAACATTTTTTACTGATAAGCTAAGGACCCAAAACGTTCGAAAAAGGTTAATAATTTTGGTCCCATTCTTTTATCAGCAACCATATCCATAGAGAGATGGAACTAGTGGTTTTACCCAACTTTTTTCTAAGATCCCTACCCCAGTATGACCTATGTGAATTTGGCCCCCCGATTTAAAGAAGCAAAAAATTTCGTTTTTGAAATATGCGCCCGTTTGCATTTTTGTTTGAGCGCGGCCGGTTTAAAAATTACGATATCTACTTGGGGGGGGGGGGGAAATTTATAACTGTCCCCCAATTTTACAAAGAATTATTTTGCGCTTGAATCGTGGGCCCTCGCCGTTTTTCAGTTACTCCAAATACAAAATTCCATACCTCCCCCCCCCCCATTTTTAAAATTTGACGTTTTTTTTTAGTGATCGTTTGCGCTCCGAATACCTCCATTTGCGCCCTCGCTGTTGTTGAATTATTCCGAATACAAAATTCCATACTGTCCCCCATTTTTCAAATATAACGTGTTTTTCTTGTGATCACGCCCCCGCTGTTTTTCAGTTGGGGCAATAAAAGGAGGTATTCAGGGCGCAACCGATCAGTAGTACTCTTCAAATTTGAAAACGGGGGTAGGGCATTATGGAATTTTATATTTGGAATAACTGAAAAATGGCGGGGGTCAAACGATGGTATTTGGGTCGAAAACATGCGCAAACGATCACAAGAAAAACGTCAAATTTGAAAAGGGGGGGGGGGGCAGTTGGAACTTTGTATTAGAAAAAACGGCGGGGGCGCAAAACATACGCAATAAGTCGCTCTATAAACAAATAATTATTTGTAAAATTGAAGAACAGTTATGAATTTAGCCCCCTCCCCCCCAAATTTGATTCGATCGTAATTTTCAAATCGGCGGCGTGCAAACAAAATGCACTCGTGTAAACGGGCGCATCCATTCCAAATTCAGAATTTTTTTGCTTCATAAAATTTGGGGGCAAAATTCACACAGGTAAAAATTTGATATGTTAGGATTTTTAAACCGGAAAATAACGGAATCGAACCCAGTCTCTGAAAATTAAAGCTCTCCCAACAAAATCCACAAACTGTCATAGGCACATAAAAAAAATTCACTATTTCATAAAGGCTGCCATTTGATAAGTACAATTAATTAAATATAAAAATAACAATGGCAGACGATTATCGCGGTTTCAAAGGTCATGGCAGACATTTTTTAAATTGATAAAAATTATGAAATTTCAAAAGTATTTTGTAAAATCTGTTTATTATGTTGTTTATTACAGTGTTAGAAGCCTATCACAGCAGATTTTTTTTCCGTTCTCAGCAGACAGCAAAACTTTACCCACTTCCCGAGCATATGTTTATACAGTGCGTTCCAAAATATGATGTCTGCCATGACCTTGGACCGCAATAATCGTCTGGCATTTTTATTTTTATATCTAATTAATTGTATATTTTGAGCTTATCACATGGCAGCCTTAGTTAGTGACGTTTTCATAACTGGCGCATCTGAGGTAGCTCTAGGGCTTCTCTAACTTAGCGAGATCCTAGCTCATGGGTGGTAGGCCTAAGGGACTCGCTGAGCAAAATTTCAGATTTTATTTTTTATCTTTGGCCTTTACTTTTGAGTGGGCGGAGTTTGAGCCAAGGCTGCTCTACCAACCCCGCCCACTATACATTTATAAACATCCATGCCCGAACCAGGGACACTTAGTACTGCAGTCAAGCTTCAACTCAACTGCGCTAGACAGGTTGCCTGGCGAATCTTGTGGTTGGGATTTTAGCACATTTTTTCATAGTGAAAAAGACAACTCCCGAAAACCTAAGAAGCTCCATTCTTCTATATGTTATGGTTGCTTAAATAAACCCAAGAACAAAGAACAAATTTGGAACCATTGGAGGATTTAGGAACTTCCCAAACAGTCCTTTGCTTATTTCAAAAAATAATGCTTGTAGTTTATTTATTTATTTGACATTAGTAACTTTTTGCTTACTAATCGACACTATTGAGAAAATGGTCTCTTTTATTTGTATTTAAATTTGTATATGTAGTTATGTATCGATATAGGTACCATTTTACCTCAAGACGTCACGTGAATTTCAAAATGGCAATAAAAGACCGTCACCGTGATTTTAAATGCTAGTAAATGGAAACATTTATTCCTTGCCTTGAACTATAAGAATAGCAGAGGCTTCAGCTTGATCCAAACGTGTTCTTGCAACGCACGTGTAGTTGCCGGAGTCCAATTCACGTGTTTGGGTTATAGTGAGAGAGAAATCAGAGGATTTAACAAAACGAGGTTGTGCATCGGAATCGATCTGCTGTCCGTTTCTTAACCATATAATTTCTAACTTAAGATTATTATCGTGCTTCGGGTTACAACGGAATGTTGCAGGTAATTTGGATTTCACTTCGTAGTCCTCTGGACCGTCGCGAATTTCCGTATGACCTACCGGGAATATTGATGTTGAGGAGGAAAAACGAAAAAATGCTTAGTTTACCTCTAACAATAAACTTGCACGTTGCATTCGCTTTACCAAACTTATTCTCAGCATAACACAGATAGTCTCCACTATCCTCAAACTGAACGTTAGATATATGCAAGTCTCCGCTGTCCAATACTTTGTAACGACCACCCGTAAGAGCTTTACCATTATGAATCCATTTAACTTCTGGTTTTGGTGCACCATACACCTTGCAAGTCATATTTACATCTTTCCCATCTACTGCCTCCAACTCCTTGGTCGCTTCGGAAATCTCAGGTGCCAATGCTACGCGAGTTTTACAAAATAAATCAAAAAACTTCAAAATAACATACCCAACACGTTGATATATACGTCCTTATAAATATAACCTAAAGAGTTAGTCGCGTTGCAACCATAATTGCCGGTGTCCTTCTTACTGACTCGTTCGATGATAATACTGTTCGGTCCAACTCGTCGTCTTGGATTAGGAGGAGCCTCCGCGATCGGTTTACCATTATGAATCCACTTAATTTGAGGCTCGGGAACTCCGGACGCGGCACAACGAAACTCGACCGTTTCATCATCCGCCGCAGTAATAAATTCCGGCTCCTCGGTGAAGTATGGAACCGCTAAATTGGCAATATTAAAAATTCGCAATTTGCAAATTTTTGTTATAATAGAATGAATAGAACAGTGAGAAGATTCAAGTCCACCAAGCAGTTGTTGCATAGTGAAGCCTTTATACAAGGTTTGTCATTTATGACGTTATTTACATCCAGTTTAATGGAAAGGAGGTGACGTTTCCTGAATTTGTGTGTGAATATGGCAAAATTTTTACGATGAGAAAAACTAAGTAACTAAAATTTTTTTCATTTAATTGTTTGTCGGACGCCTGCGTGCGTGGTATGTGTAAAAATAAGCTCTGAATGCTTTTTCTTCCAGCATTGTCATTTTAATTTGTTTTGAGAAATAAATTTTTGTCTTTGTCAATTAACTGTGTGTTAAATCGAACCCATTGTATGACCCGGATAGAGTTTTCATGTTAAATTTTTGCTTTCATGCCCAACAACTGCCAGGTATTGGAACCGTGACGTAGAAATCAAGGATCTTGAAGTTTTATTTGACTGCTCTGTTATTTAAGAACAAAAGAGGTACTCAGTAGTTACCACTCTTACTACTTCAAGCTGTTAGTGTAAGTACTAACCAAGTGTACTGCATATTGGGTACTTTATTTGTTTACTCTTTACTTCCAAATTATGAAGTATTCTATGTTTCGAAAATACTGGTACTTCAGTACACTTTTGTGGTACTTACAACAGCACTGATAATACCTTAGTGAGTCAGTTGAATGGCGCAATAAAATCGAAAGACAGAAACTGCATTCTTGTAACGACAATCAAGAGCTATCTATGTACATAGAAGTGGTTTCACTGTTCTATTCTTGACTACGATTTAATACATACCTAACACCTCCAAATTGATGGAGTACGATTTCGCTTCGCCTACTCCATTACTTACTTCACACGTGTAGGCACCCTCATCGTCAAAGTCGACTAACTTAATCACCAAGGACTTTCCGTAATTTCCCTGAGTGATACGGTCTGAGGATTGAATGTGCTTCCCATTTTTCGACCATACCGTTTGAGGGAGCGGCCTGGAGATGATTCTTATGGTATATGGCAATGCGAATAAAGGGGTACTTACGTTCCGCCAAATATGCAGAATAATTCGACGCTCTTCCCTCTTAACGCTACTTCATTTTTTCTGGTGACATATTGAAGAACGGGCGTGTGTTTGTTAGATGAGGGCGAGATGCCCGACGCAAGTACGTTTAAAAGTACCCTATTACCTAATTTGTACACTAATTTAGTTGCCGAAGAAGCTGCACAGGCGTACATAAAGTTGTCACTCGCATCTTCTCTGGTGAGATTGGAAAACCACAGATTTCCTTCCGGATCTAGAGTCATTCGAGAGTTGTTTATGGACTTAAAACCGTCGGCCGTATATTGGATCATCCAATAAACTTTCGGTTTAGGCCATCCGTCGGGTGGTTGGCAGGTTAATTTGAATGGTTCCCCTTCGTTGCCCGTTACAGGTAGGGGCGGCGTATTTTTAAAGGAATTTAATTCTGCTCGCCGCATGAATACAGAGTTCGAAGTTGCAACACCCCATTCGTTCTCAGCGAAACACTGATATTGACCGATATCATCGTTTGCCGGTTTTGTTATTGACAAGGTGCCTCGACCCGATTGCTGTGATATGCGATCGTCGTACGTTTGCCAGTCAAAATTCTTTCCGTTCTTGATCCACCTATACTTTGGCGCAGGTTCACCTATCGCTTCGCATTCGATATAAAAGGGTTTGTCATTTTCGTCATCGCCGGAGCCTACTTGGAAAAGTACTTCGTCGGTCGGTGGTTGCTTTACGATTCTAGGAGGCGAGGGAACTACAAATTGAGGCATTCGCGATTTTATACTTTTGTATGGGATATGTACTCACTTTCTCTTGCATAAAATATGGGTAGAATTGCCAACAAAAATGTGATAACTTGAATCAACATGGTGGAAAACTGTTACAAACTACCTAAAAGAAAACACTGCATGCATTAGTCGCTCTTTCTGTTGTAATGATCGCAAATTAATTAACTTTGTTTATTGGCCACATAGTTTGATAGGAGATAAATCAACAGTAACATCCTGGATAAGATAAATGTTGAGGATAAAATACACTACTGAAAGAAAAGGTGATAATTTAAAATGGCTCAACAGGTCAAATCCTTTTTCCAAGGAGTAAACAACCAGCAAATAGTTTTGCCAAAAAAGTGGCAGTATATGCCAAAATTCCTGATATTGCTGTACTGCCAGAACATACCTTACCAAATTTACTGCTACTTGAGTTGTCATTTTCAGTCAAGGTTTCGGTACCCGCTTCATGTTTGTATGCACCGGCAACTCAGTACTCACTAAACCGCGCTTAAATTATCGCTTGTATTGCTATCTGTCCGTCCATGTGCACGATAACTGTTCTTAAGACATAAGAAAGTTCACTATCTGCCCCGGAAACTTTTATAATTCTTGTTACCTGCGCCAGTAAACCTCAAGCAACAATGCAGAAGAATTTAAAAAAATTGCGCATGCGCAACCCAACTTTGTAATTGCGCAATCCATTTTTTTGGGTTAAGATTGAAATTTTGTATGTAGGCACCTCGAATAAAAGTAAAAATAAAGCCCAATCAACCTCTTACCCATCCTGTGTGTGGAGAGTCGTTCCATACCCCTCTGAATTAATTTGAATCAACGTGAACTAACGTGAATTAATTTGAATTAACGTGAATTAATTTGAATTAACGTGAATTACGTTTGAATTAACGTGAATTAATTTGAATTACCGTGAATTAATTTGAATTAACGCGAATTCTTCTGAATTGAGCTGAATTAATTTGAATTTGTTTGCATTTTTACCAGGTGAATATTTCAAAACCGAACATAGGCAATTAACATAGGAAAAATGTTTTCTGCAGATCGTTACTCCCCATATTAACTTAGAGGGTTCATAATAACACAAATCGAATGATGATTTTTTGTCTCATCTTATGATATACAAATTAGTTCATTTTCAGCTGTATTTCTCGATATCTTATCAAAAATTCGGCAATAAATCCATATTAGCAAAATCATGTTAAGCCATGGAAATTGTCTAAAGAATTGAAGTAGCTTTTGACACAGACGGAATGGGACGCTCATTAAAATGCACGGAAAACAAATATCGCGTACTAGAGTAACTATTTCCGCTGTAAACGTTGTTTATTATAAGTACTTTGTCCTCAGTGAAATACATAGTTGTCATAAACTGATATACAGGGTGGCCCACTGGAAACAGCCAATGCCAATTTTGCCAACTTAACGACAGTTTTGTCAGAAACGCTCGAACACGTAAATTTTAGTTTTGAGGGGGACACCTAAATTAAATAATACTACTTTCATACCCTTAACCCTGAGAAGGGGGTGAATTGCACCCCAAAAATTTTAAATAGGAAGGGGTAGTAAATGTTAGATAGGTCAAAAGGAATGTTCATTATGTTTTCAAAACTGTTTTTATTTTTCAAATCCGATCAGTAGTTCCAGACCAAACTCGATTTACATGGATTTGCAGAACCGTTTTAAATAATAATAATAATAATATTGTTTATTAAGTAGGCGTTGAAGTTGAAATAATTGAAATCTTGTGTCAGAAAAGAACATCTGACATAAGTGCAATAAGTGCACAAGCAAGGACGCTCCTCAATGTTATTCAGTTATGTGAATTAACGTGAATTAATTTAAATTAACGTAAATTAATTTGAATTAACGTGAATTAATTTGAATTAAGGAGAATTAATTTGAATTACCCTGAATTAATTTTGAATCAAGGTGAATTAATTTAAATTAATGGGAATTAATTTGAATTAACGTGAATTAATTTGAATTAACGTGAATTAATTTGAATTTGAAACCAAAAATTGTACTTGTTTCCCCCTAGGGTACAGCTGTTAGAAGCATCCAATACGGCATCGCAGACCAGCTACCTCGTCCGGCTGTCGTGGTCAAGGACTTTGCACTAGGTAGAACGGCGCCGTCCTGGCCCTGGTCTTGGCCTCGGTGTTGACTTAAGTGCCACAACCAAGAAAAGTTGACCACATTTTAAAAAATCTAAGCCCAATGTGGGACAGCTTACGCCAACGATGATCAGTAAGCGAACTATGGTGCTCAAGGGAACTCCAGTTTAAAAAAAAACCTTCCTGCCGTATGGAGCTCGGTGGGCAAGTGACCGACTTTTCTCCAATATTCGTGAGACCAGCATCGAAGAACCTGATATGAAAGAACAGAGAGTGTTGCCCCTCTAAGCGCGCCAACCTCACTCACGCGGACCCACTTAGTGCTCCGCCAGAATCAGAGGCAGCAGTTGCCTCAACCAGTGCGGAGTCACCAAGTCCAGATGAGGCTGCAAAGTATGCTGGGCGAGACTATGGCCAAAATCCAGCTGAAGCCATGAGAACAAGGTAACTCCGACAAAGAGAAGAGAAAGTCCCGGTCTGACGACACATCTGAGGCTGCCCACAGAACCTCATAGCAGTGGTGCCTAGCATCAAGCCGTGGAAAGGTGCAACACTAAGAGCTGTCAATGAGAAAGAAATTCCAAAGGCGCCATCCTGATAGGAGACGCCAGAATGAGTGCGTACAGGCTACATGGCATGATTCAGTGACTAAATATCTCATCGCCAGTCAAGATTGCAATCAGATATACCGAAAATCTAGTTTAAATTCAAAAAGTCATACGTAGTCCACCTACGAGGTCCCAATGACTCTCGATGGTAAAGCATAAATCCCAAAGTGAGAAAATCAACAAACATAAAGCCAGGAACCTACTGTAGCGAATTTCTAGAGCGATATCAAGGCGCCATTAGCCACCGGCGATAACGAATGAGAGTGGCGTAACAAAATCAAATTTTGATGCCTATAAAAAAAATTTCATTGATTTTGTTCTGAACTTTTATTCGTATAAGGTGACACAAAAAAAAACTTTTCAGCTTCACTTTTACCAAAGTCTTCCCCCAAAAAGGGGTTACAAGATTTTAGATCGATGTAACAATTTAATTATTATAAATCCTTATCTATTAATTTAAACCTTGCTTAATCGGCATTACCACTGGAGACACTGTTCTTGACCCACACTATATTTTGATGTGCCGATGTAGATTAAGCAAAAATTCCATCTACATACGGTGTAGGATAAGCGTCTCGTTCGTGACTACATTCAAATTAAATTGGTTGTCATATTGCGGATCTATAAATGTAAGCGCAGTGATGGAAAGAATGTCGAATGAGCATAAAAATATCTTTCAAAATTGAGGAAAGGGCAAGAAAATAAGACAAAATATATATTAAATTCCTTTGAGACACAAAGTTGGGTTCCAGGCGAGACATACCGTCAATTCTGTGATAAGACATTTAAATAAACCAAGGGTAGCTGTCAGGGCGTTTTCTTATTTGATACAGTTCCATCTGTGTGAAATCAATAACATTTATTAACGCAACCCACAGGAGTCTTAGGAAGCCTTCACAGGACTTGTTCTGAACCACCTGATTAGGAGTCTATTCTGCTTCAAAACCGAAATTGTCACACCCTCCTAACCAAACCTTTTACTAAAGTCGTTCCGAAACTGAAGAAAAATCTGACTGAAGGAATGTAGAATTTGGTCCACGCATGCGCAAAGCCAATTTTTCATACACACTTACCTGAACATCCTGTACAATGTTACATAACCTGCAATTCTATCCGAATGTTTCAATTCAACAAACAAATTCTTTGTTTTCGTTCACCCTGTTAAAAGCTAATAAATTCGAAAATAGCATCGTTCTCAATGCTGAGATCTCAAACCGTCAGACGAACGGAATGTACGCAGGTATTTTTCACGTAAAATAAGCGAAAAAGTACGTTTAAAAAGCGGTGTGCATTTACACGTACCAAGAATTGCAATTTTATGAAATTTTCAAAAACTAATTTTGGATTCGTTTGTTCATAATCAAATGTCTCCAGATAAATAACAAAATTCATTGCAATGAGATTTTTAGAAAATTCCGAAAGCTCTCTAGCGAAAGGTCATACGGATCTTGAAACTTGGTGATACAGGTTCCGGCTGGTTCAAGTAAAAACAATATGAAATTTGGGATCAAAAGAGTCAAAGGTCCAAATTTTATTAATTAATATGAATTTTGCTTTATTTGTTATTAATATCAAAAATTGTTATCAAGCAAATTTATTTAAAATTGTACACCAATATCTAATAAACAATTAACTCTTTTGTTATCAAAAATTTGATAACCTTTCGGTTTCCCAACTTACCTATGTGTTGCAGCATTTTGGTGATACACTTGACAAAATAAACAACATTGAAGAGTGCTAAATAATAAATGCGTAATAACCTTGATTTTTTCTTGGCAATAATCTTCCGATATTATAACAAAGGCAAAATTCATATTATTTGACACTCGATTTGACATACCTTGTACACAACTAAAAAAATGTGATATCTGACAGTTTCAGTTTAGGTTTCAGGCCATCCAGAACTTTTTATGGAAAAAAAATATTTGGTCGCTTAAAATAAAGGGGAAAATCAAAAAAATGTCACTTTCAGAATGGCCCTAATTTTCTCAATTAAAAGATAGCTTTCATTACATATAGCACACCAGAGATGGTAAAAAACAAAATTAAAAAAAATGTTCAACACATTTATAAATACAAAAAAATTGAAATTTTTTAAACCTTTTTCTGAATGTATTCGAATTAATATTAATTTTTTTATTGTGTTAATCGAGGTGTTAATGTTAGATTTTTGAAAAGAGAATTCGAAATGCTATCTTTTAAAATAAAATATACAGGGTGTACTATTAAAAAAAATTAGGGCAACTTTTTTACTCGACCCGATATATGTACTTTCGTATTTTGAAAATGAAAAAAATTCAGAATGACCCTATATTTTATTAATAAAAAAAGATACAGAAAAATGCATGTCATACAAAAGTTTGTTTATAATGATTGTTGAATAATCTGCGGTTTTCAAAATAAGTAGGTACATGAAGTTATCCGATCAAACTTCTATTTTTTTTTAATGGAACACCTTGTATATTCAACAAAATTTGGGAATTTCTTGAATCGATATTAATTTTTTTATTTTTGTTAATGTTATATTTTTAAAAAGAGAATTCAAATTTTAGATTAAAATACATATACAGGGTGTACCATGAAAAAAATGAGATTAGGCCAGACAACTTTTTATCCGCCCCATCTATGTAGATACTTATTTTGAAAATAACTATATTTTCTTAATACAAAAAAACGTGTTATACAAAAGTTTCTTTATAATAATTGTTGAATAATCTGCGGCTTTGAAAAAAAGTACATGAAGTTATCAGATCTAACCTCATTTTTTTAATGGAACACCCTGTATATCTTAGCTTAGGAACAGCATATTAAATTCATTAAATATATCATACTAGGGATGATATAAAAAAAATTCAAGCGATTTAAAACAATTAAATAGATCCAAAAACATTTTTTTAATACAAAAAATGTAGAAATTTTTTAAACCTTTTTTGAATCAATATTGTTTTTTTTTTAATTTTTGTTAATATTGTATTTTTGAGAAGAGAATTTAATATGCTATTTTTTAAATTAAAATATACAGAGTATGCCATTTTTTCACCCGGCCCCATACATGTACTTATTTTGAAAATAAAAAATTGTCCATTCCAGAATGACCCTATATGTATTTTCTTAATTAATGAGCCATACAAAAGTTTCTTTATAATGATTGTTGAATAACAATCTACGGTTTTCACATACGTAAGTTATCAACCTAACCCCATTTTTTCTAAATGGACACCCTGTATATTTTAGTTTAAAAAGATGGCATATTAAATTCAATAAAGATAGCAAACCAAGGATGGTATAAGAAACACTCAAGCGATTCAAAAAATTTAAAAAAGGTTCAAGTGGTTAAAAAGTAACAAAATTTCGAAATTAACTTTTTTTTTAATCGAAATTAATTTTTTTTAAATTTTTGTTAATGCTATATTTTTGAAGAGAATTTAATATGCTATTGTACCTACCAAATTCTGTATCGTTTGAGAGTTGTGCGCACAAACGGACCGACGAACATTTCAGAAATAGATGGAACCTCGTAAAGCAAACAATTTAGGGCGAAGTTGCGCCATTAGGGGGTAGGGTGGATTTAGATTAGGTACATGATTGTTGTTGGGATAAATAAAAAATGAAATATAGCAAACAAGCTCCTGTGTATGGCTATAGCATGTGCAAAACCAAATTTTGAACCTGGTGAAGGGTTGAGTGGAAGAGCAGATACGGATGATGTCCCTGTCTGAACTTCGCCATTTAGACAGGCTCTGTATAGAAATTGGCTAATATGGTCATTTATTATTATTATTATTTGCTTTTATTCCAAGTACCTATGTATCAAATTTCATTTAAATCCCTCCATAACTAAAAAAGTTGGCACTGCGCATGCGAAAAACCAAATTTTGAAACTGTCGTTAGATTTGCTTTTATTCGAAGCGCCCATGTCGATGTCACTAGGCCACACAGACGGCTGTTGATGCGATCTGAAAACGTTTGTACCTCGGGAGTACAACCCATACGATAAATAAAGTTATGCCCATATTGAATTTCATGCAATTCGGTTCATAACTAATGGAGATGTTAAAAGGGCTTTCCTTATTTTTTAGCCTACATCACCGAACTCCGATCTACAAATTTGATAGGGGATCCACCTGCAAAATGTCATCGTAATCGGCCCGCTCGTTTTCGAGATATCGTGCTAAGGGACAGACGAACCGACACAGCAAAATGATAAACTCTCTAGGAGCTCGTTAATAAAGTAGGTAACTGCATTGGTTTTTTTCCTTGTTTTTTTTTATCCACATAGGATGGTGCAGATTCATCGCTAATTTTACATTAAACCGTGTCGACACGACGTCCCTTGAGCGGAGCGTATAACGACGGACAGACTAGCAGACGGACTGACTATTTTTCGAGCTATTTTTTATGGCTTTTTTCGGGGATCTAAGCCCATTTACCCACGGTAATCGAGGTCTAGAAAACGATCTATATCAGTAGACAAGCGCTTCCACTTTACGATAAAACGCAAACAGATCGCTTGAACTTTACGCAATAAGAAGTGAATTCATGCCCGTAAATTTGGATGATACATTCTCTACAGTGTAATTGTAATTGGGAAACAGGGATAATTAGCTAATTAACACCTGTCAACCGCAACTTACGTAACGCACTGTATACGGTATAACCCTGTACATTCTTCTAATTGCATACTCGAGAACTCCGAGGTTCCTTCTGGCAATTAAAATTCTTGTGTCCAATCCTGAATGGGAAAGAGCCCTTCACTTTCATTTATTTATTCAGGGGGACGTAAAATAAACACGTCTCGTCTTGGGTAATCGATTTTCATTTTTTTTTAACATCGGGAGAAAAGAACCCTCAAGAATTTAGTTCGACGAGTTTCGTCTCACTGAAAAACCCCCATTTTTCCAATTATTGATTTGTAATGTTGCGGAGAAAAACATCTTGCATGCAATCGATCAATCGGCAAATTTTCTAAAATTCGCTGCATGAATCACGGCTCTGCAGAATTTTTATCGACTGCAGACAATAATTGAGTAATTGATTGAGTAAATGTGGCGCTCGTCCAAAGGACATTAATGAAATTTGTCAAAACAAATTACAGCTGCGATCATCTAATTAGAGCGAATCTTCCCTCAACGTTGCAAACCGGTCAGAGGTTACTGTTAATGACATCACGGGATGACTCATTTCTTATTAAATCCTATCAAAGATTACCAATTTAATTATGATTTCATTCAACTATTTTTTTACGAGGGACAACTGTAAAGACCGAAATCAATTTTTCTATGGAATTATTATAATTCATAACCTGAATGACATCACTTAACCATCAAATAAAATAATAACTTCCTATTGTTTTTGTGACAGCTAGGGAAAACGATGTTTTATCGCACAGCAAAAACAAAAACCTACAAGAATACAGCGGATTGTTGAACCTGACTATGCAAGGTAGCATGGAATTATTGACGTTTAAAAGGTTAAAAAACGGAAAAACATCAGGTTAAAAACCCAAACGAACCGAATTCGAAATCGTTCTAATCTCCCCCCTTACTAAACATAATTTAATTGATAAGAGATGTTATCTCACCTGATAAAATAAGAAGGCAAACCGTTACATATCCATAAACATTTCCACACTTCACAGGCACGGTAGAGCTTATCTAAGGTGCGGTCGCTGCAACTATGTCACTCGTTTAATCGCGGTAAACAACTTGAAAGCGCGTCCTTCGGTGTTGAATGAACATTTGATGCTCGCACCTCTTAATACCATTTACAACGTTGGAATGGAAGATCCATTAAAGTAATGCTAAAGAAACAACAGAATATTCTTAATCTAACACACTTTCGTTTATTGTGGATTTAAACCACCGCATTAACAATAGGCGTGGCAAACATCCAATTGGTTGACCTTTTAGCGACATCTAGCCACTAAAATGTCAATGGACCATCAATTTTAGATGATATCCCATTGGCTCATTTACGAATTCACTGGACGTATGATAGATGACACGTACATCGTTACCTTTATCTTTGAATAAGCATTCTTTTTGAATCTTTGTACAATTGTACATATAGTTGCATTGGATATTTACATATTCAATGATATAAATTTATAAATAAACAAAGGATCCAATATCTGTTCCATATTCACAGATTCTGGATTTAGTCCAGAAGGCTTAGTAATAAAAGAGGCCAAACTTGCAACTAATTCCGAGTAAACTGAATTTTTGTGTGTAGTAATACTGTTGGCCATCATGCATGTTTTTACAATGGCCACACTGGACAACACACCTCTCTTGTGTATTCCAAGGCCTTGAACTCTTAAATTCTGGAAAATTGCGTTGTCTTTCCAGAAACTTTCCTACATGTGAACCCTTACTCCTAGCTATAATATAGCATATAGCAACTTTTATTTATTCATTTCAAAGATAATACTACAATATTATCTATATGTTCATTTAAGTGAATAGACAAAGATAACACTAAATAACGTTGGGCCCCGAAGTGCCTGCCCCCCATATATTGGATACTGCACATATTTTAAATTTCTCATATCAAATAAGTATGGTACCTCTTATATTAATGAGACGCCCAGCTCGTTCGTGATTTTGGACTTTCTGTCCGTCTGTCGGTCCATCCTCCGTCTGTGGACATGATAACTTGCGATCGGTTTCGAATTTTCCAAATGGTAATAAATAGACAATGGCCAAGGGACTAACAGATTAAATGTTGGTCATTTGTACTTTCTGTCCGCCGGTCTGTGTTTGCCCTACTTGGAATAAGCCAATCAGGACTGTAAGTATCACAGGCAGAGCTGGGTACTCGCTCCAAGTGGAGAAAGCGGTTGGAGCACTTTTCGGAGCGGCCGCTTGGTGCTCGATACTCGAGCGTTTACTTAAAGTGCTCGGCGCTCGAGCGCTTTTTTCTGCCCGCGAGCGGTTTTCCGCTCTTGAGCGTTTTTTCCCCTCGCGAGCACTTTTCCCGAGCGTTTGCGATAAACCGCTCGAGCACTTGTAGGAGTGCTCGGAACTCGCAAGCGGTTTCGCGTTGCAAAACAACTCGCGAGCATTTTTGAGAAAATTAGAGCGCTCGTCGCTCGAGCGGTTTTTTAAGACGCTCCACCCAGCTCTGATTCATAGGAGAGTTTGGGAGAGGGGGGGGGGGGTACAAGAGTTGGGCGTCGTTCTAGAATGACCTATCAGGACTGTACCATCAACCTGTAGAACTAAATCAACGTAGTACATTGGTGACTTTTACACTTCCCCTTTTACGGAGTAGGTACATGACGGGTAGTGGAAAGCAAGGAGGATTAATCTTCTGTTCTTCCAGTAAATAAGACAATAATTTCTATTAGATAAAAAAATTCGAATCCCAAAATGAGAAGCACATTTTCGCCGCTAACAGCTGGACAAGAACGTGGGAAACCTCAACTGGGCAGGAAAATACACCACTGAAAAGAAGACGCCCATGTCGGATGATTGCGTCCCTCACCAACCTCGTGTCAATAGAGAAAAAACTGAGCATTTCAATCAATATGGATAGAGTTGCTTGCGCTCATCCGTGTTGTGAGCACAGAAGCTGCAGCACAATGAGGAAGGGAAAGGGCACAGTCCAACAGGAGGAAACGGTAATAAGCCAAGGGGCCTAGGGAGTGCCACCCATACGATACAAAAAAATAAATGATACATGGAATTTTTTACAATGTATATGTTACCGGCAAATTGCGAAATCCGGCAGTTTGCAAAATGCCTATAGGCATTTCTCGAAATGACGATTGCAACAGTCAAAGTGAGAAACGGAGCTGCAGTTCGCACTTTGCCTGCCTCCCTTTGGGGATTTCGCGAAATGCCTAAACATGCATGCAAAGTGCGAAGGCTTCGTAATTTCCCACAGATTGCGGATACAGCGTTGCCATTGGATGGTAAAAGACGCGTGCGATTGCGATGTTATTTAAGTACTCGCCAAATATTGCGCTCACGTTTAGACTGCATTTCATCTATGGGTTTTCTGTTGAGTCAAGCTTTGGATTTACTGTGGAGAATATATCAGATGGGGGAAAGTACTAACGCCACGGTTTTACGTTTGGCACCGCTGTACGCGCAATCTGTGGAAAATATCCGAGCATTCTCACCTTGCCTGAACGTTTAGGCATTTTGCGAAATCCCTAAAGAGAGGCAGGAGAAGTGCGAACTCGAGTTCCATTTATCACATTGCCTGCTGCATTGGTCATTTCGCAAAATGCCGGATTTCGCAGTTTGCCGGTAACATATACATATGGGCATAGAGTCTATGATTTGGGCTATGAGATACCTATACTTAAAAAAAACAAGAGATGGCTATAATAGGCAACCAACTCTACACGCTTTGTTTTAAATGATAATCCGTGTCCAGTGGCGGTCCCCCATTGTCCGTTTTTTTCATCAATTTTGTGTCGATCTCATTTCCATTATGCGAGATTTCTTTTATTTTTTTCCGTGTTAGGACAACGTTCGGGTTTGGGCCCCTCCCTTTACCAAATCCTGGGCGTCACTGTCCGTGTCTGCTATGGAAACAGGAACTTGATTATTTATATCAAATTATGATTAGCTATTAGTCTTTTTTCTATTATTAGCATCAAATTGAAAGAGTTAATTCAACATTCTATGATGCCTAATTAGTAAAGAATCAAAATATCCTTCTGTCACAAAATAGCATTGATTTCCATCAAAGAAAAAATTGTATAATAAAGTCAATGAAACTTTTACTGTACTCTTGCTGAAGGAGCGCAAAATTTCATTCCAATGAGCGCATAATTTACGCTTTTTTGTAGAGGAAAAAACTGATCTCATTGGCGCTTAATTATTGTTACACTAGACACATTATCAAAATCAGAATAACTACATTGTTTTATCATTTATATTTATACATTTTATGGACAAACTGTAAAAAATTTCACAGAATTGCCAATTGAAAGTAACATGAAAACTCAAAAGCACCTACAGTAGGTCTCACAATTGTCGCGTCAACGACCTCTTCACAGTCTAAACCTATAAAGTATATATTACTACCATTTTAGAAGTAGCAGAATACTTACAAGCCTAATTGAGGTCATTTTTCCGTCGCTACCGCCGTTTCAATATTTGCTAAATCTTTTTCAGGAGATTTTAACGTGAACACGACAGGTATTGAAGCTAAATTAGGATTACCATTTTTTTCTAAATGTCTAATCCACGATAGAAGGGAATCTCGTCCTGACGTACCGGTAACACAGACGGCAAAAATGACCCCATCTTCTTGCTCGTGAACTGAAGGAACTGGAACAATGTCTTGCTTCGGCGGAATTCCATAACTAAAGAATGGCACCGATATATTACTAACATCTGAAAATATTGCTTTAGGTATGAAATCTTGCCCTTTCACATTACCGTCTAAATCCACAACAGATCTTGGTGCAATCTTGGCATCGCCTCTCAGAATAAAGTAAGTAATGGGTACATTTTTCATCCAAATCCGGAAACGACCCTCTACATAAATAGGTTGGGAAACGTCATGCTCGCTCAACAATCGACATTGCGTGGGGCTTTGAGCACTAACAATCCAAGTATCCTCAAGTGCTTCTGGTATATCTTTACTCTAAAATTCAGTAATCGTCTAATTGCGACAGTTATTAGTTAAAGCTTACTTGAAAGACACTAATTTGTGTTTGAATATCGACACTTCCAATTCGAGCCACAGCTAATTTAGCTAATTCCAATGTATCATTCGGAAGAGGCTGCGGTACAGGCCACGGAGATAGATTTTTAAACTTGGGCATCCAATACATAATCCTCCAAAGTTTCCGCAACGGATATCCTCTTTTTCCAAATATGTTTAACAGCATAGTCTCAACTTCTTTATCAGGTAAAACAGCTACAAATTTATTCTAGGGAAAGCCTTAATAACAAGAACTATTACCGTTATCTTCCATTTGCTCTAACAAATCTATCGCACACTGCTGCTGCTTCGGGTAATGCATAAATTCCGCTTGGAACATATTGGTAGGTATAAACTTTCCTTTCGGTAGAACGTCAATTAACGCCTTATACACTTCCAAGTCCTTCTCGACGTTAAACTCTTTCATATTCTTCAAGGCTGAATAAATAAACTCTACGTGACCCGTTCGGTGAGTACCTCTGGTTTCGAAAATTTTTATCATTTCGAGGTATGTCTTTTTCGATTTGTTTTCGATACTTTCGAAATTTTCATAGATAACGATGTCCTTAGAGACAGGATCCTTCCTGTGTCCTGTAGAGGTATGGAAATGTGTTTGGGGAAAATTGTTTATAACAAGTAATTTGTGCAACATGCCATATTTACAATAATTTAATATTCCTAATAAAGCTGATTTTCGGATCATTTTTATTTAGGTTAACGTAATTTAAATAGGGAGAAAAGTTAGGTTACGTTGCTAATGGTGAAGCGATTGACGTTGTCAAGTGTACAATTGTCGCTTTTGATAACTTACGATGTGACAACAGCGCCTATTTTCTAGGTTCGAGGTGATAACCTCTGGGGGTGGGGTGTACATATACAAACTGTTGTGGACGTACTAGTGTAAAGAGAAGGTAATTGTACTGTTTTTATGTTTGGGTTGATGAAGTGAAGATCCACAAAGCATGCATTATAATGCCGTCTCACTCTTGTGACAAAAACGTTTTGTGTATACAGCAGTCGTTCTGCGCAGATGCCGAAAAACAGGGATTTTGGGGAAAAGAATGTTAGCGGGATTACTAGATGCCGGGGACCCTTGGCACAGTATATCCCTTTATACTGTGCCCTCGGAGTAATGGCATGCGTGCCCGCGGTTTCGGAATGTTTATTTTTATTCTTTTTGGTACTAACCATCAGTGTTTGAATTTCGTGTCACAATTTGTTATTATTTATATTTTACATGAAATGCTCATATCTGTTTATTGAAAGTAGGGCTCCAAGGTTTGTTTTGTATGTACCGCCTGAAGCATGTTTTGTTTTACTGTACAGATGGTTATTAAGTATTTATTTATGTATTCACGTAGAAGTACACTATCGGTGTGATTTTGCTCGGTAAGATCATTTATTCCGTGGAAGAAGTACCTTATGCAGTTCCGATTCTTCTCTCTACATTATGTTGCTTCCTGATTTCTGGTATCTTAGCAATAACAGAAAGGGGACCTCCAATTAACTTTTCTTCAGTTTAGTATATGTGCAATAATAATATAAGGATGCGAGAGGAAATAAAACACAACAGAAAACTTTTAAACAATTTATGTATGAAAATAAATTTATGTAACCACCTCCTTCACGCAAATGTCAATATTTGAAACATGCCTGAGTAATTGAAGAAGTGTTAACAATATCGGTTAGTAGTATGGTATATAATAATAAATTAATTGTAAGATAAAAATCTACAAATGAAAATACGTATAAAGCTCTATTTGATTAGATCAATTTGGTGTTTAATAAATAAAATTTTGTTAAAAATCAATAATACACAATATAAAATCTTTAAATCAACTTTGTGTTGCCCATTTTGCACCCAACGTACGGTATTTGTAAAATTCTCGGCGTCGTCTCCATTACTCTCAACAATAGCTCGTCCAAATAATCCTCCAGATCAGACATTTTTTTCCTACTATGTTCCAGTTCACCTTGCATGTCGCACACAAGTAGAATTAAATCCTACAAAGCCTTAACAGTACAACAAATATTATTCAAATAACTTACCTCTCGTGATTTTCCATCAAACTTCTGCAAAATTTCATTGGATGCCTTATTGTTACCTGTCACTTTGACCTCGGTTTCGCCCCCAATAATTATCCGTTCTTGGGAATTCAAGTGAAACTTTTCTAATTTATCTGAAAGAAATAGCATCCATTGTAAATTAGTATTTTCTAGAAGAAATCTCTGGAAAGGCGCTACAAAACAAGACCCCCAGAAGGCTCTGGTAAAACTGCTTCAAGATCTCAATCTAACGTTTCTTCAAAGTGTGCTGTGTTGTATTATCCGAACTAGACCCTTCCTACAGAGATCTTCAAAATTTGCTAGGTTCTTTCCAGAGCGTTCTAGAAACGTTTCCACAGATTTGTTCTTTCTAAAGGAATGTGGATTCTGGAAAGGGTAGATAACTTTGGAAGATACACTGAAAAGCGCTAAAAGGCTCTGGAAAGTATTTGAAACGGTTCCCAGTGTTATCCAAGTGATCAAAATGATCCTCAACTCTGTGCGACTTAAAAGCTGTGCAAAGTGACAAAACGATCCAGAAAAGTAAGTACAGCTAATTCTGGAAAGATGTTTTCGAAAAATACTCTGGAAGCTCGGTCTCTAGAGCTTCTCACGCCTTTTAGGGGATTTAAAATATTCTACAGTATCTGATATACATAGCAGTGGGAGGGGCTTGAGAATGGGACTGAGGCAACGATCATGAGTTTGCAGTGCAACGGTTACTTACCTTTTCGGATTTTTTTCAATTTGGATAGCATACTCTCCTTTTCTTCCTTCTTTGGTAACACGGGAGAATTAGCGTAATTAAAACTGTCATCCTCTTTGGTAACGGGCACACGAAATTCGATCACCTCGTCCTCCTCAATTTGGGCTTCCAATTTAGGAGATTCCCACGGTTTTTTATTCAACGATTCGGTACTGTTCGGTTTTAATAGATCTACAAGTGGAACTGTAAAAGCAGCTATTGGTGACTTTAGAAACATTACTTTTTGATTGTTTGCCGTATAGTTTCAGTTCCCATTCGTCTTGACCTTTTTGTTCAGCGCGCGGTGGTTTAACTGGCGCCACATGGCCGGCGGAATTTTTACGAGCCGCTTCAACGGGTGCCACATTTTCTAGGGATGTTACAGAGGTGCTGGTTACTATCCCTGTTTGTGTCACCATGTGATTTAAGGAGCTTCCGGAGCTTTTATGTGACAAATCGTCAAACTACAATGAAAGTAATAAAAAAAGAGCAAGGGAGTAGGATATATACCGTAAAATCGTCCTCATCCTCACTAACCACACCAGGATCTGCATCTTCTCTGGTTTGTTTTGTTTTATAATTTATATTTAAGTTGTCATTGCGGCGCTGCAAACTGCCGATGCTACCGATCGATGACGCATCGTCAAGGTCGACGTCTTTCTTTTTGCCCTTGAGATGCATTTTGGAACCGAGGGATTTCGCGATTTTTTTAATTCCTTTACGTTTGTCGATACTACTTATACTTAACAGGCTGCCGCCGACGGATTGCGCTAAATGTGAAAGATGGCCAATGGAAGACTTGTGTTTATCCTTTTTAGTTAAATCAGTCAGACTGCCTGACTTGACAATGAACGCTGTTTTTACTTCTAACTTTCCTCGTTCCTTGTGTTTGCCTTCTTTTCCTGGAAATGGACACCATTAAATTAGTCCATTCTGGCAATTTCAAACTAATGTATACAAGCAACATTGGGGGACATTTTGATTTTGCCATTTTGCTGTCTTCAATATTTCCACCAATCAGACAATAGGAGCACTGCACTCTGGACAAATTGGTGGAAATAATGCTTAGTACCCAGAACAATCACATGAAAGGCATTTAGAGCAAAAAATCACTTTCACCATGGAATAGTGGACTTCCGCATACATTTTGACTAAGATATGCAAAATCGTTATTTACTCTGATTTCATAAAAAAAATGTGTCAAATTCTTGACAGAACAGAGCTTCCTAGCTCAAACCAAAAACCGCGCTTTTGGAAATGTCAAAAAGATTAGATTAGAACGGTATTTTATTTCTTACTGCTGACAGGCCCCTTTATTGGTTTTGCTTTAATTAGTCAACGAAAACTTTGAATAATAGGTATATTTATGGGCAAAAAACCAATTTCGACAAAAAATTCAAAGGGCTGTAACTTTTGATCTAGTAGTCCGATCTTGGAACTGTTTGGAATTATGGATTCTACAGGCCACATTCTATAAGAAAATATTTTTTTCCGGTCGATCTGAGACAATTTTTTTTTCTGGGCAAAAAAAGGCAGTTATTACCTTCCTTTTTTACCAAAAATCGACTGCACCAAAATTTCTCGGGAAAAAACTTTTTCTTATTAATTTGGGTGCGTAGAATCCAAAACGATTCGTACTTTTTCGATTAGACGTCTCAATCAAAAGTTATGGGCAAAAAAAATTCCTGTTTTTAAAATTTAAAATTCTTATTTTCGTCATTTCGTGAAAGGCAGGACGCAGGTACCTCACCTCAGTAGCAGTACTAAGTACCTGATACCTATTTGTTATTTTGGGCATCAATGTAGCGAATTGCCGATCGAGGCCGAATAGCCAAATCGTTGACTGCCAACACTGATCACTCACTGAATAGTGAATACTGAATACTACAGAATATTTAGATTTTAGTGACTTTAGACTTTAACAAAAACCGAAATTGCTCTCTATATATACCTATATATTATTGCCTTTATTTTAAAGTGGGCGGAGCGGATAGCGGAGTATTACCTAAATACCTAATAGCTATGATGATAACTCAATTCTTCTGGGGGGGGGGGGATATATCCCCTTCATCCCCCCCGTAAATACGGGGGGGGGGAAATATATACCCTTAATATATACCCTAAATACGCGGGGGGGGGGGGGGGGGGAAATATATACCCTTCATCCCCCCGTAAATACGCCACTGGTGCATAGCATCATTAAATGGGCAGCTCCATATGAAAAATATTTCAGTCAGGGGTTCTGGAAGAAGCAGGGATGGTGCTCCCAGTAACATAGAGAGAAAGGTTCGACAGCACAGGTCCTGACCACCATGTGCCGAAATGAAAACTCTCTTCAGCGCCTGGCTACCTGTTTGTCAACCTCCCAGTGGTGTCCCCTGATAATGATCTCAGAACTGATAATGGAACTTTGAGATTGGTGAATGACAGTAGCGCGCTGAGGACCGCATGGCCAAGGGAGAGCTTGGTCGCTAGTCAGCAAACTCTGGCTACAGGGCGCTCCCCAATTTCAATTAGCCTTCTGGTGGTAAGGACAAGCTGCAAGCTGATAACCTTTAATAATAGAGATTTACTTATCTATGGTTCCTGTATAAGGTCCACGTCTAGATTTTCTTTGGTGAACCTTGTGCACAGTGCGCTTTCGCCCTGTGTAGGTTCACCTGTATAAATTTCATATCGGCCATTATGAGACATGGGGCTATCTTTTAATCGATTCCCAAGATAAATGGAACACCCTGTATATATAGAAACTGGTAGTCGCAAAGTGTACCGCAAATCACAAAAGAAATTACCGCTTATGCAAGTGAAATTAAACCCCAGTGAATCATCTCCTGAAACTGATATCTTTTCTAGACAAAAATGTTGGGTTCAAAAGTATCGTATATAACCCGCTATTTAATATGGTTCTGTTCCGAATTCCATGTCTTAGTTATAATCGGACAAAAACCAATTTTACCCTTTTTTAAATTAATAATTAGTATTAGTAATTTTTTATGATACGTGTATTTGTGTTTATTACTAATAATTCATTGATTGTCTACAGTCAAGAGATGTTGCTCCCAGTTAATATTTGTATTACAATGGGTAACCACTCGAAAACTTCGCTTGTTAATAAAAGATGTGGGTTTCTATATTAAAAACAGTTGTATGACGTCACGGCGCTAAAAACTCGTTTGGATCAAGATCTGTCAAAATCATTATTTTCATTGATTTACGTTCACGCACGTAGTCAAACTTATGCTACCTAATCTTACTTACTTTACCCTGGTAATATGTCTTTCCGCTGGTTACGAAAAAATTCAAAATGGGACTGTTGCCAAATGCAAGCCTGTTTCATTTTATGTTGTTTATGTGTAATAAACATTTTAGAAGGTATTTGAATATTGAACTCGATAGATACAAAGTGTATGAAATTCCTTTCTGTTATCAACTACTTTTCTTAATACACGTTCACAATTTTATTTCAAAAAATTACTTCGACTTCCTCTGCCTTTTAGAATAAATGCGCGCAATCATCATTTTCATAAGAAAACATTAGCGGAAGTGTAATAAATTGAGACAAGGCTTTCCATCTCTTTCTTACCTCAACCACGATATTGTTTAATATCTCTTTATTTTACACTGTGATACATATAAATTAGGCAAGAAAAGTCTTGGTATGTTGTATATTCCAATATGTTTCAGTGTCCAAAAGCAATTTCAAAAATGCCCAATCAAATTTGATGGCTTTGCGACAATTTGAAATCACAGAGTGTCACAAGTAGACAATGTCTATACTTGAGCTGACAACAGAAGAAGATGACATGAATATCAACGTCGGATGAACTAAACAGCAACTGAAACAGGAATTATTTTGAATGACAGTTTCACCAAAATTCCCCAAAAGAATACAATACAGTAAAGTCACAGTAATTCGAGGTCCAAATAAAAAAAAAACTTGAAAACTCACAACTTCACTTCATTCTTATTTAATCGTTGTGCACCTGCGATATTCTGCGCTACTCACCCCAAGCAAGAGGGTGACGTGTGAAGGTGAATGACACTACGACTCTCAACTCAGAGACCTAGTTCTAAAAACGTGTAGGGATCACACTTTTTCCGTGTAATCTGAATTTTACGAAAGCCGAGGCACCGGCAGTCCCAATTACCTAGCATTATCGAGACTTTACTGTAGGTACATAAAGCTCAGTATCCAATTGGTATCGGTGGATTCCTTAAGGAGATCAATGGCTGGAAAACTCACAAACTGACTAATTCACAAATGTATCCAACTTTTGTCATAACTTAGTGTTTAAATTTACCTGGTTTGCTTTGTAATGTATACCATCGGTTTTTTGGCCGTTCGTAAACATCTAGCTGATTTAACGGGATTTCGACTCTACCGAGAAACTCATCGACACCAAGAAAGTTTCTATGTAACACTGTCAAGATAATAACAGCTGTATTTCCTTGATCGGGTATTAACCTGAAAGTAGACTATTACTAAATATCGACGACAATTCGAATACGTACAGTTCACATTCTTCATGCCACTCGACCGAGGGTTCTGCTTTCTCTTTAACAGATGTTTGGTACTTGGTTTTGCCCAATGCAATTGTCACGAAGCAATCATTGGTATTATTTTTACCCTTCGTCAGAAGGTCAGCCGCTCTTTGCACTAAATAATAAACATTAAAAAATGTTGCAGAACTAAACAAATTAGATACCTGTTACTTGAACATGAGTAGGCATCCACATTTTTTCTAATTAATTGCTTGTTATGAGTTATGAATGATATGGAAGTTTACTTATTTGAGGTCTTCAGTTCTTAACGCATTTAATCACCAATACGAAATTGGTGTCTATTATAAGGTCATGGAATTTGCAAGCCTCATAAATTATATGCTAAATTATGTGATAGTTTACGTTTTTATTGTAGAAATTCTACATTTCAAAGTAGATCACAACCAAGTAATTCACTATCACGAATATCATCACACAACATTTTTTTACCTACGTAACCTTCAGCCTAGTTCTCACAAGGCGATTTCACCCAGGCATTCCGGTCGCATTCGGTATAATTACGGTGGATACCAAGATACTCCGCAATTACGAATACATACGTACTTAAGGCCGCTAAATTAAAAACCGCCAAAATGGTAGTAGTTATATCTCTGATAGTAACCGGTGTAGAATGGTATAATGGCAAAATTTCCAGAAATTCGAGTAGGTCTGCGCATGCGCGCACAAGACCGGGGTTGTATTTCATAGCATTCTTGTAGATAAGTCACTACCTTTCATTTAATTAAAGTTTTGAGTAATCTTTTCAAATGAGATACAATAAGCTAATCTTGCGGCTACCGGGAAGCGGCGGTTAGAATAAGTCATGCCTTAATACATAACGTTTAAGTTTCAACTGTTCAGTGCTTACCATAATTCCCCAATATTTATTGCGGTCGAATATTCGCCCATAATTAAATTACGGCCACCCTCATCACGTGATACACCGACAAAATTGAACAGGGGCGCTACATTCCTCGTTTTTTGAGCTTGGGTAATTTATCATTTTGTGAGAAACAGAATAGATGTGCTTTAATACTCCGGATATGAATTTTAACATTCTTGTTTTGCGTGTTTTCCTAATTCGTATGGTAAATACCGGAGAGCAAGAAATTTCCGACCTTGAAACAGAATCTCCAGAAATGCCATTAGATGGTCCACTTTTCACGGGAAAAGATAACATTTCCTTAATAGTGGAAAAAAAAATTCGAGGACAAGTTGAAGGATGCTTTGGATATCTATCCGGAAATATTTATGTAATGATCAAGTTTTGCTAAACTAAATAACATATTATTTCAGCTTACTCGCTCACTTTTACATGTGTTTCCTACCAAACCAAATAAATATATGGAATATAAATTGTCGCCTTGGTGAGATTCAGAGTGGTACTTCACGTTTGTTAACGAACCAAATATTGTTGTACAACATGTAATAAATATATCTGAAAGAATGCGTTTCCGATTAAATATAAATATTCAATAGGTTTATTTGTAGTATTTTCTTAACCACAGACTCCCAGTGAGCGTGTTAAAATTAAGAGCGCGTGTACACGAAGATTAAAACAAGCTTTGGTTGTCCACCCTGTGCATTTGAATGCGTCTCGTGCATCACAGTGGGAGTAATCCCGTCGCAGTTACTTTAGCCACAACATATTTAAAATCCCTCCTTACGCCCCAAACACAAAACCACCGCCTCCTCTAAGGAACTGTCACTTAAAAATCCTCATCCAACTCAATACCAATTTTTTAAATTTCAAATAATAATGTAAATTGAATAGTTTATGGACAATGGCAACTCAGAAGCCGGGCGAATGGGCCAACACGTTAATTGCACGATTCGAAGAGCAGGTTGGTTTGTTTCACTGTGTATCTACAATTTACTTTTAAAAGTAAACAATCAATATTGGTTATCTTCACTTTTATCTTCTGGATTTTTTAAATCTGTTAAATTTCAGTTACCTTGCCGTACTGGACCGCAAACTACCCATTCTCGTATAAATGAAGACCAGAACAAAAATTGTCTCATACAAATATCTCGGTATAGATTTGCTTTAGTTTTAGATGGATTTGTCAAAGTTTTAAAACGAATTCATGAATTGGTATGTGAAAACATTGAGGAGAGATGTAAATGTGAAATGTTTCAGTACCAGCAAGGGTCGTGCGGACCACAGCGACAGCACAGTCCCGAAATGGAAAAGAATTATTACGATAGTATCATTATTGTTTTAGAAACGTTAGAAAAATGTTTTAGTATACAGCCGAAAGATTCAATTACTTTAACCATGGAAGAAAATCAAAATTTAAAATCTCTACTGAAGGAAATATGCGCCTTTTTAGGTCTGCCTTATTAAGTAACAATATTTTTTTATACGGACAGAGTTTTAGATATGCCTGCTGAGAATCCCCACAGTCACTCAATAAAATTATTAGCCAGCAAAGTACTGTTTGCCTTAAGTATTAATTTTTTTAACGTAGTCTTCAGTCGAATTTCTTCAAAACTCCAAGAACTGGCATCGTGTCCGGATGAAAATCCGGATTACAGCGATATTGAGTTAATTCAACATATTAACGTGGATATTTCGCGGTTGACCAGGCTACTAACAGGTATCCCGAATACTTCGTAGTTTATCGATGCGCTTATATGAATTGTTTTAGAAGCTATACAAAAGTTTAGGTTATTGAAGAAATCTGCTCATTTAGTACTCATGAATTCTTTGGAAAAAGCAATATGGAACTGGATGGACACATATCCTTACGAATTTGCCGAACTGCAGAAGAACCCCAATGAGGAGCTGTCGAAATGTTGCGAACAGTTGTTCGATATTTTGGATACGTTTGCGGACAATAAAAAGGGAAGGGCAGCTGTGTGGCCGTTGCAAATTATGTTGCTCATATTATCCCCCGTAAGTTTTTTGTTTGTTTAGAACAAGAGTAGAAATTGTGTATGGGTGCTCCATATTAAACCATTCCTCACAGATTACGTGTAGATTTTACAGTTGTAATGTGCCCACCAATGAACAGATTTATGGTGGATGCAATGTAAGAGAGACGGAAACTGTAGGCTCAGTGTTTCACACTGTTTAATGGATTTTCTTATAAAAATCACGATTGCACGCATTTACTTCAAAACGCAGGGCAAACCAAATTAGATAGGAAGAAATGAATAGATCTACGTGCCAGTGTATATGCATATGTCTTTCTTCAACTGTTTTGGAATAATAAGCATTTAAATGTTGTAATAGGTATATAATATTTTTGGTATACTTGCTAGGCATGGGAATAGGTCATAAGGTATATTCATACAGATAGGTGATAATATAGCTTTCCGGGTGTGCGAGGTGAGGCGGTGCAGCCGCCTACACTGAGCATATACCAAGAAAAGATTCCATTGACTGATAGGCCGGGTGACAAGCCCAATGTTATGCAGGTGATAGTTAGTTTAGAAGCTTGGAAGACCTAGATCTGCCAAGGGGTCCTGTTAAAAAGAGCCTGGACTGGAGTCCTGTCGCTTAGCCTGGAATTGACTGGTCACCCAGTCTTTAATTCTGGTCCTGACAACAGAGGGAGCAATTCCTAGGGTCTGCTGACTGTAACTCACTGCATATCTATATATACTTATTATGGTAACTTCTAAGGAGGTTCTCCCGTGCACAGGTCATGATGGCTAGCATGTCTGCCTGAAACATGGTGCTATGCTGACCAAGGGAGAAGCTGACATCAGCTCTTGGTCAATCACCATATATACCCATACCCATTCCCCATTATTTTAGGAACCCATCTTTAAACCACATGAGCCCCTCAGGTGTGAGGAACTGGCAATCCGAGTTCAGCCATTGCTCCCTGTGCGAGAGAATGACTTTGTAACTATTTGCTCTTAGTAAGATTGGATCTGAGTGTTTTCTCCCAGATCTGCCCGTGCCCAAGGCTGCCTCGATCCTTCCACTCCTCCCAGTCGCTTACCCGCAATGAAGCTTTCCGAGCCTCTACCTCCACAGCTAAGCGTAAAGGGTCTAGTCCCAAAAGTGAGGGCCTCCATGACCAAAATTGGCGTGGTTTTCAGGGTTCCAGTGATTCCCAGACAGGCGAGTGTCTGGACCTTTGCTAGCTGCGTCCTGTAGGTTACCCTGTACATGGCAGGTCACCATACAAGTGCACCATACAGTATTATTGGACTGATCACTATAGTGTAAAGCCAATAGACCAGTTGCGGGTTCAAGCCCCATGTACAACCAAAAGCCCTTCTACATGCCTGTATTTCCAGGTCATCCCAAATATTTCAGTGACTTGGTTAGAGCTCGTTGATGTCTTCGAAGAGTGAGCCCCATCAAGGTCTGCTTTTCTATTCGTAAATGGAACAACCTCGGGTTTTTCCAGGTTAACGGAGAGACTGGCCCTACCTGATGGGCCTGTAATCCTTTGCCACGTCATATTTGGCATGACCCGGCTTAGGTAGATACACAATTCATACCTTCCTCCAGCTTTCGGGGATATAGTCTAAAGCCAGGGAGGCTTTAAAGAGGTTCAACAAATGCAAGAGCAGCGGTTCCCAGGCCCCTCTGCAGAAGAGCCGGGCATATCCCGTCCCCTGCCACATGGAAGCTTCTGTGTCCCCACTTTTTGCCCCGGGTCTTTCAAAAGCATCTTACGAAGTTTTTGAATTTGGAGAAGACCCTCCATGCTACCACAGAAGGTTCTCCATGATCCTCGTTTAGACCTTAGAATATGGTCCTTATACCTGAGCTGAACGATCTTGAGATATTTCCAGTCCAAATCAGTGGATTAGGGATTCCGAAACCTACAGGGCCTGCAGTGGGATGCCAGCTTTAGTTGGAAAAGAATTTGTCTGTGGTCCGAAAGCAACGGCTCGTCTCGTCCATTTCGTGATCATGTGGGCTATTGAAAAGGAGCCCAACGACAGATCGATAACCTCCTGCCTCCGCGCTGTGACGAAGGTGGGGGTGCTCTCTGATTTAAAATATTCAAATCAGTTGTTTGCAAGTACTCCGGGAGGTAGTCGCCCCTCGAGTTCGTGTCCATGCTGCCCCATGCAATGTGGTGTGCGTCCTAGGGTTCAGTTGGCGGTTCCTCTTATAGTAACCAGACTCCTCCACCTGACCTAGACCCCTTACGCGTCCCCTGTAAACCCAAGGTTCTTGTATCACCGCCTTACTGTGCTGCAAATTGCTCTGTAAGAGGGTTCCCTCGTCTATCACTGATATACTGATGTACTTTTCTAGCGATGCCGACGGTTCCCACTCTTGGTCGGAGCCAAGAACCCCACATGAATCAAAAGTTCCTCGACCACTAAGCGCGTCAGTAGTAATCTCGACGCCCCTTGGAGGTCACTAGAGAGGTTTTCAGCCCTCTCCGTCCTGCTGCTCTGGTGGAGCCCTCTCTCTTATCTGATGCAACTGGAGCACTCGCTTCCATCACAAATGTGACCCCCGCTTACGGTTGAAAGTTTTGCCACTGCAAGACCTAAGAGAATGCCTCATTGACACCAAATGCGAACTTCGACTGAGGCTCAGTGGTGTCCACCTCTGGTTGCGACTGCAATGGCCATCCTTAGCCCCGCCGCAGGTTCGTGGTGCACCCGCAACTGCAGGCTTCTTCAGGCTGCCTTGAACTAGACCCTGGAGTGCTTCCCTCCTATCTGAGACGCTTGATCCCTGACGTCGGGTTGCAAATACCTTCATAATAAACAAAAGTAGAATAATATCTCTTAAGATAAAGACCTAGTAATGACATAGCCATTCTGGATTCTGGATTTTTTATTTTTGTGAAAATGCGCTAAAAAATGCACCCTCAAAGGGACATCCTTAACATATTTTAAGCGTCTTCGTGCGTTTGGTAGGATTAAAAAGTCATATTTCCACCGCCTTATCAAAAGTACAACTAACCAACAAACAGGAAAGGTTCAGGTACAGGTGAGGGGTGGGGGTTGATTTGAAATCTTTATTTAGATACAAAAAGGTAATCTAGGAATGCTTTAATAATGGAGCGGGGACTAGGGCCGTGCAAAATACATTTTTCATTTTGCATTTTAGAAAGTTTTGGAAGAAATTGTGAACGCAGATAGTGGCGCCCCCTGTTCGCCAAGACACAGCAAGAAGAAGCAGTTCATCGATGCCGTTAAACGATGCATTAATCCTCACGGAAATTCGAGTAAACAGCTCACCGAATCGGCGGCTGTAACCTGCGTGAAATTATGCAAAGCGTCAACGTACATTAATATACTCGATTCAAACAATGTAGCCTTTACTCTCGTACAAAGTGTTCTTAATGATTTAAAGGTAAGGGTTGCTCCTTTTTCCATGGTCGTTGTTAATAATTCACATTTTTAGTCTCTACTGTTTAACCCTAGTAAACCGTTTTCTCGGGGACAAAACTATTTATATCTAGACATGGATCTTATGATAGACTGTTTCGTTTCATGTTTTCGGATTAAACCGCATAATAACGTAGCCTTAAAAATTTGTCTTAATTTAACATCCCCTTCTATATACCATTTTGTGTTGGTGCGATCGTTGTATAGGTAAGTGTCGCTTTTATCCTTAATAACTTCCTTTTGTTGCCCATTTAAAATCACATTAAGCACAATTTGTTACAAATAATAAATTTATATTTAATTTTGCATCCTTCTATCGCCGCAGTTTTTTATTTACTATTGACCAAAAACCTCGCACCAAAACACTTTCTTGAAATGATCATAATCTTCACCAAACAGATATCAATAGGACACTGTTTTGAAGGCGACACATTTTTTGACGCGCGAAATTTTGACTTAAAAATTCAAAAGGTACAATTTGTTTGAGACCTTTAACCTTTTTTCACATAGAAACACATAGAACATCTTGCGTTATTTGGGGCCAGAACTCTCCATAGCTTTCCATTTGAAAGTTGGAAAAAAAGGTGCCCAAACGCGTTAAATTTTGTACACAATTTGACAGTTTACCGTTTTAACGTTGTTTATATTTTGTAGAGTTATTACTCAACCGCGTTTGCAGTGGTGGCCCCAAATCGATTTGGTATATAGCAGATCTTCCGAACTAAGAGCAATGTTTACGGACACCTTAAATAAAGTGGCCCAAGGATGCATTGCGCATACGCCCTTACGAATGATTCAATCTTTAACGTTGAAGGGTAAAGATTCACAGGCCAAGTTCAAAGATCGCGCAGAGGAGGTACCCGGTAACCGAAACTTATTATTATACATGGTTCGCCTTATACACGCCGATCCCATGCTTATGTTGAACGTAAGTATCGAGTCTAAATTTAACGTGGCGTACAACTTGTCAATAGAATCAAGGGAAAGCGGGTCACGAGATACAAAGTTCCACATTGGAATTAATCAACGGTTTGGTTTCGTTAGTTCACCAGCCAAACATGCTAGATGTCGCTCAGGAAGCAATGGAGGCGTTACTGGTACTCCATCACCCTGAAAAAATCGAAGTGTGGAATCCGGAAGCGCCGATTAATACATTTTGGGATGTTAGGTAATGGCGGAGATTGAAGAATTTAAATTAATGTTAACCGCTTTTAGTTCTCAAGTTTTATTCTCCATATCGCAGAAATTAATTCAACACCAAATAGTTAATTATACAGATATTCTAAAATGGTTGCGAGAAATTTTAGTGTGCCGTAATGCGTTTTTATCGAAGCACAAAGAGTATGCGAACTTAGGTAGTCAAATAGCAATATGCAAACAAGCTCATATTAAATTAGAAGTAAGTTGCGTTGGTCAGCTTTCCTATTTTACGAATACTGTTTTCAGGTAGTCTTTTTTATGTACCTCTGGAGTATCGATATGGATGCAGTTCTTACAGCAATGAGTTGCTTTTCGCTGTTATGCCAGGAAGCGGAAATTCGTTGCGGTTCAGATGAAGTAACTGTTACATATTTGGTTCCTAATTACCATGTTTATCAAGACTTAGCCCAAGCCTCTACTGTTCTTACAACCGGTAAGTTTAGAGTTGCAATCGGTCTGTTTTTTTTAAATAATGTGTATAAAAATAATAATAAATAGCTAGCGGAGAATCTCGATTGAGTTTCCCAGATCATGCAAATGGTAAGTTTTTGTTGTTAAATTTAGTGAGAAAATGTAGAGGGTGCCCGTTATTCGTACTTCACCTTGGGGATCTCGGTTATCTTCCGAGATAGGATGTCGTTGCTACAACATCCTATCTTGGAAGGCTTACCGTTGGTTTCCATATTTAAAGCCCAATGTTAAAACAATAGTACTTATGAGACTTTGTTAGCTTTCGTCATACCGGCTAAGCAGTCGAGTTCGAAACTACCGTACCGACAATGATAACACGCGGTCCGAAAGCGAAACAAAACCATGGTACAATAATTTCAGGTTACTTTTCCTCTTAGGGTCAGTTCTTCATCTCGATAAATTTATTCGGCAACAACAACGGTATCTTATCTATGTAATTTATTAAAGGATCCAGACCTTCAGTCATTATACATTCAAATTTTAAGTTCCGCGTGACGTCATGCGCGGACTAGACGAATTTAGAACGGCAATCTAGCATTATCTTGATTTCATTATTTCATAAAACGATTTGTGTCAAGAAGCGGTCTGCACTATTATTAGACGACTCTCCACGGTGTTGCCACATTCGTAGTACCTTTCTTTATTCATCACGCACACAAGATTTTTATAATCACGCGCCATCTATCTCTAATTTCGTTATTGATGTAGTCAATTTGTATTTCAGTGTTATTGCAATTGGTTAGACCACCAACAATACACACTGCTACATGATGTACCTACTCCTTGAGTGAAACGAACGATATATCTATCCTTCTCAGTTTTGCATATTCTCTTCATTTATTGTTAAACACAATAGACCATGTATAATGATCAAGGACTAATTATGTAAACGAGTTTATCGAAAAGCTGTACAATATTTGACTGGAGATGCACAAATACCTATTTCTGTTACCATTGAATAAATTACTTATTCAATGCATTTACTGCATTTTTCTATAATGACACCTTCTGTAAATTACCTGATTTTCAGGTAATTAGTGGACTAGATTAGCATTGTTTGTTATAACATTTTTTAATTACCCCTTTATTTCTTGTGATTTGTTCTAATCATCTTTACTGATTTATAGATTTTTATAGTTATTAGGTACATGTGCATGAAAGAATTCACTTAGGTATGGTAGATCCTAAAAAAACCGGCACTTCGAACACCTAAAATAAATTTTTCTTTACTTATATACAAGGGTGAACAACAACAAAAATTGTATGTTTTTCATAAAAATGGTAGCTAACATTTAAAATTCTGTTACAATGATTAAAAGTATAAGCGTTGAGTGAAATTTAATTACTCAAAGGTATAAGATTTATACTGATTCTAAATAAATCCTTATCTTTTCACAAATTAATAACAATTGTACATTTAGCCTATTACTTATTTATATCTATGCACGACCCATGAAGAATTTTTCCGAACATCTTTTGTGCTGTAAGATGACTTCACTTTTTTGCCCTGAATTCAATGGTAAAAATAAAATTTACTTGATCCTCCTATTTTTTGAGGGACAAATATTCCTGTTGATAAAGTTGATATCAGTCCATATTGAAAAAAGAAGTAGGTAGTAGTAAAAAATTTTCAGTTTCTGTCGCTACATAGTATTGGAAATTTGAAAAAAATTCGCTAAGGTGATGTGAAGTTTGTGGGACTCCATCAAAAGGTATTCTCAAACGGAAAAAATAAATAGCCGAATTTTTTTAAAAGTGCAAGAATTTTTGTATATCCACCACTTTCACTAACTTGACTTTACATGACCAAAACAGTGACACTTTTTTTTAAAATAAAATCGTCAGTGTCGGCCATTAGTTATCGTATCCCGGTTAGGAATTTAACTAAAAAGGAGAATTGTATTTATATCGGTAGAGTTTCTTTTATATAACACACCACGACGTTTCCTATGTTTATGTTTTGCTAATAAATGAAAAAATGCCATATGTCATTTGTTATCTATTGGGCGCAAATTTATGGAAAGCAAAGGGCATGTGTATCTTTTGCTTTTGGTCGCACTTCTCGAAATAGATAATTTTCACGAAGACTTACTCTTAGTCCAGTATGCAGATAATTTTGACCTGCAAAAGCTGGTGTAAAAATTTTATTGTTTTAAATGGTCCATTTGGGTCCAAATAACATGTATTTGAAGAGGGCGCACAAATTTTTTCCCCGCACAACTTTTGGCAGCCAAAAAACCTCAAAATGTTTGTCATTTTTTTAGTAGGGAGGGGGGTAGTGGATTTTATCGTTCCTTAAGGAGCCACAACGCATTAAAAAAAGGTTAACTCAGTTCTTTAGAAAAGTTGGAAAAAATGGGCGTTTTTTGATCGCTTGTAAAAATTTTTCTATCTGACAGATTTTGTTTTTTTTTTTTACGACGCACGTTTTCTTTAATTTACTAAAGAAGTGTTATTCATAAAATATGGACCGTTTTCGAGTTTTAAGCGAAAAACTGACAAAAGTCCGAACATTTTGAGGTTTTTTGGCTGCCAAAAGTTGTGCCGGGAAAAAATTGGTGTGCACTCTTCAAATACATGTTATTTGGACCCAAATGGACCATTTAAAACGTTAAAATCGTTTACACCACCTTTTGCAGTAATCGGCCCTTCTGACTGCTCCGCCTACTGGACTATCTCAGGAACTGATAATTTTAGATGGGAAATATACACAAACGTGTAATTTAGTAATTTGATTTGATCTAACTAAACAATGTGGAATGTGCTACGTTTCTGGTAATTTGAAAGCATTGTTATAAAACAGAGTTCATATGCAGCACTACTTATGGTATATATGTGAAGTACCTAGTATTGTACGTAACCCCCGCCCCGTCAAAGGGAAATATTATTACAGCCTCATTATAGGTTTTTTTTTTAATTTCTTGAAGCATCCTGATGGAATGCAAAAGGTTTTAGAAAAAAAAAATTATTTCCAATGTACCTATAATAGGATATCCATTTTTCGTCTTGGAAATATGTAACATTATGATTTACAAATCAACAGCATTCAAATAAATAAATAATAAATAGTAATTTATCTAATTCATATCATTAGGAACGGCGTAACAATGTGTAGGGTAATGCCAGGTAGTTTCTTTTGTTTTCCCTTTCAAGTAATGAGTTGTCGCCTCGGGCGTTATAACTGCAATTTGAGTTGCCTATCCTTAGGTTAGCGTTTTGATTTTTTTCTGAAGATCGCCAAACATATTTTTTAAAATATATGCATTATCATAATAGGTGGAAATAATATCTTTAAGTGCCACCGTAGGAAATACTGTCGGATTTCCAAATTGGTGCTGTACGTTTTTCTACTCTCATTAAAACGGCTGTTATTTACAAAAAAACGATTTTTCTATTCATCGATCTTCCTAAAAAACTAAGACCGATATTTCAATTTTTTTTAAGTACCGCCGTTCTTTTCATCATTGCAAAGAATATCCACTATCGAGAATTTGTTAGACTTCAACTACAAAAGCAGCATTTCATAAGAAAGTTTAGCTATTTTTCCAATATGGCGGATTGACTACAGAGGAGCCTTAAATTAGCTGGTGATAATTGTGTCCGCAATGTATAAGTAAACGGCGCTATTAAAATTGTTCAAAATAATTTTTTCTAACAACAAAGTTTATATCAAAATATTCACAAATTTAAAATTGTAATGAAATAGCGTCGTTTACCGATAAATTAGAATTACATTGTCGAAAATCGAATTAAAAATATCGAAGATATAGCAAAAATGGCATATCATTGGGGTACCCAATCCTCTTAAAGATTATTTGTAAACTAAAAAAGAAGCTCATGCTTTTGTTTGAGAGTACCGGAAAGAAACAAAAAGTGATGTTACGAATTGCGTTATTATATTCACAAGCCTGTATTACTTTTCCGCTAGGTGTTTTCTAATTTCTTCTTGATAAATACACAAAAAATAAAGCATCTAGTTGCATTACTAAATATTGTTTAAGTTGTCCTGTAGTTGAACTCCATTGCTCTTGAGTTCATTTCTCATCTTATTTTATCGAAACACTTCAGAAAATTAAGAAAAAGTTATTGAAGTAGCTTTCTTATTTCTGGAGCGGTTTTTTTGAAATTTTCGGAGTGATTACTTCTATTAAAAAGAAAATCCATAGGTCAAACATGTCTAAAGTGCGCGCATGTGCCAACTAATGTCAAACATGTGGGAGGGGGAGAGGGAGCGAAGAATTTCAAATGTGAATATCTCAAAAGTATAGTATAGTATAGCCAATTTTTCATTATATTCAATAACCATACAGTGAATTTTTTTTTAATGCGAACATAGGAGTTTGCATGCAATGTAATTTCCCTATGTTCGATTTTAAAAAAAACACATCAATCTATTGAGTAGTTCAAATGAGTAGTAGAGACAATTGACAACTGTCACATTTTTAAAAATACCGCCGTCCAATTTAATTACGAAATCGGTTAGGTTATTGCTTAGAATGTCAAGGAGGACACTTTGAACATTTATTGTAGTTGTTTGCGTTATTTATTTTCTATTTTCTTCATTTATGTATTGAATAAATCAAATTAGTAGAATACCAGGTACACATGACCTACAAATAATTGAAGGTTGGTTCACAATGAGTTGTGGTGTCAGTGCGTGGCCTGTGAGGTCAAGTTATCGTAAGTTTAAGAAAAATGTATCCTAAAGTTGCTATGGCCTCACATGGCTTCTTTAAAAAAATCTTGCCGAGTGCTCTTCATCATAAAGACTATTAGAGTTGCTGTTCATAGTCACACAAGTTGCGCGATTTGGGAATGTGAACCGCGCACACCTTATAGATTGATGTGTTTTTTTTTTAAATCGAACATAGGGAAATTACATTGCATGCAAACTCCTATGTTCGCATTAAAAAAAAACTCATTGTATATTATGCTAAATAAATACAAATACAAAAATGGTGTCGGAAGAGGGTGCTTACAAAGGGAAAATGAAATGTTAATATTTCAAAAACGGAGTATCGGAAGAGGGTACTCATGAATGGAAAATATTTAGATATCGACTTGAACTGCGAATATTCCGAAGATTGTATATTGTTGTGTAAACTACGCCATGCGGGGGTTTGTTGGGCTTCGGCACCCGCATTAATGTTGGGGCATCCTGTATGTCTTATTCCAATTATTTTTGCTGTTAAACGTGATTGGGATTGACCGTAAATCCCGATCATATTAGGTGATGTTTTGTTTTGTTTAAATAATTCAGTTCAGTTAACGCTGGACTGTGGTGCTAAGGGGTCCCTGGTTCGAATCCGGGTTCGGGAATGGATATTTGTAAATGTATAGTGGGTTGGGTTGGTAGAGCAGCCTTGGCTGAAACTCCGCCCACTCAAAAATAAAGGCAAAAAAAAAAAATAAAAATAAAAATAATTATTTTGTTTATTTTGAGTTATAAGTAAAGTTGTTTTAAGTTAGTAAGATAAGTTATTAATTAAATAAAGAACATATGGAATTGTTTGCGTAGATTTGTAAAAATTTATCTCTGGTTGTAGGTAAGAAGTTTCGTTATTGCGGCGTAAGCTAATTAGATTCAAGATAAGAAAACACAGGTGTAGTTTATCGTTCAACGACGCGGTAATTTGTCCTTAAACCTCAAGCAACTATGCAGATAAAAAAAATCGCGCATGCCCAATTTTTTTTATTTGTTGAGATATTTAAATGAAATGTTGTATGTACGCACCTCGAATAAAAGCGAAACTAATGCGAATCAAAAAATTTGTTTTGCGCATGCGCAGTCGATTTTTTTTTATTTCCTAAGATGTTTAAATGAAATTTTGTATATATAGGCACCTCGAGTAAAAGTAAAACTAATGCAGGTCCAAAAAATTTAAGGTGTGTTGTAAAAATGATGGACGTGTGAAGGTCTCGAGGATCGTTCGGTATTCAGTTGTATCACATTTTTTAGTGTACAAAACCACAAAAGGAAATGTACTGAACCCAATAAAGCAATAATATTATTATTATTACCACAATCCGCATGGTGACGTGCGAAAAACTGGCATCCTGTATTAGCAATGTTGTATTTGCAATGAAGATAATTTTAAAACCAATTGGCCACCGAACTTGTGTATTCTTATTCTGTAAATGCAAGATCAATTAGCACAGCCAGTCCCCGCTTATAAAGAGCGGTACGTTTATTTTTAAAAAAGAAAGGGCTTGTTTTGGTGAGGCCAAAGAAGTAGGTTTTATATCGGGTCCTTTTATGATTTGAGATCACTAGCGGAAAAGGTTATTTATTATTAGTAAGTGTTACCTAAATTACAGGTAGGGCGGCGCTACAAAAACGAATTATGGTTTTACTACGCAAGATTGAGCATTGTGTTAATGGTGTACAACCAGCCTGGGAAGAAACGTTTATGAACTGGAATTCGGTTTGGAAAAACCTGGCGTCTTACCCGAAAGCGAAAGCGGAGGATGGTCAAACGGAACCGCTTTATAGGTCTATGGGAAAGCGGCGAGCATCACATCAAAATTCAGAGCACGAACTAGATGTTGGTTGTTACTCAAGCCCTTGGCTCATGTTACATATTAATTTATTGTAGGATCAAATAAATGAGTGGGCGAATATGACAGGTTTTTTGTGTGCATTGGGTGGTGTTTGTTTACAGAGAAAATCTCCTTCTAGACCTACTTTATCGGCGTCTTCGCATTCTAGCTTATCTTCCGCTACGATTAGCTCAGTTAGCTCCAGTTTTACGGAAAGTCGGAAATCGAGCGTTTTGACAAGTGGTAGTCAAGAGCAACGTCAATATTGCCCAGTGACACAGTAATATACTTCTTCTTTACACGTTATTGTTTAATTGCGCTTTTTAGGTTTGTCGATTTACTGCTTCGATTATTGGTGTGTAATAACGAGAAGTTTGGGGCGCAAATTCAAAAGCACGTGAAGGAGTTAGTTGGCCATGAAATGTCATCCGCATTATACCCGATACTGTTTGAACAAATTAAAACGATTGTTGACAAATTTTTTGATTTGCACGGACAGGTCGTCGTATCAGATTTGAACACGCAATTCATCGAACATATCATTTTTATTATGAAAAATATTTTAGACAGTGGAAAAAGTGATCAGCCATCTGAACATTTAGGTGTCACGAGTATTGAAGGAATGATGTTGGGTGTTGTCAGGTCAGTAGAGCTAGTAAGTATACTCGTGCTAATTTTCTTTGCATTTAGATATGTTCGTCATCTCGACATGACAGTACACGCTATACACATTAAGACAAAACTGTGCCAATTGGTCGAAGTGATGATGAAACGACGAGATGATCTGGCATTTCGGCAAGAAATGAAGTTTCGCAATAAACTGGTCGAGTATCTTACCGATTGGGTATTGGGGACTTCTCATCAAATAGCGCCACCTAGTTCTGGCGACGTCACGATTATTACCAGAGATTTGGATCAAGCGTGCATGGAAGCGGTGGCAGCTCTACTACATGGTCTTCCCTTACAGCCTGAAGAGTCAGATCGTGGTGATCTCATGGAAGCAAAAAGTCAGTTGTTTTTGAAGTACTTCACGCTGTTTATGAATTTGCTGAACGACTGTAATGACGCGTCGGAGGTGGAGAAGGAGGTGTCGAGGCAAAGGTTGGCCGCTGGAAAGTTGAACACTTTGAGAAATGCTACAATTCAAGCAATGTCCAATTTACTTTCAGCCAATATTGACAGCGGATTAATGCATTCTATAGGTAAAGCAATAGTACACTACCGTATGAATATCGTAACACAGTATGTCTTTTGGGTCTAAAGAAAATTCTGTCCTATTACAAAATTCATAGTGAAAATTTGGTTCAATTCATATAGTAGGTATGTGATGGGTCTCTGATTGTGCTTCAACTCCACCCAGTCATGAATTGGTGTATGGGTGCTCAGAAGCTACACTGACATGTTTTCATAACATACTCCTTCAAGCAGGCGTGCAAAATTTTACTTTCATGATCTTCACGGTATGCGGTTTCCTTAGTGTTGAATTTGGACGCTAGTTTTCATGGCTGTTTAAAATAGTATGTGCTTTCTTTGGATTTAAGCATCTGGTGGATTAAATCCAAACTAAATGTAACCAATGTAACTATTTAAGATTCTCACCAAAAGTTTATTTTACACAGAAACTGATAAGTACATACACTGCAGTGTTTCATCAGAGAATATGGTTTACGTATTGTAATGCAGTCGGGTAATTTCTACCTATGCCCAAGAAACGATCCATATGCATTTTTGGCAACCAAAATATTTTTATCCATAAGATGTCAAAATTGTTTATGCATCAATTTTCTTGGGAAAAAGATCAAACTCGATTGCTCGATGACCAAGCCTGTTTTTGGTGATCAAAATATTTTTACCCAAAACATAGCAAAATCACTATTTATGCATCAATTTTCTTGGAAAAAAGACCAAACTCGATTGCTCGCCGCCCGAGAAGTGATCCATGTGTGTTGAGAGCGATTAAAATATTTTTAACCAAAGATGTCAATATTGTTATTTATTTGGGAAAATGGCCAAACTCGATTGCTTACAGACCGTGGGCTATATAGCATGGCGAATAATGGCGCAGACTGAATATGACATCGGCAACTGCCGGGAAAACATATCGATTGAGATTCCTACCTATATATGTAGACAATAGCTGTCTATCGTTTATCCGGCGTTGCTAGAATCAGACTCCAGCAGCGCTTCAATATTCATTCGCAAACTTCTCCCAGTTCTGCTGACACAGGAACAAGCACTGACCACGGGCGATGATGCTTCCGTAGCTTCTTGCAGTTGCTACTGTAGCAGCTGCTGTTGTTGTGGTGATTGTACCAACGCATGGCCTAATAAGAGTATGGTCTGCTATTCCCGTGAACGAAATCTCGCACAAGTCGCGCATGACGTCACGCGGTTGTGTACACTGAAATATTGTACACGCGCATATGAATAAATATGTGCTAATATTTCAATATTCCATTGCATATGTGATAAATACGATTATATAGCTATATTACTTTATTACAATGGTCCATTGTGTGGTGTCTGGTTGCAATAATAACAATAGAAAAACTAAATACAAGTTAGTATAGATTTCCAAAGCATGTTGCTTTTGAGCGGGGTATAATTGTATCGGCATCTGATTGATGGCTACACCTTCACTCAACGATCTAACCGATCGTTAATAGATTTGTATAAAAACCTAATAAATAGGTAGATAGGTACGATAACGAATATGTTTTGACAACAAGATTTGTTGGTAAATATACCTTCCAAAGGGCCGGCGAATGCTGCTTTGAAATTATAATACTTGTTTAACGGGCCAACATTACAAGAAGGGATTGCTGAAATACCTACCTTCATTTTGCTCAAGAAACAACGAACATTCATAAAGAAGGTTCGCTTTATGACTGCTTACGTTGCATACAAATTAAAAACGAAATACCGATTCTTAGGCGAAATCGCCGAATTTGAAATAGGCGATAATTGGATTATTTTATATCCGAACGGGATTTAAAAAAGCCAACAAATTATTTTGCTGTTATTGAAAAGTAATAAACTATAATGCATCATGTGATGAAACATTGATACCTAACGACGCTTTCGACCACTTTAGTTAAAGCAAAGAGCATATAATATAACGATACTCTTTGAACTTTGGAGCGTTGAGTGAAGGCTCATATGTATTACTCAATGCTTTGGAGTAAGGACGTATATAAGAATTCGGAAACGAAATTAAAAAAATGAGAAACTGCGGGACTTCTGCAGAAAGACGAACAATTAGTAACCGATGAAAAACCTCATGTTTTAAACAGTCTGAATTGATGTTTTGTACATATTTTACATTAAAAATGCTAATGATTTTCTACTTTGTTTTTGTAATACAACACAGTTTGTTACGTATATATATGCAGATAAGCTCTAATCAGGTGTAAGCACTTTATGAATGAAAACTTTTCATCGTAATTGTTAGCTTTTCTTACTTATTCTTATGGGAATCTTGCCGACACCAGTTCGTTTCACAACCGCGTGACGTCACATCAACGCCAGCCGACTAATGCACTATGCGCAATAGCAGACCATACTCTTATTAGGCCATGGTACCAACGTACACCCCACCATTTAGGGCGAATAGATGCTGGTCAAGAACCTTGGCCAGGTGATTTTGTTCCATATCCGCCTGGTTAGCCCGTAGCCTACCCAGAGGGTTATTTATTTATTTATTATCCTTCTCTTGTTCTGGGCCCTCAACAGGCTAGCGCCCAATTATTTATGATTGCTACCTTGAGTTACCTTGCGGCAGCTTTTGGTTGGGGCTGTGGTCTGCCCTTTTTCGTCTGCGGTTGAATCGGTGTTGTCATCCGACCTCTGCCTCTTTTTCTCTCCGCCTTCCTGTTTGCCTCTTAGTTCGCTCTAGGACCCTGCCTCTTAGTCAGGGTTGGGTCACGGGAGGTGAATGGTTTTGAGGCGCCTTCTTTATCCTCTTCTGTTCAGCGCCAGAGGTGGTTACTTGCTTTTTTGGCATCATGGAATAGAGTTTAGTCTTTTCCCCAACAAAAAGCAAAACTCAGGCGCTAACTCGATTTTTATTTTTAATTTCCGAAATTGTACTTAGATTTTGATGAAACGTTTATGAAACGGTCTATAAGTAAATTCGGATGGATTCTGAGAAAATGGCTCCTGGGATAAATTGTTGAGCGGCTGGGGAGCCAGGCCGTGGAGGTGCGCGCCGCTCCTACACGGTCAGGACTAGGGGCGTCGAGGCGCCGGCTTTTCATGAGGTGAAAAAAATTCCTCCGGCGATCGTCGGGCCAACTGCTGTAAGAAGCGAAAAAATCGAAAAAGTTGGGAAAAAATTCGTAGCTCGAAAACGTCGGCGAAAACTTCCTATTGTAATTTTCGGAGATCGTGGAGAGGCCTTTTTGTGCGGCGGTGAAATTAGGGGCGTAACTCGATCTCTTTGTGAACGGCGAGCCCGAAGCGGCGCTTGCGATCAGGTCGGTCTTCGCGTTTTGCAAATTAACGCTCTCTAAAGCCAAAACGATGAGATCTAGAGGAAATTGCCCGACGGGTGGGTCGCTGGCGGGGGGGGGGCGAGGGGGAAAAACCACTATGGGTAGTTTTAGAAAGGGTAAGACATAAATTTGGTTAAATGGGAGAGAAGTTTCGCAATCAAAGGTCTAAAGCCCCTTTGTAACGATCACTTATTTAGTCAAATTTTTAGTACTTTTTAATAAAGATAATGCTATCCTAAAAGTGTCATAAATGATGAAACTGTATGTAACATTCCATAATATTGTCACTTTTTTAGTACCAGTAAAATGTAAACATTTGTACATAACCTATGTTAAGTATATTAAATCTGGAGACTAAATATTTATCTTCTGAAAACTAAGGTCTCCATCTACTGTCAACGTATTATAGTGAGCTTTAAAAATGAATATAAATTTAATTTTACAAATTCCCTATATCTGTCAAAAGTTACTAAAAAATTGAGGGAAAAATAGGACAGGTTCTAAACATTACAAAAATAGGACAACTTTCAGTTCCTAAAATAACTACCAAAAAATGGATCAAAGTTGATGTATGAAATGTTCAATTTTTTTGTTCCTAAAAAAATTATTTAAAAATTGACTAAATAAGTGATCATTACAAACGGGCTTAAGAAGATCCCTGAAAAAATTTTTGGTTTTTGAAATATTTTGAAAAAATCGGTCTTTGACCTAGAGCAAGACGAAGGGCACTTTTTCATAGCAACTTTTAATGTCCTCAAGGGGACATTGTTAATTCTTTAATTCGACATTGGGGCACTTATTATTATCATTCGTTAGGGGATGATTTAAGATCAGTATACAGGGTGCTTAATATAACTTAGGAAAGGTAGATTTTGGGTACATAGGTAGAGTGGAATTTTCCACAATTTTCGATACCGGTCGGGGGTTTTTGTTTGTTTTATACGTAGGTATAATATACTTGTTGAATTTGTTCACAATTGTATTTTGCTATTCTACTGAATGTTATTATTTGTCATTACTCGTGAATAATTATGTTATTTGAGTACTGTTATGGGATGGATCTCGTAACATAACTCTATATGATAATGAGTCATGTCCTATCCAAAATGGCCTGAGCTTTAAACTAATCTAACTCTAACCTTAATATGTGTACCCTTCGTCCGTGTGATCCTGGTGTGAATGTTTAGCTCTGTTGCATAACAGCGTTAACAAATAACTTCATTTCCGTGAAGATGGTGCCCACAGTATTTTAAATATCAATGTAAAATTACGATTATGAGGGAAATAAAATTCCCAGATGTTGTGGTATAAGTTGAGAGCGATTATAATGTAATTGTAAAATGCAAATTAGAAAAGAAATAAGAAAGTGAGTACCTAGCCTGGAAGCTTTTTTTCTTTTCTTGTAATCAATAAGACCTCAGAGCTACTCTCGTGGTTGTTTGTATTTTGAATTTTGAGTGTTTTTAACGAATGTAATTAAATTTCACTCATCCCATTGCTTACGTTTTATTATTTATGTTTATTTAATCGATCTTTAGAGCACACAGATCAACTAACACTGCTGAAAACCGCACTGTCAAGTTTCTTTGCGCGTGAAATAAACGACCGTATCTGTTATCTGTATAACATTCAACTTTGTAACAAATAAAATAATAGTTACTGAAATCGTCCATTAGAGGCAATATTTGCTTGAATGATTTACCGCCCAACTATTTTTGCTACATCATGAGTCTCTGTGGTGTTTAAATCTGCGCTTTATTGCCGTAAAAGGTAGGTATCTTTTCAGGACATTAAACTTACCAACGTCAAAAAAAATGTTACCAATTATGGTCTTATCCACACCCATTAACTTTTAACACATCTGTCCATTTTATACAAAAATAATGCCTAACAAATAAACTTTAAAGACAAATTTTACACAAACAAAACACCTGCAAAATCTTATCAAATTAAATGAAAGGAATAATTTCGCATTTGGCCTAATTTGGTCCACACTCAATTTAAATAAAGACCTACTTATCTCATAAATATAAAAAAATTATGCGTGTTATCCCATTCGATGGTCAATATGAACATTCCTATATTCTTGCAGATCTTGGGTACAATAGAGATTTACAAACGAGAGCAGCTTTTATGGAAGTTTTAACCAAAATTCTACAACAAGGAACGGAATTCGATACGTTGGCCGAAACCGTACTAGTGGACCGTTTTGAACAGCTCGTGCAATTAGTAACGATGATTAGCGATAAAGGTGAACTGCCAATAGCGATGGCCTTGGCGAATGTCGTAACGACATGTCAAATGGACGAATTGGCGCGCGTCTTTGTGACATTATTCGACGCTAAACATCTGCTCTCTCCTTTGTTGTGGAACATGTTTTACAGAGAAGTTGAAGTGTCGGACTGCATGCAAACGCTATTCCGTGGGAATTCTCTAGGCAGTAAAATCATGGCATTCTGTTTTAAAATTTACGGAGCCAGTTACCTGCAAATGCTTTTGGAGCCGCTTATCAAACCACTATTGGACGATCCAAATTGCAGCTTTGAAGTGGATCCTGCAAGGTACGTTTTATTACATTCCCGCTTATATACTGATACATAATTTCAGGATTGAGACGAACGAGGATATTGAGGAAAATAGGCAGAATCTTGTTGCGTTAACGCAAAAAGTGTTTGACGCCATTGTCAATTCCGCGGAGACCTTTCCCGCCCAACTGAGATCCATGTGTCACTGCCTATACCAAGTGCTTAGTAAACGATTTCCTCAGTTTCCGCAAAATAATATCGGTGCTGTGGGGACTGTAATATTTCTAAGATTCATTAATCCGGCAATAGTATCGCCGCAAGAAATGGGAATTGTCACCAAACAGGTTCCGTTGTCGGTAAAAAGAGGTTTAATGTTAATGTCGAAAATTTTACAAAATATTGCAAATCACGTCGAGTTTAGTAAGGAACAGCATATGTTGCCCTTCAACGATTTTCTCAGGGCGCATTTTGAAATTGGTAGAAGATTTTTTATTCAAATTGCATCAGACTGTGAAACAGTAGATCAAACGTCTCATTCGATGTCGTTTATTAGTGACGCTAATGTGTTGGCCCTGCACAGATTATTATGGAACCATCAAGAGCGGATAGGCGATTACTTGTCAAGCAGTCGTGACCATAAGGCTGTGGGACGGAGACCTTTTGACAAGATGGTAACGTTACTAGCATATTTGGGCCCTCCTGAACACAAACCGGTAGACTCGCAGTAAGTTACTGAGGTCACACGACAATTTGTCTCAAAGTTCTTCGTAGTATCTTATTTTCGTCATACGCCCGATGGAGTTCAATAGATATGTCATCGTCCAACTTCGAAGAGATAATGAAGAAGCACAACATGCACGAAAAGGAAGAATTCAAATCTTTAAAAGCCTTAAATATATTTTACCAGGCTGGTACTAGTAAAGCTGGTTTTCCGGTTTTTTATTATATCGCCCGCAGATATAAGTAACTAATAGGTAAATATAAATGAGGCCTTCTCTATCATATAATTGTTTTAGGCTAGGGGAAACCAATGGAGATTTACTTATCTATCATGTCTTGCTTACGGTCAAACCCTTTTGTCACGCTCCATTTGAGCTAGTAATCGATTTTACGCATACCAGCTCTGAAAATCGATTCAGGTATTGTTATTAATTTATTAGTTACGATAAAGCCTCATTGGACTGGCCCTAGTCATCTTGTATAACTGTTATATAAAAATCTAATGTTCTCCTGGATTTTTGGATTTTAAGACAGGCGGGGGACGGAGGCCTGTTGTACTATCTCTTTCGGTTTAAAAAGTAAGTTGGCTCGAAGCTGTAAAATACTTGTTTCGAGACCAGTGTTGTAATGGGCTATTACATAAGAAAGGGTTGAAACTTCCCTACCAAAATTTCTGGGGAAAAGACTTTTTCTTATTAATTTTGGTGCGTAGAATCCAAAACAATTCGTACTTTTTCGATCGGACTTCTCAATCAAAAGTTATAGACTAGAAACCAATTTCGAAAGAAAATTCAAAGGGCTATAACTTTTGAACTAGTAGCCCAATCTTGGAACTGTTTGAAATTATGGATTCTACAGGCCACATTCTATAAGAAATTTTTTTCCGGGTCGATCTGAGACAATTTTTTTTTCGGGCCTCAAAAAAAGGCAGTGTATAACCTTCCTTTTTTACCAAAAATCGACTGCACCAAAATTTCTCGGGAAAAGACTTTTTCTTATGAATTTTGGTGCGTAGAATCCAAAACAATTCGTACTTTTTCGATCAGACTTCTCAATCAAAAGTTAATAGACTAGAAAAAAATTCAAAGGGCTGTAACTTTTGAACTAGTAGCCCAATCTTGGAACTTTTTGAAACTATGGATTCTACAGGCCACATTCTATAAGAAAGTTTTTTTTCCGGGTCGATCTGAGACAATTTTTTCTTCGGGCATCAAAAAAGGCAGTGTATAACCTTCCTTTTTTACCAAAAATCGACTGCACCAAAATTTCTCGGGAAAACACTTTTTCTTATTAATTTTGGTGCGTAGAATCCAAAACGATTTGTACTTTTTCGATTAGACTTCTCAATCAAAAGTTATGGACTAGAAATCAATTTCGAAAGAAAATTCAAAGGGCTGTAACTTTTAAACTAGTAGCCCAATCTTGGAACTTTTTGAAATTATGGATTCTACAGGCCAAATTATATAAGAAAATCGGATTTATGGCTCAGTGGTAGAGCATTGGGTTATAAATCCTGAGGTCGGGTGTTCGAACCTGGGTTGAGGTGAATTTTTTATCTGTGGCGGAGATGGAAATTACCTTAGACCAGTTCCGAGCATTCTACCGCCTACTCCGAATTAGGTTTTCCTGCAGTTTTCCTAATTCGTAAGGTAAATCCTTTCTGCAGAGGTACCTCTAAATAGCATTATGCGGGTCACTCTGTAATTGGGCGCATGCCTGTTGAGGGCCCAAAACAAGAGAGGGATAATAAAATAAAAAGAAAAATAAAATAAACTATGTTTACTGAACTTTGTTATTGTTTAGTATAATTGGAGAAAATCTTCAGTAAGCACTTGCACCAAATTGCGAGTATAATTACGTCTTTAAGATCGCTGAACTGGATTTATTATGGTAAACATCGACAGTTTTTTGATATAATTTCTCCCTTTGATACCGTTTTACTAAACCTTGCGCGATGTATTTACCGCGTCAAGACTGAATTGCACAGTTTTTCTTTAACACGTGATCAGCACATTTACTTCCGTATTCAAAGGACATTGGCAACTCTACACTTAAGAATTTTTCCGTTTCGGTTTATAACTCGACGAAAAATTTACGCAGCTTTACATTTCCCGAAACTGCTCTTATGATTTGGAACTATCGTTTTTTCAGACAGAAAGTCAAAATTCCCTTTTTCTTAAAATCTTGTGATCTCTCCTCGATTGCTGAGAGATGTTAAATTTTTCAATTTTAAATGAGTAAATGTTTCACATCCACAAATGGCGAATTTTCTTCAAAATGGCGTGTAAATTTTGTATTGGTTAATGTTTTTGTACTACCAATCACAGATGGTTTTAAGGTCTTCCCACGCATTCAAAAATTTCCACTTTGACTTTATCTCATGATAAGCCAACTAATGTAATACTAATACTGTATCATTATTAAAAAAGACTGAATTTGCACCTGATCGCCGCCAGAAGCAATTAAAGAACAAAAACCAATTGAAAATGAATGGGAGAAATGACCGCAATGATCAGATAAATTCTTTACGTCATCAGGACCAAGAGTTGTTTGGGAAGACAATGCAAAACATTTTTTACAGGTGAAAAAATTCGAAACATACCTACTTAAAAAGTTATAGGAAAAAAATCGAAATTGTTAAACTTTCCAGCCATACCTTGCAAAAACCGAAGAAAAAATTGTCAAAAAGCATCGCTTTTTTTTGATACTATCTCATGCCACTTCTGTGCTATAAAAAATTTCAAAAGCGTATACTCAAAACGACACCAAAGTAAAAATAAAACAATTAACCGAAATGGCCGCAACATGGGCACTTGCCAGTGAAATTTTTTGAACTTTTTGTTACTCAACGATTACTTTAGAGACCACCTCTGTAATAGATGCTGACCATTATGACAGTACAGTCGTAACTGCTTTAAATCAGAATCGATATGAAAACCCCGATTTCTGTTTTTTGCTAAAATCGACGTTAAACTACGAGATAAAGTTAATGCAAAAATATGAGGTCCCTAAGCGACCTTTTGGGGGCCTCAAACCTTGATGTTAGCTAAAAGTCGCATTAATTTGTTAATGATAGCAAATAATCAATTGTAAAATATCGAGTGCAGACACGGAGACGACGATTTGTATCAAAATTTTCCAAAAAAGTCACTTTGTATAGATTATATACATATTATAAGGCTTATAATTTAAGCAAACAAAATGGGCGAGCCAAAAATTGTACTGCGCATGCCCAATAAACTTTTATGTTGAGCAATTTGATCGAAGTTTTTATGGTAGGTTCTTCTAAATAAAAGTAAATAAAATGAAAGTGCCAAAAATCGTACTGCGCATGCGCCATAGTCAATTTTCTTATATCATTTTTTGAGGTATTTGTGCGAAATATGCTCACTCTAGCGGATTTTTAAAATGCAAAGCATTACCAACCTATACAATGAGATTGAAACTATGTATGTATTGGTGCTTTTTTGAGCCGAATGAAATTTCTTTTCACTTTTATCGCCATTTAGAATATTCTAAGGACACTTAAAACAACTCTAACTACTTACTACATTCTCCTAGCAATCAAGCAAAAAAAATTACACAATTATAACACAATAATAAACGGCGATTGCTAATAAAAATGCGGTGATAGTTCCACAAACAGCCTTTTGCGTTTTCCCCTTCGAGATCGACTCCGTCTTGTTAAAAATGAATACTGGGGCTTTGGAGCATAGTGTTTACCAAACTACCTTCCTGGAATCGTTCCAGTTAGGGCGGGGCTAAATTCAGTGACGCTTTATCGCTAGATTTGCTCATGTTTCATATAGTATTAGCATAAAAACTTTCAAGGACCGAGTTCCTGAACAAATGGTTTTACGTATTACCGGAAGTCGCGTACGAAAACATACACGCCACTTACGTTTACAACTGTAGCAGTTGGGTACGGGAATATACGAAATATCATGATCGGCTGCTTGCTCCTCTAAAGGTCAATTTGGTTCTGAATGGTGGACGTGAAATTACATTCGATTTAATTTATAGGGCATCAGGAAATTGATTTTCATCGATTCGGCCGCAAAATTGAACGACGTTATTGATATTGATCAACAGAAACTTCCTGGTGCTACGTTAAGTTTGGATGAGGATTTGAAAGTGTTTAATAACGCGCTAAAGTTGTCACACAAAGACACTAAGGTTGCAATTAAAGTAGGACCAACCGCTATACAGATAACTTCGTCTGAAAAAACAAAAGTGCTCTCACATTCTGTACTATTAAATGATGTTTACTATGCTTCCGAAATTGAAGAGGTATGTCTAGTGGATGACAATCAGTTTACACTCACAATCGCAAACGAAAGTGGACCACTTAGTTTTATACACAACGACTGTGATGCAATAGTGCAGGCAATAATTCATATAAGAAACCGGTGGGAGCTGAGCCAACCGGTAAGTCGTATATATATTGCATTTGGAGGCTGCAATAATTTCTTTCAGGATTCCGTAACAGTTCACCAGAAAATAAGACCGAAAGATGTTCCAGGAACTTTACTAAATATGGCGCTACTTAATCTAGGTTCGTCTGATCCAAATCTTCGTACCGCTGCATATAATCAACTTTGTGCATTGACTGCCACATTCGATCTAAAAATTGAAGGTCAACTATTGGAAACCTCAGGTTTATGTATACCATCCAACAACACAATATTCATTAAGTCGATATCCGAAAAGTTGGCTACAAACGAACCCCATCTCACTTTGGAATTCTTAGAGGAGTGCATACAGGGTTTTCGAGTCTCTAGTATTGAGTTGAAGCATTTATGCTTAGAATACATGACACCGTGGCTGGGGAATTTAGTTCGGTACGTACAGTGCGATGACGCCAATTTTTGAGTAAGCGTTTCAGGTTTGTAAAACCATCCGATGAAAGCAAAAGACACAAGCAAGTGTCCCAAATTTTAGAAAAGCTTATTTTGCTAACGATCGAAGAAGTGGAAATGTATCCTTCTATTCAAGCCAAAATTTGGGGCTCAATCGGACAGGTTCCCGAGCTAATAGATATGGTGTTGGATAACTTCATACACAAATCGGTTTCAGCTGGTCTGGGTTCTTCGATGGTGGAAATAATGGCGGATACTGCTGTGGCATTGGCCTCCGCGAATGTACAGCTAGTTGCCAAAAAGGTTATTGGTCGACTTTGTAAGGTAAGGGTTTCATGCAGATTGTAACAGGCAATTGTAATTGTCTTGCAGGTTGTGGACAAAACTTGTCAATCACCCACCCCGCTTCTTGAACAACACATGATGTGGGATGACATCGCAATTTTAGCAAGATACCTTCTTATGTTATCATTTAATAATTGTTTGGATGTCGTCCGACATCTACCCTATCTGTTTCATACAGTTACATTCCTCGTTTGCTCGGGCTCACTTAGTATGCGTGCTTCCACTCACGGATTAGTCATAAATATCATTCATTCCCTATGTACGTGCACCAAACCGTCATTTTCAGAAGAAATTCAGAGGATATTACGCTTATCTTTGGACGAGTTTTCGCTTCCTAAGTTTTATTTATTATTCGGCATAAGTAAAGTAAAATCAGCTGCCGTTACCGCATTTCGTTCAAGTTATCGCCATCCCAATGAACGATGGCTGAGTACGGAGAGAAGCTTTTCTGGACCTACTTCGGACCGAGAAAGATTATCTTTGGCATCTCTTGAAGTTATCACAGACGCACTGCTGGAAATTATGGAAGCTTGCATGCGCGATATACCCGAATGTGATTGGTTAAATAGTTGGACTGCGCTAGCTAAAAGCTTCGCGTTTTGTTTTAATCCTGCACTGCAACCGAGAGCTCTGATTGTGTTCGGATGTATAAGTAAAAGTATATCGGATCACGATATGAAGCAGTTGTTACGAGTGTTGGTGAAAGCTCTTGAGAGTTTTAATGATATTGTCTTGATTGAAGCGTTAGTGATGTGTTTGACCAGACTTCAGCCACTGCTAAGGTCGGAATCGCCAATTCATAAAGCTCTTTTTTGGGTTGCCACTTCTGTATTGCAGTTAGATGAGGCGTCGCTTTATGCAGCTGGGTTGGCTCTTTTGGAACAAAATTTGCACACGCTGGACGCTCAGGGAACTTTTGATGACAGAGTAAGTATCTATGGTTTTGAATACCCTGAACCACTCTGGTGCTGCTATAAAAGAAATCAATGTTTGTGGAGGGGAGGGAACCATTTCTTTAGGCAGCAATTCGTTTTTCTTCTATTGCTAGTGTTTTCTTGCCTTGCCGATTACCTGTTGAGAACTCTTTGTAAAAATATGCTAAGAATGTTGCTATGAGTATCTAAATTTATTGAACATTCCATATATTGCTGTGTGCAATGGCAAACGGTAACTAAGTCATCTGCAAATCATCTGTCCAGCTAGCTCATAACAAATCAACCTTTAAACTTAGAAAGTTAGACTTTTTTCTTGTACACGGCCGGCTTTCACTATAAAGAAAAATCCTTATTTTATTAATTTGAAAGACACTAGGCTCGATCAACTCCCGACAATTCCAAAGAATTAACTAAACAAATTTTAACACCAGTCTTGGGCACGAAGAGAAAAATCTGACATGAAAACTCTATCTGGGTCGCACTTTGGGTTGGATTAAACACAGTTAAGTAATTGACAAAGACAAAAATTTATTTCTCTAAACATAAAAGAGATTAAAACATTGCTGAAAGAACGGAATTTAGAACCTTCGACATACAATTAAATAATGGGATCTTAATTGCTTACACTTTTTCAATAATCCAATAAATCTGGTCGTAAAAATTTTGCGATATTCAGGCGCACTAAGAACTAAATACTCGCTGACCTAAGGTGTGATAGGGCGCGATGATAATTGGGTCGTCTAATGCGGAAGCAACTCGCGCTTGAGTTCTTGAATTTTAGAAATGGTAAGGGCGCTAGTGTGGGCTTGTGCAATGTCGTGATGGAAAATTATTTTTTTTATGAATAAATTTTAATTCTTGAATTTTGTGACTTAATTTTGTCAAAAGGTGAGTATAATATTTACTATTTATGGCACTTTGCAAGGTATTCAATCATAAGGAGCCCCTTTACATTCCAGAAAATGATGTCATTACTTTACCAACTGATTTCAACATGCTTTAAAAAGCATTATGCTGGTCACTTTGTAATTGGGCGCAAGCCTGTTGAGGGCCCAGAACAAGAGAGGGATAATAAATAAAATAAATAAATGAGGGCTTTCTTCGGAGCTGAACAACCTTCTTTGGTCTACTGATTTGATTGTAATTTTGTTTTGGGGCTCACAGTAAATTTTTTGAGAACTCTATTAATTCAATCGATCAACTTTCTTCAATACTACTAACTAACATACAAGAGTCTCACTACCCGAAACAGTGTAAAACGTGCACTAATTCTGTTGGACCACCACCGAAAAAAGCCGCCGATATACGGCAAAAGCTACATTTCAAACGTCCATAATCACAAGCCTCGTTTTTCGTTATGTTCTCGTATTTAAAAGATCTCCTCTCTTCCACCTTAAGAATTTGCCAACCAGAACTAAATTTAACTAACGCCAGCTTCGAAATAAACTGCACATCGTGGTTTTCTTATCGGCGATAGCTGTGCTTATCTTAAAACTAATTCAATTTCGCCTTACGTAATGCGATAACAAATGTTCTTATCCCAATGGCCAGATAAACCTCGTGCACTTTTAGGTGTCACATACGTATCTTCGGATGTTCAGTGTTCTCTCTTCTTCCAAACACTTGAACCAAATGAGCTTAAATTTTGGTCCCTATTGGTAAAGTGGGTACTTTTTTACAACCTTTACAAGGTGTTTTTGTTTTTGTAGACATTAGAACAAGTGATGATGTCTACTCGAGAGCCTTTGGAGTGGCACTTCAAACAGTTGGATCATGCCGTAGGATTGAGTTTCAAGGCGAATTTCCATTTCGCTCTTGTTGGCCATTTGTTAAAAGGTTATAGACATCCATCACCGACTACAATGTCGAGGACCTCGAGAGTACTAATAATGTTGTTGGCGATCGTGGCAAAGTCACACAAAAGGGACAAGTTTGAAGTAACTCCTGATAGTGTCGCGTACCTAACAGGTTGTAAAAGTTTGTTGTCGTGACTGATAATTAAAACGTTTTACACTCAGCTCTAGTTGGAGTATCGGAAGAAGTAAGAAGCAGGTGCCATGTTAAACACAGCCTACCTCGTTATTCATGTGACTCTATAACTCCAGATAATTTTATATCGGATGGATTAAACGTTTTAAAACAACACCACTCCACAACAGTCTCATCAAGCAGTGGAGTAAACAGAAGGCAGAAATCTTGGGACTTGCTGGATCAATCGGCAATAGCGCAAGCGAAGCATAAACAGCCACCGCCTCATCAGGTACTTATTTTACTTTGAATTGCATTTGTGGTACGTGTAGTATTTATTGAGTGATAATACAACTGGTATTTATTTATAAATTTGAGTTGCATTTTATTCATATCAATTTGTTTGTGGAAATATCATTGATATGCACCAAATCGTATGACTTGTGTGTTGTTTAATCATTTACTTACATTATTATAGCAAATGCGTTTTTCATAAAGAATAATAACTAAATCCTAACTAAGCAGGTCGAAAACGCGACAGCTAATAAGGGCTGGCGAAGCCTAGACTTAACCCAGAGTCCGGGACCTCAGGTTAATGGCGGCCTGACCCGGCCTCTGTATCGAACTCAGCGTTCTAGCTCTGTGCCGGTCCAGCAACACACGTCCCCAAATGTCATAAACACTGAAGCACATAGTCCGCCCGTGATTCCCGCCAAAGTAAGACTACGTGCAACATTAACTCTATTTTATCAATCTCTTATAGTTATGCTTATCTTTTTGCAAATTAGTTGTATTTTCATAAGAAAAAAAAAGAAATAAGTATCGGTTGCTTCTGTGGTATGTTCTCTTGAATGAGCTGGCCCAAGTACAAATGACTTAACTTGTGCAGCATTAATTGTACTAATTCTTGCTGCTTGTATTGCCTGCCTGCCTGCCTGCTGTTGGGGTGGCCACCATTCAGAGCGCACGCGTCCTCTTCAAAACACAACGCTCATTTTCGGTGCCAACCACCAAAGAACAAAAATCTGTTGATGACTCAGATAGTAAGGTAACTTATATGCCATATCCCGTTAGAATTATTACACAAGTAAGGCTTGTTCACAGCACCAAGTTATTGAATGTTGGAATTGAGTTAGGCTTCGTCAAAATTGCGTTTTATAATCATAATATTCTAAATCTTTCCTACATGCATTTGCTTGTCTGCGCTATGCACGATTACGTTAATTACATAGTTTATTTAGCATGTTTTGATTTATACGAATCAATGTATACTCTAAAATTGTGTTTTACCGATCCATCATTTCAGAATCGAAGCACGCGAGTATCGGTTAGCAATGAGAATAATATACTATTAGATCCAGAGGTCCTCACAGATTTTTCCACGCAAGCTTTAGTTTCTACGGTGATGGCGACTTTAGTCAAGTACAGTACAGACGAAGGCGAAACTCGAATTTTGTATCAATATTTAGCGGAAGGAGCGGTAGTATTTCCTAAAGTATTTCCTGTTATGTAAATAATAAGCCGTTGGCGGGTACGATTTAATTCTATTGATTTATTGCAGATATAATTTATTGGATGTTAAAATTAATAATGTTCTCTCAACTTGTCATGATCAAATGATTTTAAGTGCAGTTAGAAGTATAGTACAAAATATGATCGCTTGTGAAGACACCAGTCAGCAGCAATTACATTACTTACAGAGTTGTGGATTCGGTGGCCTTTGGAGATTTGCGGGACCATTTAACAAGGTATTGTTGATAAGACCTTGTCCAGAAGTAGCGAATTCGCCGCGATTCTCTCGCGCGTACCACTTTAAATTCGCGCCATTCGTATGGGCGCGAAGTATTGTCGCCTAGTACCTCGCCAACGCGTGTATGAATTATTCGGGTGCGACGTTTCGCGACAAATTCGCTCCTTCTGGACAGTCTAAGTACCCAACGTTTTACTAGTACCTTTGTTTTTTCGTTATCTTGTGGGAAAATTGGGGTACAACCAAAGCTGGGCAGAATACTTTCAAAAAGTATTTGAATACTAAATAGTGAATACTTTACACAAATCAAAGGTATTTGAATACTAAATACTTTTACATCCAGCACAAGCGAATACTAGATACAGATACATTGAAAAGTATTCAAATACTTAAAAAAATAAGTATTCAAATACTTTAGAATGTATTCGAATACTTTCAAAAGCATTAACTTACTTTGAAAAGTTCTCAAATAATGATTGACAATGACACGTTTATTGGTGTAACGCTGTACCATTTGGTTGTAAACTACCATATAATTCTCGGGTGAAAAGCGCACGGTTTGTGCAAACTTTAATGCCGTACTATCCAAATGATTAATTAATATAGTGAATTTTTCGACATCCGAATATGACATATTATGGACCATTGCATCATACATTGCCCTAAATGCGGGGAATTTTTCAGGACTACCATCGAACTTCATTAAATTTATATCCCGTAATGATAATTCTTTCTTCACAGGTGTCGTAATAGATACCGAGGGTTGAGTATCACCTAACGGTCTACTATATTCACCAGCGAATACTAATATTTCATAATAAATACCATCAAAGATGGATTCTAATTGAACGACATCAGTATTGAATTCTTTATGTTTATTAGATAGTAGAAATAATTTGTCCAAAACCGCCGTGAAATCATCGCGTACTTTATGAATTTCTTTAACCCTCACCTTAAATTGCGCTAAACTTTGAGGTAATTGTTTTGTTAATGCAAAACAGTCTTGCAATTTGCGCCACAAACGCTCCTTGTAACCCGTATATTTCATAAATAGAGCCTTATCTTCTTCGCTAGGCGAAGCCATTTGCCTTATACTTAGTATAAATGAAATACCTATGTAAAATTATCGATAACTGCAAATTATTCGTTCTGGATCGTGAATACCTAGCCGATGCCACACCTGAACTATATAGCTAGATAACATACGTTTCGTTCAAAGGGAGTTGTAGATATACGAATTCTAAAAGATTGTACACAATAATAATTAGAATTAAGAATTGGGATATGAACTAACAAACCTCAATTCTTTCGTTGCAATTTACAATCAATTAAATCAAATCAATCGTTATTCATATATCGTATAATTATTCGTTATTCCCCAAAATCCGTTTCAAGCTAAGAAACCACGCTCTGCTACCAATTTTATGTTTGTATCCAAATTTTCCCGTTCGTTCGTTATTAATGGTACAGTGGGACAGCGTCACTTACCGGTAATTTTAGTTGTTTCATTCTCGGCGGTACCGCACTCACTCCCTTGTTTCGGTATCTTCCCGTGACGCTTTTTGAGAAGGAGGGAAAAACGGAATTGAACGAACTTTAATTTACCTATTTCCAACAGCTGGGCAGAATACTTTCAAAAAGTATTTGAATACTAAATAGTGAATACTTTACACAAATCAAAGGTATTTGAATACTAAATACTTTTACATCCAGCACAAGCGAATACTAGATACAGATACATTGAAAAGTATTCAAATACTTGTCACTCAAATACATTAGAAATTTAAAATAGTATACTAGATAAAAGGCTTAATACTACCATTGAATAATAAATCTGAATAGAAGGTCAGTGAGATAGGAGAAAAGGTGGCCAGTATTCATTATCTAGAATGTGCTGGTATCGTACGGCAAGTAACAAAACGTGATTAAAGGAAACTCTTCAACATTTTTTAATTCATACAATATAGCCGAGATACTCACTTCAACATGAGTAGAGAGGTGAGAGAGAATGTTTTGACTACGGTGACATCATGCCATTGATAAACTTACGCACGTCGGTAACTGGATACCTTTGATACAACGATCGTCTAAATATAGTTTTCAGATGAATATCCGACTTAATTTTTTAACAAGTTCTTAATTCAATAATAATAACAGCGTTGTTGCAGAACGTAAAAAGTCAATTATTGGATACAAGATAATTAGACAACAATATGCTATGATAATATGATAAAGGGTCCGTTCACTTAGCCAAAAATGAACTAATTTTTTTTACGTATTGTGCCTCAATAATCATTTGTGCTCAATAGTGCATTTATGCGCACCGTTTGTGCCTTTTTGGTTTTGGAGATAATAGGACAAATCAAATGGGGGCAACTTAAATCGTTATTTTTTTGTTATTTGTGACATTTTCAACTAACTACATACGAAATTAGATCATTCACTATAGTAGTAGGCGAGAGACACTTTGTAACCCCAAGGCCCATTCTCCAAACGAGTACCTATAACTTTTGTTTGAAAAGTTATTTTAAACTTTTGTTCCTTAACTCATCCAGTATGTACACAACCAATTTCGTGGAATTCTCTCCATTTTCGTTGTCCGGCCAAGAATTGCAGTGGAACTTTTTTTTCGAATTTTCAAAAACTAATTCCAGATTCGTGATTTTTATGTTCAAAAACCCCCAGGCACCAAATTTCGTCGAAGCAGGGGTGCGCCCTTCCGTGATAGGAATTTTGAAAATTTTTTTCAAAATCGGAAAGGGCATACTCGAAAACCTAATTAAAAACGTTTCAGGTACGGTGAAAATTTTTTTGCGGTTTTAGGTCACTAAGTAGGTCTATTTTAAGAATCCGCCCAAGAATGTCTGCAAAAAATACAAAAATTAAATTTTTTAAAAATATGGGCATGTAGCACATCGATTTTAGAGTTTTGAAGTTTTCTGAATTTAAATTTTTAGTTAAAAATGTTTTTGGGGCGTTTTGGAGGAGTGGGGGGTGTTTTTAAGGGGTGGGTTTTTATATTTTTTCAATATTAACGTGTCGTACATCGATTTATATGTTTTTTATGGATAAGGATCCCGAATTCCATATCAAAATGGAGGTACAGCAAGTTATTCAATGTTAAAAAAGTAGAACGACGCCGACAGACGGCCCGAAAATAACATAAAACGCGCGGTACGCCTCGCCCGCGCTGCACGACATCATTTTAATAAAAAGATAATAATTTTGACGCTATCTTGTATATCTTTCTAGGATTTATTCAAAAATCATACTTTGACATCAAAATTGTAATCTCCACCCCAAGAAACCTATAAAAAGACGTATTGCACTTGTTATAATTATTATCTTTTTATTAAAATGATGTCGTGCAGCGCGGGCGAGGCGTACCGTGCGTTTTATGTTATTTTCGGGCCGTCTGTCGGCGTCGTTCTACTTTTTTAACATTGAATAACTTGCCGTACCTCCATTTTGATATGGAATTCGGGATCCTTATCCATAAAAACATATAAATCGATGTACGACAAGTTAATATTGAAAAAATATAAAAACCAACCCCTTAAAAACACCACCCCAACCCGCCAAAACGCCCCCAAAAATATTTTTAACTAAAAATTTAAATTCAGAAGGCTTAAAAACCCTAAAATCGATGTGCTATATGCCCATATTTTTTAAAACTTTAATTTTTGTATTTTTTTGGCCGCCATCTTGAATTTCTCAAAATGCTCAAGGGTGCCAAGGTGGCATTCTCAAAGTAGACATCCTTACGAACAAAAAACCGTCAAAAAACCTTCACCGTACCTCACTTCCAGGTTAAGCCAAAAATCCCAGTTTGGCATCCAGACTATTAGGGAAGCGATTGAAGAATGAAAGGACACGTCACGGAGAACGGCAGCGACCGCGCGGTATACGGCAATAGTGCTGTCGCTTGTTTACTTATATGTTTTCTATAATATTAATAATTATGTTTGTGTGCCAATTAATATAGTTTGCGTTGAGCAGTTTGTTGCTGCCCTTTCTTCCAATAAGACAACACAAAAGTAACTCTGGGATTGCTGAGAAAAAAATTAAAGAACTCCAAATTTCACCACTTCTTTGGGGGTGACTCCCAAACGAAACACGTTTGACCCTCGGTTTATTTGAAAAAAAAGTGCTTATCTTGAACCCCTCGGCCCTCTTCACCCAATTTTCACCCTGTATAACCAACTTTAAATGACATCCTTACCTTTCCATGTCTATATATATATTAGAAGTTTTAGTTTTTGTTAAGATGAATTCAGATATTTTCAATCGTCTGAACGTTAATCATCAATACAACACAAGGTATGGTCATAAGCTGCAGTATGAAAGACATAATCTGAAAAAGTATAAACAAGTATAAATTGTGCACAACTCTTGTACAGATAAAGCGCATTTTTTTAACCGAAATAGCTTTTGTTTTGACATCACTAATTGATATATTTCTTGCAGACGTCTCAATCGCCCTTTGTGAGTACCACGAACTTATAAATTAAGATGGACTGTTAATGCTGAATTGACAAATGACACCTACATGGGGGCCGCCATGATGTGCACTCACATGGCGCGAAATTCAAATCAACTAATAAACAAGCATTAACCCAACATTAACCTCACATTTTCTAAATAAATTACTGTGACACATGTCATTTTCCAAGGCTGCAATAGTCTCAAAACTTGAGCACTAGGAAAATTCCCCTAGAAAATAACTAGAATGTGCAAATCATGGCGGCGCCCATGCTAGGGCCATTTCTACCTCTATGCAACTGTTTGATCAGCAGTCCATCTTAATTTATAAGTTCGTGTGAGTACCCTCTTCCGACAATCCGATCTTGAGGTATAAGGGAATATACCTGATCACGATAAGAGGTTGAGGAGGAGGGCTATGGTTGGTAGAAATTAATTCCTTTCGTTGAGACTCTTTTCATTAGAGTATCATGATGAAGGATAAAACCAGTTCCACCCCCCCACCCTCTGATCTCG